AGTGAAGGCCATACAGGGGAAAGTCTCCTGGGAGAGGGTACTGGAAGGCAAGGGAGTTCAAAAGGGGTGGATGGCACTCAAGGGAGGTCTTGGAGGTGCAGGTCTTGATGATAGCAAAGGGGGAAGGTGAAGGAAAGCACCACCATGGATGTGAAAAGAGGTGCTAAGAGGGATTAGCTGTAAGAGGAACCTCTGAAGGAAATGGGCACTGGGTCAAGCAGACAAATGGGTACACTGGGAAGAGGAGGCCCATTGCAGAAGGATTCTTCACAAGGCTAAGGCTGATTATGAGCTGAGACTTGCAAAGAATATCAGGAGCAACAAAAAGGGTTTCTATCAACATGTAAATAGCAAGAGGAAGTGGAGACAGGCAGTGGCACCACTTAATAAGGAAGAAGGGGATTCAGTGACTGATGTAAAGGAACAGGCACAGACGCTAAATGATTATTTTGCCTCTGTGTTCTCTCCCAAGCAGGACAGGGGAGATCTACGTGAGGGACTGGATGAAGCCAGAGATTTAGGGACACAGATTAGAATCACTCCCCTAGAAGTCAAGGAGCTCCTCAGGACCCTGGATGTTACAAAGGCACTGGACCCTGACAGGTTACACCCAAGGGTACTCTTGCACCTGTTGGCCTCCATTTTTGAGGACTTGTGGGGAACAGGTGATGTTCCAGAGGACTGGATGGTGGCGTCAGTGGTCCCATTTTTCTAAAACAGTCGTAGAAGGGACATGGGGAATTACAGACCAGTTCGCCTTACATCCTTTCTAGGAAAGACAATGGAAAGGCTTATAAAAGTGATCAATCTAGTAACCCTAGATAGGGAAGGGAGGTTGATGGCCATGCAACATGGCTTCCACAAAAACAGGTCCTGCCAGATGAACCTTGTGAAATTCCATGACAAGGTTTCAAGGTAGCTAGATGGAGGGAATGTGGTGGATGTGGTTTACCTGGATTTCAGCAAGGCATTTGACAAATTGCTGCATGTTATCTTGGTTGAGAAATTGAGGAATTTTGGGATACACTAATGCACTGTTTGATGGATTAGGGCATGGTTGATGGACCAAAAGCAGAGGGTAATGATTAGTTGGGAATCATCTGGACAGTGGCCAGTGATGAGCAGGGTCCCCCAGGGCTCTGTCCTGGGACCAATCCTGTTCAATCTTTTCATCAATGACCCGGAAGAGGGGTTGACCAATCTGCTGATCAAATTTGCAGGTAATACTAAAAAGTGGGTGATGGCCACAACTGAGGAGCAGGTACTCCAGATTCAGAAGGATCTGGACAGACTATGGAAGCGTATGGGGCACAACAGGATGGTGCTCAACGTGGATAAGTACAAGGTCTTGAACTTGGGGCTTAGGAATGGGTGTCATAAGTACAGGTTAGGTGATAAGTGGCTTGAGAGTAGCACTTGTGAAAGGGATCTCAGGGTACTGGTCAACTACAGGCTAAACATGAGTCAGCATTGTAACGCAGTGATCGAGAGGATAATGACACCCTTGGTTGCATAGTTCCATCAGTGAGGGTGTTCAAGGATAGGCTGGACATGCACACGGTAGGCATGTCATGAGTGGAGCTGGCTGGAGCCTGGGGTCAGACTAGATGGCCCAGAAGATCCCTTCTGACTTGCTCAGTTTCTCTGTTTCTATTACCCCACATGTACACACACACCCTTATAAACTATTCTTCAGATATACATTCTTGGTACTTCATTATTGCCATATTTTGACCTCACGGAAAGTACCCAGATTCAGTCTTCTATATGTCATACTGCTATTCACAGACAAAAGGTATTGATATTCATTCCTCTAGTTAAGTTCACCATTGTATTAGTCACAGTGAAGCCCAAGCTTCATGTGAGTTATTAGAAGAAAGCCAGTATTTCATCTGTTCAGTTGCAAAGCTAATACTGTGACTAGAAAGATGGCTGCAGCAACAGCACCAAAAATATATGAGATGAAACTAATCAAACTTGAAGCATTTTTTAAGGAACCAAGGAGAACCTCAGTATATTTTGAACAACAAGCTGCTCATTCAGGGGAATTGGTGTCAGTGAAAGTGGTACTTGATTACTCTATTATCTCTCTCTCTCTCTCTCTCACACACACACACACACAAACACACACACACACACGCACGCACGCACACGCACACACAAGTGGCTGCCTAACTGAAGAACATTTTGGTTCTTAGGGTTCGGCTTAGAAGTGCTTCTAGATGAAGGGGTCCTCATGCCAATATAATTGCTATCTGGGGTAAAGAAGTGGTGGCAAACGGGCCAATATGGGAAGGTTACAAGTGGAAGTCAATGTAGTCTTCATCCCCATTAGATTCTGTGGATAAGGCAGGGTGACTGCGGAATGAGCCTCATCTGGGGTACCTTCATTAAAATCGCCACATGCACCTATAATTTTCACCTACTTTCCTTCATTTAAAATGGCAACATAAATTCCAATGCTTAGTTGGCAGTGAGGTTCTATGCGCAAGACCTAAATTTTGTTAATATTTGTTCTAGGACTTTACTGCCATTTTCTCCAAACATAAAGCTTGCAGTGAATACTTACACACCCTAAGAATCATTACCCTGCAGCTACAGTTCTTAAACACATTGTTTTTCCTTGACGGAATTTACTAAAGAACAAACTGTTATTTCAACACCAATTCAAACATTTTAGCTAGTAGCCCACAGTCTTAATGGAACTGGTTTTATGCATTGTACTGATTTTGAATGAAAAACTCTGGCTGGTCTGTGACCCTAACTAAATAAATGAAGCTAATGAAAAGCTCCTATTTTGCAAAAAAAGGGGTGAACCTGTCTGCCTGGCTTAAAACATATTCCCTCAGAGGTCAACATGACTAAATTTGTCCTACTTTGTAACAGGCATGCTTAGGAGAACAGGCTCACAGGCCATGGCAGTGCTGAGACTCCCAGCTCACTCCCAGACTCACCTCCATCACAAAACAGTTACGAAGATGAACATGCAAGGCTCAGTGCCTTGTTTACTTTACTGGATTTACTTTGTGTGCAGTTTCAGTTTTCCTCTGCATGTATCTAATTATGGCAATGAATTTTTGTAATTGACTAAATACATTTTGAGTGATCTGAAGACACAAGCACTTAACCATGAATCATGTCCGTTTGGTTCATTCCTGCTGTTATTACATGGATATTCTACTGTTTTCCCTTTTGCAAGAAATCTAAGGCAGTTTTCATGTTCCTCTTCCTCCTTTTTATGCTCCTCCTTCTGGGCTTAAGCTTGGCAGTGCTGCCCAACACAACACTACCTATGTTCCACACCAGTGGCTGTTGCTGAGGTAAGCAAGAAAATGCACAGCTTAGTCATCAGGACATACCTGTGCAAGCCAGAGGCACTCCCCTGTGCTCAAGGCGAAGATGCCGTTTTTTTGTGTTACTCTATGGTGTGGAAAGTGTTGATTGGGGAATTTTCTCCCCCTTTCTAAAGGCTAATAGCTGGAGTCATCCAATCAAATAGTGGGAGATTCAGACTAAAGGAGCACACCATTCAAAGTTAAGATATGGCAGTCACTGACACATTTATTGATGGCCACCAACTTGTCTGCTTTTTGATGATAACACCTGAGAAAACCTGACTATGGTCGTACATAGCAACCCTAAATGTAAGAACCACTACTGTGGTACAGAGGCCAAGGTTCCATAGATCATTTGAAAATATAGATGGTCTACTCAGTTTGGAAATTACTCTCCTAATTCTAATGTTCTTGTGGCTTCCATACACCAAGGACATAAAATATTATACCTTCAGAGAACAGAAATACTGTTTGAAATATAATGCTCTCCTCAGCTCCTAATGTGATCAACACTTCATTGTTCAGCAATTTAATTCACAGTGTGCTGCATGTATTTTCTTCTAAAAATAGGGTAGTACTTCTGACAATTTATTTTCCATGACAATAAAAGTTCTGAAATTCAGTAAGTGCCCAGCAATAATTCTCCCAGTCATATATACATTTTCAGTAGTTTTATTGAAAAATGCCTCTTTTGTTTCAGAAATAAATAATATAAGGCAGTGAAATTCACAATTTGCAGTTAAAATATAAAAGCAGCAATTCTATATCCATAGTCTTGCAAACAATTTCCAACTGCTTTTTTTTTTGATAACTACGAAATATTATATTCTGGGGGAGGGGGAATCATACTAAATATACAACACAAACATGCAATTCCATCTCTGCAGGATTGACTGCAATTTGGGATAAATGTTAATGTCTCTTAAACAAGATTTAAGCCATTATTTAAAACAAACAAAAAAAAAAAAACCTGTATCCAGTTGATACAATGATGTCAGCTATATTATTTAAGGTTTGTGGTTGTTAAAGAGATGTATAAGAGCGGTATATGCCCTGCAAGATATAAGCAAAGATAGAAGACATTTGACATGTGGAAAGAGAAGTTTCTTGTTTCACTAGACAATAGAGATTTGTAAAATGTCTGAACTGCAAAGGAAGTATTTGATCAGGGAAAAACATCCAAGGCAAGCTCCATCGCTGAAGCATCCCGCCTTAGAACACTGACAGCAGCTGCTAAGGTTTTTACTTTTTTAAAATGTATTTAAGGAGAATGCAGCCCTGTGATCATTTTAATGCACTTGTTAAAGTTCTGTGCAGCCACTGCAAGCTTAGGTATTTTACAAGCATTTCAAGAGCAAGAATGAAATCAATGATAACATTTATTGCTATTCCCACATAGGTACGATACCACCAGAAGAAGCAAGTGTGTTGCTTCTTGGAAACACTGGTGAGAAGCAGGCACAATCCACCAACTTGGTGAGTACCCACATATGCAAGAATAGCAACAACAACAAAACCACCAAAACAGGGCGTGGGGAAGGGAAGTAAGGAAATGAATCATTTATGGTTTTGTTTTTGCTTTTCTTGATAACGATCTTTTCCAGCGCATATGATCAGGATATCCAGGTGAATGCATATCAGCTCCATAGTCCTCATATTCATCATCTCTTCTTTCGGATTCCACTGGTACTATGTAGGGTTCACTTTCAGGCTGATAGGGTCCACTTTCAGGTGCGTATGGTTCTGATTGAAAATAGTTGTCCGATTGAACATTATAGTTATCACATGTATTTGAATCCACAGACATTTTTAAAGCTACTTTTTGCATTAGTAATGTGGTAGTGGGTGAAGATCTTTATGGCATTGATCCTCAGTTCATTTACTTGGAAGTGAGTCTGATTAAAAAAAAAAAACAAGAAACTTGACCTTCTTCCAAGCAGAATGATGCTAAAGCAGTGATTGATGCAGGAACTCTGATAAACATACATTTCGTCCACTCAAAGAGAATTCTGCATGGCACTCCCCTTGCCTTTAAAGGAAAGGGGAGGGCTTCTCTTATTAGAGCTCGATATGCATACCAGGGAACACATGAGATTCAGCACTGGGGACACTGTTCGTTCTTTTGTTTTTGTTTGTTTCAGAAACTTTTATGCTGGATTTCAAAGCAATCTGTCCTCCTGAGGCTGCTTACAATAAACACTTTTTTAAGACCAGTATCTGAAATGTTAACTAAAATCCTGTGCTTGGTTACTAATAGTGCTCAAAAGGACTTTATCCCAAGTAAACAAGCACAGAATTGCAGTTTAGTCTCTTCTATTAATTTTGTATGACACACAGATAATTAATAATTATAATTATTTAAATTATAAATAATTAAAATCCCTTTTCAGTCCATTCTGGGAAGAGATAAAGGTATCAAAAAAGAAAAAAGAAAATGCAAATCATCTTGATGTTCAGGGGATTTATATAAGTATTTAGATATCAAACAAGGAAAGGTTAAGTCTTGACTAAATTCCATCAAAGCAGTGGAACTTAGATTAGTCACAAGTAATGTGTTTCTTTCATTAGAAGTGTCCTTGTAGACTCAATTAGCTTTAGCTAAATCATGTCCTTAATATACATTTTAGCAATTCCTAGCATTAGCACTTAATTGAAAGTTAACTAATGAAGTTGATAAATGGTTTGGGGACAAGAGGGAAAACCTCAGGCTTATAGTTTCTGTAGGAAAGATGCAGTGGTGTCCCCTGAGTACTGAAACCACGCAAGCATAAATCAGTGCTTGAGCAAAGTAACTAATGCAATCAGGGAAAGGGCAGATGCTGAATTTCAGTAATAAATATCCAGATTTCCCCATTGCACTAGTTATGCCGTGCAGCCATTGGTTTCACTAATGCAATGTCATGGGTGTGGCAGACATCTAGGCCAATGGTAATATTCAGTAAAGATTATTTTCTGACAGTGGAGGAACACCAAACACTGCAGGAAAATCAGAAGCAAAATTATGCTTTTGATTATATATTTGTAAGAAGATTACGTATACAAAAAAGCCCGATGCCCTGAATCAAAGAAGATGTTAATAAAAATGCTGATGCCGGCAGGCAAGAGAGAGAGAGGTTTCGACAAGGTTAGATGGTGCAGAGCAACACACGGCAGAGCAGCAAGCCTGAATGCAAAAGGCAGGATGTAATGGTGTTAACTAATTTTAGTGGACACGATCCCATACAAATCATTTACAAGCCACAATTAGTTTACTATTTACATTACCATTTCTCTTACACCAGGTTAAATGTTTCACGGTGTTATAACCATTAGTAAGTAGTTTTATAAGCCTCCATTGCCACTGAGATTCCTAGTGACTTCTTTCTGATATGTGGTTGGAGAAAAGTTTACCTCCCTTGCAACACATCTGTGTCCTTTCATGTGTTCAAGACGTGTTAGTCTGAGTAGGATCTCCCCACCATATAAGGCCCACACTACTCATTTATCCATCATCTATGGTGAAATACCCATACAGATTCACTTCCTAATAAGCACGTGCACAAACATCTCAGAAACAGGATTTTCATTGTATTCAAACTGTAAGCAGCACTGGCGACTTAGAAAATGTGTTAGCTGGAACCTGAAACAGGTCAAAGATGATGTTAGCTTTCAGGGTAGAAAAGCTGTGCAAAAATATATTTTCATCCATCTAAATCCAACTATGAGGGTTAAATTATATGTATATATCTATATATGTATACAAGACTGATATTTGGAAAGGTAATACTACAGTATCATTTTCTAGTTTAAAAAAATCAGATTAATTATTGACTTTGTGCAAGTTCTGCATTCTAATTTTGGTCTTTTAAATTTGTTCAACCCACCAACTCTATGAATTTGTGTGTACATATATATATATATATTCATGTATACATGCACATTATGATAGTGGCAAAAACACAACCAACAGCAATATCATGTTTATGGATTATAAGGTGCTACAGTGCACACAAACTAGCTATCAATACTGTGGGCATGGACTCTTTCCTTGAGAGATGCCCTACTATGGCATATACTGTTTGGGGCATCATCCCTTCCCAAATTTTGATGCTTTGATGCTCCAGTAGCTACAGTTATCCAGCATTTTTGTTTCTTTGGAGGTTCATTGTCTGAAACTGCTTCTTCTCAGAAGAAATTTCTGCCATTCAGCAATATAATCACAGACTACATGGAATTTAACTTGGCACCGATTGTGAGATGGTGGCACCCTCCCTCCCCTCAGATTGTCTGCACTGTATCACGGAATGACATTTGGATTTGGAAAATTAGATCTCAGGTACTAATTTTGTATAGATAATCCCAACATTAAGGACGCACGTAGAAATGGCAAACAATTGTGTTCTTTTTACTTTAGATGAGTGGTCAACCTTGTTCAGAAGAAGTAGTTTGGTGGGGGGAAGAGAAGGAGAAGAAGAAAAAATGGTCATTTAAATCCTAAAAGCAAAATTTATATTCTCCTATCACTACATTTATTAGAAATGACTGCTTTGAAATGTAATCAATACTTTTGGCTTAAAATAACAAAAAAAAAACATTTTGCATATTGTAAAGCTACTCTAAACAGCAATCTGAACTGTAAATTCTAGACCTAGTTCACAGATCATTCTATTGAATGGTATGGCTACTGCTTAGTGCTGAATTCAATTCACTGTTCTTCCAGTAGAAAATTTCCTGCCACAGCACTATTCAAACTGAACAAGCATTTCAATACTCAATGACGCTTCAGTTCTTAATAACCTACCTGGATATCCTTGACCGTTGTAAGCAATGCTAGCGCACTGGGATGAATCACAGTATCCAGGGGGCCCAGGAGGACCTCTGATGCCCGCATTACCCGGACGGCCGGGTGGCCCAGGTGGACCCCGTGAGCCTGTAGAACCTGGTGGGCCAATTCTGGATTCCCCTTGTGGACCTAATTTTTGCAAGAAAAGAAATACATCTATTCCATTCTGGATGAGACAGTCTGATACAGCACCTGGCAAAACTGATCTCTAGACTAAGTTGAAGTATACAGTTAAGACATGTTTCCATTTCTTTTCTGCATAAGGTGTCAATGAAAGAACCTCAGAGAACTCAAGAAGCAACTCGCCCCTAGTTGCTTCCCTAACATTGAAATCTTTATTCACAGAAAACTGCTTTGGCAAGATTTGATCCTGGACATTTACAACCTCTCTGTACAGCGTATGGAGATCTCAGGAGGCACTTAATGTGTTTGACAAATACATAGATTTCAATTAAAGTCCAGGACTGCTTTAGTTCTGCTACCCTGCTGCTTTAGAATGGATAAGACAATGTTTTCTTTGGAACGAGTCATATTCACAGTTAACAGCAATGTAGAGTTTGAACTAAGTGGAGCAAACATTTGTTGCAAGCCTCTTATAGGTTTTGCAATGGAAAAGAAATACGTTTCAACTAGCAAATTAAAGGCAGAAGCAATAAGACAGTATGGTTACTTCTGCCAAGTCATCAGTGAATGCTCAAATTGAACTGCTAGGAATGCTCGCATTCTATATGAAGGAGTGATTTATAACTAACAGGAGTGGGAGAGAGAAAGATGGGAAGGAGAGGAGACAAAGCCTAGTTCTGAGTCTAGAATTTCTAACAGGCTAACCAAACATTTTGATTCCAGGGGAAAATGTAAAATGTCAAGTTGAATACAAACTTCAAAGAACTGATGGATATTTTCATTAAAAATGTAAACCTGTCAATATGAAAACATTTTAAAAACCATATCCCTCTTATTTTCTATCAATATTGTATTTGTTGTTATACAGCATTGCAATATGATGTATATTAGATGCAGAAGACTCACCTGGTGGCCCAGGCAAACCTCGTGGTCCTGGTGATCCAAGCCCTCTTTCACCTTTCTCTCCAGGTAGCCCTAGAACACACAAAAGGGGAGGGAAGGTGCACCACAAAAAAGCAAAGCTTTGTCAGAGAGATCATTGATTGTGCTTGTGAAACATAATTTACAGTGCTTTCTTTTATGCTAGCCATGCTTGGGCCAAGAAGCACATAGAGAAGGTCATATTAAACCATTCTCATCTTCCCGAGTTTCAGTTTAAAATGTGCTACTTGCTGCGATGGCTGCCAATGGGAAGTCCTAAACACCAAGGTACCACTCAAGCATTCCTTTGTTCATCAGGACTACCTCATGCTGATGAAACACATGCTTAAAAGAACAAAAGTACAACTCACCTCTGTCTCCAGGTGGCCCTTGCATACCAGGTGAACCTGGGAATCCTGGCCTGCCTCCAGGCCCAGGTTCTCCTCTTGTCCCAGCAGGTCCAGGGGGACCTGGTGGCCCTGGTGGTCCAGGCTCATTGCGATTAGAATAGTGATTATTTGGAATTTGATTCAGCATCTGGTTAAAACGGGTCATTTGGCCTATGGAGAAATAAAATGGGTTAAATGAGAGCAGGCCCAACACAGTTCACTTTAAGGGTGAAACAATCACAATTTTATGGCATGCTCTCACAAGTGCCACCTAGATCGTCACCTGTACTTCACTCTAATTAAGAGGAACGCCAGGACTGCTGCAAGCACAGGACAGCACCAGCCTTTGGCAGGAAGAAGGAGGGGAGAAAAGTACAGCCTGCTCATGTCATCAGGAGGGAAGCCAGATGACTCTGCAGTGGCTTCAGAGGGGATGGCATTTGTGTGAATCCGCCTGAAGACTGTGCAATAGACCAGCTTTTTCTAGGTTACACAGATTCTACAGACATGGGGAGGGTAGGTGGATGGGTAAACATTTTCCTGGGAAGTTTGTACTAAGTGCACACATGCAGTTATGCACATAAGCGTAAGTGCATATTTGGAACAAAACCAAAGCCTGGTACAAAACTCCAATTCTGTCATTTGGATGATGATGGAATGAAAGGTGCTTGACAATGACAGATGGAAGGAATTTAGCAAGCTCCCTATTTCCCTGGCCATCGCCATGCTGTTGAGAACAAGTACAAAGCATCAGCGAAATAGAGAAGGACTGAAGCCAATCCTCACAAGTCCCCATTCTGCAACCACAACCAGCTCACACCTTTTTCACTATACTCACCAACCTATGTACTGCTTAACCTAATGAAGACACAACTCATATGGCAACGCTTAACATTCACAACACTACCTTGGCAATACAGTAAACAGAAATGGCCTTTTGTGGTGTATTTGGAAAGCACTGCTTACCATTAATCATCTGTTCACAGACTTGCCTTGCAACAGACCGCATCATGTGCTGGGAAGCAATGTCCCCCTTAACAGCAAGACGAGACAGGTGTTAGGCCACAGCACAGAACTGGATGAAACAGAACATGCAAATTCAAGATAAGGTTGAACTTACCCGGTCACCTTTTTCACCTTTCAATCCAGATGGACCCTGTAACCAATTAGATCTATCAGAGTGTATTGCTATTATTTAATGCAACAGAATAAAAATGAGATAGGAGAAAGCAATATGACAAGAGAGAATGTAAAAGTATGCATATTGGCTGATTCAACATAAGATGTGATTATCCAGAACTCCTGGGTTTAAACCAAGAATCTCATGAAGCTTGGACATAGGCCTGTTCTACATATGCTGGAAATTGAGGCAATAAAAATTCTAGGCTGGACTATACCGTAACATATGAGACTCAAGTGAGAAAGCTATCATTTCTTCTGGAAAAAAAATCTGAGAGAGTAAAATGCCACCATAGGAGAAAGAATAGTTCCAGACCAGCTTCCTCTCTGCTATACTAGTGTTCTGCTTAAATACGGGACCCCTAAGATCCCACCCCTACAGTCCAAAGGGGTGTCTTCCATTCTACCATCTTATCACCTTAATCATTGCGCTGCATGTGTAGCCCTCATGCCTATGCAATAGCTCACTAAACTGTACGTGACTGGGCCTCAAAACACCCTTCACACACAGAATGGAATAACAATATGCAGAATCAAACCCTGTGATTAAGATGTACTCTGGAGTCTCTGGATTGGTGAGCCCTAGCATAAATACCAAGAGCTTGGCTGCTTGGGGCTGGTCAACAGCACTATTTCAGATGATCATGAAAAAACAAAGAGGTGTATCTGCATAAAATGTGCATGCACTAATTTATGTGTATAGGTACAAATTGAAAAAGGATCATTCCACTTTAAACAGATGCAATATAGTCTACTATAGTGAGAAAGGCTGTGACCCGGTGAGCTGAATGCCTGCTCGACCTGCTGCCCAGATGTTAACTGTTGATAAGCAACTTCAAGACTCCTGTTGCTTACTCTTATTGCCCCTTATCTTTAAATTGGCAGTGGATTAGACAGTGCCTCAAATAGAGGCCATCTTTGAATAAAGGCCTGGCATTCAGATACAGGGCTGTTCCCTGTAAGGTAGGTAGTGGTGGCTGAAAATAGGACACCTGGGGGCTAGCCCCAGGTCAGTCTTCAGTTTCACTTCCAGCACAGACTCTGTTCAACACAGAATTTTCCATTGGTTTTTCTGTATCTTTGTTGGGTCTGTCTGGTTTCCTTGGAAGCCTGTTATGAATGATCTGATAGGAAATGTTCTAAGATGTTTCAAAAAGTTTTGAATATTTATTTAGTTTCCATGATTACTCCCCTTGTTTCTTAAAGATGGAAGTGCGAAGCCATTAACTTAAGTGATTGATAATGATGACAAGTTGCCCAGACAACTATTTTCATTAACTAGAAAGTATAGCCTTTCTTTGTCTAGAACAGCAAAAAGACCTTTTGATGGTTACCCAACCCATTTAATACAAGCAATACTAAAGAAGAGGTCAGTCAGAACGACCCTTTCAAAGTGATTATGAATTACTGTGCTGTGGTTCACTTATGGAAACTCTTAGAAACTGTATTCTGGAATATATACACATAATCCAGCCAGTAAATAGATGTTTGTATGTAGAAGTCTCGCATGCTGTTTTGAGAATTTAGCCTCAGTGTTTACATTCCTTTGTCAGCAAAAGGAAAAGCCACAAAATCTCCCAACACTTCTCCTTGAGAAATCTAATTAGCATGTTTAAGCTGTATTTTGCAGATTTTTAGAAATGCACGACAGTGATCACACATGGATATATTTATTGCTCATTTGAAGTCAGTCTGTGTTTTTATTATGTTGGTTGTCTGTCAGCAATATGGAATTCTGTGTTTCCAAGCATCCAGAGAGGACATACACCATTGTCTGAACTACTAGATCATTATCGGAAAACCGTTAACCCACCCTAGAAAATCTGAGCCTTTTAAGGAAGTTCTGCCATTCCTTCTGTCATATTTGACAGAGTGCCTCCTTAACTGGTGTGCAGAGCCAGAGATGTTTTCAATGCTTTGCCCTATATTACCGGCCTGTAACCAGCCTGTATTACTCTCCACTTCTGTTGTGTAGAATTATCATAGTCTATTTGAATTGTCTCATTCTGCTTGTATTAAAGGTTAGATGATGGTACTTTATCAGCATCAATAATACGAGAAACCACTAGAGCTGAATTGCTGCTTATTCCTTTCCTGCAACTTTTTGAATTGACTCCACAATTTGACAATGGATGTCAAGAATACATGACAATTTGGGATGGCCGGGGGAGGGGGATAAATAACTGCAAAACAAGCAATATAGCCACTGATGAACTCCCAAAAGTGAATTGTTAGCCTTTTGTTAATCTTACATAATATTACTTCATCAGCATAGCAAAAGTATACTTAATTCTGACACTGAGTTGTTCCTTTCAAACTTTCACACAGTACACTCAAACTACCTCAGCGACACAGTGTAATAGATGATTCCTGAAGACAGACTAAAAAGAACTGGATATAATTAAACAGAATGGCAGCATGTCCACAATCTTGCACTAAGATGATTAATATTTAAGTAAAGGAAGAGAAACAGTTGGCCTAGGGACATCTTCCGATGCATGGAACTCAGCATGGGTCACAGCGACCCAGGATGCAGGGAAACATGCAAACGCCTGTTTACAAAGGGCTCAGGGAGCACAGCTGCCTTCTGTTTTCATAGTTGTTTGATTCCCTCCAGAGTACTTGGAACAAAGCAACATCAATACTTGTGACTGCAAATAGAAGGGCCGTGGACTCACAGACAGCTCTAAGGAATGATGCTAACAGCAGAACTGCTCCACAGAGAAGAGACTCCGGATGCTACAAAGAGTTGTATCCCAATGGACTCAACTTCTAGTTCCCAAACCCAACCAGAATCCCCCCATTCTTTCCCTTATCGAATATGAAGTATTGTGACTTTTTTTCTATGGAGGAATGAAATCAACTGAAATCTGAGTTCATTCGCTGGTTTTCCAAAAGGAATGGCAAGGTTTACAAAATGCTGCTTTGAAGAAGGAAATATTTTTTTTATTTCGTTTTCTTTCTTTGGATTTCAGAACACATGCATGAAAAAGGACTTTTCTGAAGCTACAGAATCATCTACATTTCTTCAGGAGAGTAGCATTGCTAGCACCTGTACAGAGCTGCCCCTTGACTGGATTATTTAAGCAATTCTTGTCTTCTCATGTCTTTTTAATAGTTTCACATAGAATATGATGTGCCAGTTATCTTGGCCTGAGGCAGCTTTTATTTTTCAGAAGTAATGTTAACAACATGTGAGAAATAGTTCCAAAGATAGTTAGGAACTGGGCGTCTCCAAAAAGATTGAGTTTGAAACATTTGTGTCTACAAAATGTGGATAGATTATTTTCCTTGCTTATTCTAAATACTTAACAGATGCCATTGCTTGCTTAGTTCTTTTCTCCTTATTTAATTAGTGTATTGTATTGCAAACATCTTTGTCTAAACAATGTTTTCCGGGAGAGAATAGCTATTAGCAAATTATCAAGTTGAAAACTTCCAAGTCCCTCAAGAAAACGATTTCAGATAACAACTCATTTTACAGCCCTTTCCTATTAAAGCTTTAAAGTCCTTATGTTCTAAAGGTGTGAAACTGAGGGCAGCTTGTTCATCTCCTGTTCATCTCTAGAACTGGCTTAATTGCTAATTGTGATGTTGAATGCATCGAGAAAGCATTGCAATGATAAAGCATATAGACTCATACCATTACCTACACACAATACATATGCCATTTTTTATCTAAAGCTGAAATTTATCTTAGATGGGTACAGTACCCAGTCCTACCATGCTGTCGAGGACCATATTCTATGGGGGCATATCTGTGGACAGCCACATGCTGTGGACTGGGCTGAAGCCATTACAGGATGAGTAGGAGGCAAAGTTTGCAATGCCACATACTTCTAGCTTTCCTTTTTTCTGCCATTTTTTCTCCATCTCTTTCTGACACCTTTCCTCCCAGTCTTGATTTTTTTTCCCTCCCTGCCCAGCAAAGGTAATCAAGGGTCTGAACTGCTTACTTGCAGAAAGCTTCTGAAATTAAACCAATGGTCACAGGTTGCTCACCTTGTTCTAAACAACTGCAGCCCTCCACATTTGCAGGGATTAGGAGTGCAATAAACCCATGAAAGTCGAAAAACTGCAAATATTTATAGCCCCTCCCCCAAACCTTAATACTGTGGACCATATGTGTACTGGATTGCTTCTCCCTCTCCCATTCAGGTCTTGGTCTGCTCCAGCAGGGCTCCTCTTCTTCATTAATTACATTCCTATGTTTTTGCTCCCTGCCCTTCCTTTCACTTACCAGTGCCTCCTCTTTGCAACAAGGAAACACTGGAGAGATTTCCCTCTCCTGATGGGTGGGACAAGAAGTCATATTTTGGAGGCCCTCCCTCTCTCCCTTTTCACTTTCCCTCTCTCTATGGTGATGATGATTTCCTACAGTGGGCCACAAAACTAAAAACAAACAAACAAACCCATTTAATTATTGATGGAAAACTCATGAATAATCAAATCCACTTAAGTTAAAACTGCAAAAGAGGAAGTTTGACTGTCCTGGTAAAACAAATTCAGGGCAGACAACACAATAACTCACAATCAAGAGTTGAGTATAGGTTGGGTGTGTGTTGGCGTTGAACCATGTGTCATCATCAGAACCCAGGGAGAGAATCCATGGTTTCTTGCTGGATCCTGAACTGTGGGCTGTTCACCATGATTTGTTATCTCTGCTGGATTGAGGCAACATGATGACCCATGATTCAAAAACACATGGTTCCATGGAATCCCACCCTCAACCCATATTTCAGAGCAGGTTATAAAGTTGTCTGAACCCAGTCAGTATATTCTGAGGCAAACAGAAGGTGCTTATTGCATCCACACATCAAGAATATAGGCAGCAGTAAGTAGTTTGTCATCTTCAGAACCAGTTCCCAATGTGACTATTTGAAATGGTTCTCCTGGAAAGCAAAAGCTAGAGTAGAAAATTATTCTTCTCCTGAATATGTTCATATATCTGAATGTATTCTAACATTCTAAACAAAAGGTTATGTTAATATTTACACCATCCAGGCTTATTTGCTTGGCACCAATGTGGAATTGACAGAAGATGCTCTAAAATGCACTGAATTAGAATATTATGGGCTGATTCACTCAAGCAACCACTTTGTTCACTAACACTGCAGCTCAGAATGATCTAACTTCTTTGAAGTCGAAATGACTGCACATAGTATCTGTGATCCTGAGATCATTCTCTCATCCATGGACTAAACCGTTATTTGGATCCTTGTATATCTAGCACTAACCAAGAATCATAAATGGTCAAATTAGCACATGAAACAACGTACAACTACATGAATAATGGAACTGGGCCACGCAGCTACAGGAAAAGACTGGAAGACTTTTAGAACTCCGCGGGATGCATTTGGACCACCGGTTACACATATGGCCTGGAGTTGCCCCTTTGGCATTTCTTGATAGCATAACTGTAGGTGTTGAAATCCCATCTGCCTCATGAGTCTTACAAAACATCTGCATAGGCTGCTTGCCAGAATTCCTGCTGAGATCTGGTCTGAAAACTCAAGAAACTATAAATGTGATGTCAGGCAAAGGTGGGAAAAGGAACACACTCTGCAAATGTTAATGAGGGGTTGCTTTAAGTGTGTGTGTGCATAGTCACATACACAAATACAATCAAATAAAGTCAAGGCTTGTTATAGATTTAAGTGATTGGTACACAACTGTTGGCAGCATTTTACTGGCTCTTGATTCTTTGCTTTTAATAGCCACATGAGGTGTCAGAATCCTGGGAGGCAAAAATGCTTTCCTCCATGTAAGACAATTCACTTACTTATGACTGCATAGCAAGCCTCAATTAAACTCAGAAGTATGACAGGCCTTTCTTTCTGTCCAATAGGTAACTCCACATCATGGTCTCCCTAGGACAGCACTCATCAGAAGTACTAACTGGAAATCCCAATTCATAGGTTAGTTTTTATGAAACTAGTAATTGGTCAAATTAGTTGGACTAGTTTAATTCAGGAATGTGTCCAACTGAATAACCTCATGATTAGAGATTCTGTTTGCAAGGCCAGTGATTGCATCACAGGTTACAAAAGAACAAAACAGCATCTCTCAAGTGACTTCTTCAAGCCCTACCATAAGTTGCTAGCCAGGCTGATATTCTTCTCTCTCCTCTTCAAGTCTACCCTGCATTACATCAAGAAAACTGATGCAAGCAAAGACAAGGAGAGAGAACCTGACTTTTTTCTTGTTAACATATGGAGTAGACAAGAATGTTGTACCCTTGGATGCCAAACACTTTCCCACTGAACTCTTGGCTCCAGCAATTACTATCAGGACTCCTGATCCTTCCTGCTCTCTCAGTTGGTTTCAGATGTAAAATTCTACAACAAAATATTACAGCTCCTTTGTTAACATTTGAGCATTTTTAAGCCAACAGCTCTTAGAATGCTACGTATAAAAATTTCCACCTTAGGCAGCATAACCTACTTGACTGTGCTTAAAATAATAATCATAATAATTCCAGTAAACGATTCTGCTGATTTAGCTTGGGGATGTTTACACAGTGCAGAAATATAAGCCTTGGCATGTGCAATTTGTGCTCTCTTTTTCAGTGGAAACCCTACAACCACAATTTCCAGACCTGGTGCTTAAATTGCAAAAGATCTACCATAAAGAGCAAAACCGACTAAAATTAACTTGCAGTTTAATGTTGAGATATTAACTAGTTCTCATGGAACCCATTGCATGATGTGAGGTTAAGAATAGTCTCCTAGTTGTCTGAATATGTGAGGGTGCCTCTCACAACTGATGCAGAAAATGTCATGTGCTGATTATCTTACCGGTGACCCACGATCTCCTGGCTTCCCTGGTTTCCCTGGTGGACCAGCTACTCCAGGCACTCCTGGGGCACCCTGCAAGGAGATACATTGAAGAGGAATTCTAAATGGGGACATAGTAATAGTCTGAGATAGATACTCATGAATCCACTATATTGGGTTTTGTCCAATGTTTAGCAAGCAGATTTCCACTTTTCCCCCCAGGTTTTTTCCATCCTTTCCTTTCTTCATCAGGGCCACCTCTGTCACCAAACTCTGCTCTGGAGGGCTTCCTATCCCCAATCTTGCAATGTGCATGCATGTGGGGAGGGGGGAATGGGGACTGAAGGAAGAAGGAAAGGTGGAATCAAGTCTGCTGGCAGATGTCACTCCATCAGCAGACAAGCAGAATAGAATTTCACCCTTGATGCCCAATTAATATGATGCCCACACAACTGGTGAACTGCGTGTAAAAATGTTTTCTATTCTCATTTACAATTGCTCACATTTTTAGATTTATTGCAGCATAAACTGAGAGCCTCTCAGTTCTCCCATTTCTGCTTTATGAACTAAGGTATTTGGCTTCTATTTGGCAACTTTCCCAATAAATGTGTTCTTTTCAGATGTCCCCACCCATCTCCACATGTGTACTGGAAATGCTGAACTGGCATTAGGTTCCAGCAGATGTGAATAGATTACACAGAGGTACAGAGCCAGTCCCTTGCTAGAAAAAAGGAAGGAAGGAACTGTTCAGTGACACAAGAAAAAAATGCTTATTGATCCCAAAGCATTTTGCATGGAATTCTTCACTGGGGAAACTCTTGAGCGACCAATTGAAATCCTGGTCTCTAAAACTATTTTGCAATGGTGTGGCAAGATCAAGAAGGGAACTGATTGTTTGAGAATCTATCTGGGGAAAAATCAATTTGAAATGCCTTGAGCTCAGTTTTGTATCTGTATCCATAGTGAACCTGAAAATTTCTTTCATTCTTGCCTTCTTCCTGAAATTGATATCTTCTCACTTTTTTCCATTCTCTTTCCTAGTCAGCAGCTACCTATTGCAGCATGTATAGCAACTTCTTGCCAGTTAGAGATAGGAATGTGTAATCATGAAAATGAAGGAAGGAAGGAGGACAGGATTTCAACTCAAATATTCAATTCAAAAAGAACAAAAAGCTGCATTCTCAGTGTTTCTGTGACTTCCCCACTACAGTTCCTAGAGGACAGCAGGACTTTCTTCCAGTTTAAAAAGTGTACATTCCCCATACACAGCCCCTCCCTTTTGGCTCCCTGATCGTAACTTGTTTGAAATGGCTGGTGAAATGGTAGAAGAGCAGGGCTGTCTGATGATATGGCTTTACATTTCTTTGTGATCTGAGCAGTTAGTAGACAAAATCCCCTTTCTAGCTGCATGATTATAAACTTCTGTCGCCCACAGATGTCCTAAGTGTGGGCCTTTATATAGGGAAATCAAACAGTAACCCTTTAAACAGATCATTTTTGTAATGAGCATGATCTTAGAAACCAACTGATTTGCTTTTACCATATTTTTACAAGCAACCACAAAATCCAAGATTTCTTAATACTAGCTATCTTGCTAATCACTTCAAAGGCATGAATTCCATCAGAGCAATTTTCAGTCCTCATAAACCATCATGAAGTATTTCAAAGCTTAACTGTACTCAAAATGATTTCCTCTTGACCATTTTCCAGTGTAAGAAACATATGCAGACCACATTAGCTGCAGACAGATTTTTAAAAATCTCCAACCTAACCATCTGCAATCATCAAAGTTTCTCTTTCATCATCAGGCAATGCAGTATTTCTAGAAATGGGACTTAGACTGGAACAGGAAAAAAGCAGGTTGCACATATAGTGACTGACACGATAACAAGATTGGGTAGAATTGCATTACATAATCAGCAAAATTAAAGCAAACTAGTAGGTCCTTCAAAATTGTTGCTGAGTAAGAGAATTTCTGCTCAGGGTTCCAGCCAGCCATGCCCTTTTTCAGGAAACCTCATCCTAGTTTTCCATCGCTTCTCCGAGATCTGCCATAACAGTAAAGCAGTATTTTGTGGTTCTAGAACATGTTCGGTCCTCATCAAACTGTTTTGGGTTCCACCTCATGTCTTGGGGATGGGGTGGTCTAAAATGTTTTTTGTACTTTGCAAATCCTGCAATTTTCCAAGCCTGCTGATGCCCTGTTTCACACACATGTGGATGCTATTATTTTTGCACATGCAGAAAACTGAGATTTCTATATTAGCATGTATGGTAGCCGTATGATTTAACTGGCTTAGGTGGTCATGCTGTGTGCTGCACTAATGGAAATGATGAAGGGGAGAAACAATGTTGCACATACAGTTTTTGATACAAAACTGATAGACAAATAGAAATCCTCCCAGCCCGAATTCAGACACCCCTAATTTATACCCATACAATTAATTTAACACTTACTAATGGTCCAGGAGGTCCTCTTGGTCCCGTTGGGCCATCTTTTCCAGTGAATCCCTATTTGAAAAATGAAAGTGTAAGGGTTAGTATTGGATTGCATTTTTTGAAGGACGAGCTAATTGCCTTTTAAATTATTAATTTATTGCTTCATTATTAATAATTGAAACAAACTATTTCAGCCCCCCATGCTATCTAATTTTGGCTTTCAGTTATGATGTGTTATAAATCTACACCAACAGGTTATTACTTCAATATAGCAAGATTCTGCTCAGATTAAGAATTCATGCTGAGTTCCAAAGCTCAGTTACTGGTAAAAAGGTTCCATTGATGCCAGCTTTGCAAATAACATTGATGTTATACTGAAAGATCTGCTGTCCCTCTCCACAGCTGAATAAAAAAATAAAGATGTCCATCAGGCTGAAAGTTTGTTGTTTGCCTTCATCACACCAGTGTAATAAACTGTTTGTGAATGTATTTGTCATTTTGTACAATGAACATACATTGCCAGCTCCTCCTACATCCTTCTCTCTATAATGCAGGTGCTGCTTAAGCAAGCACTTCATCCAAAATGTCAAACAAGAATGGGAAGCATCCATATTGGGCTAGTAAAAAGAGCTAGTCACAGTTGTTAATTCAAAAAAGAAGGCACTGTGTTATTTAAAGAATGGGACAGGACCAAGAGGGTAACTTATAAACATGCATTTTATTTCTCCTAACCTTCAAAAATCTTACACTTCACTGATGGCATCACAGGGATAATTGGATTGATCCAAGTCTTTGTGCTAATGGTCTATGGATACTTGATTGTAGCATTTAAAACTGCAACCCGCCGCCCCCCATTCATCACTCTGGGTTTTCTGTTTATTTGTTTTGGTAGGATCTTCATTCATTCCTATTCTACAGCTTGTCAGACTATGCTAAGGAAGCTTCTCCTTTTCCTTGTGACATTCACACATTTATGCCAGCAGACCTTTCCTTGCAGTGGTCCCAGATGAATCTCATGTACATGTGGACTGGGATTGCCAGCAGTGGCACACATACTGTATATTTATTCTGCCCTGTGTGTACGTGAAACAGAACCCACTAATCAAAGACTTCCATTACATGCAGAATGGCACTCCTCCTTTATGCTTGTTGTACATGGAAAGAAAATCCATTGTGCTACTTGTATTCCCATGTAGGAGATTGTTGTAAAACAGGGACCTTTCTGAATCCCTGCCATGGTCCTAGAATCGCTGCAGTCTTCACTAATGATACCAGAGAAATGCTTACCCTGTCACCTGGAGGTCCCATTGGACCTGGCGGGCCAGTTAAGCCTGGTGAACCCTAGAGAAGAAGAACATTAATCAGAGAGGGTTGCTATGCTATAAAATGCACTGTTAAGGTACCATGCACATTCATCTGTACTCTAAATGGAATAGTTCTTATATTCCTTTTCATAAACAAGCAGAAGAAACAGAGCAAAAAAACTTGTTTGAAAACACCAGCATCTTGTATAGAGTTACCCTTTGCCTTCTTTCTACTTTATATTTAATTTGTATTTTTATTTTTTTATTATCACATTAGAGATCTTCCTTCACATGTGACTTCCAATTAAAAAATAATGGCTAATCCCTAAACAATTGCTTCTTTGTGTAAGAAAACTTACCAATAACTAGTAGAATCTGTCACAGTTTAACTCTATTGCCTTCTTTTTCTGGATGCATGAATCTTTGATGGCTTCTTCATGTCATCAAAATCTAGTTGCATCTCACAACACTGCTTCACATGCATGCATAACTAACACATACATCATCTTGCTCTATTTTATTATTACAAACTTTTAAAAAATTAACTTGCCTTCTCTGCAGAAGAACAATGGAGTTAAATGAAACATACCTAATCTGGCCTACAAGATAGGGCATCACTTTGAGGTGTGTGGTAAGTAAGTAGTATGCATGACCTCGTTATAAAAATGAACTTACGGATCGACCTGGAAGTCCTGGCTCTCCAGCATCACCTTTCATCCCCTGACGGCCCTGGAATTGATAAAAAACCAAGAATGCTTGGTTATTCCTTGAAAAACAAAGCTGTAGGAAGTCTGAAATATTTAGACATATTTGCAGTGAAAAGGAGAAGCTCGATATCAACTTGATTAAGAGCAGCTGGCCAAGCAAAGTCCAGCACTCCCATTTCTCACTGGTCCTACCAGCAGCCTAACACCACAAAGTACTTTAAGCTGGGGCACACTTCAGATGGGGAGCAGGAGGTCACAAAAATGTGAGATTCTACCCATATATTGAATACATAGATTTTACCAATAACCCTTCAAGAAGAGTGACTCCTCCAGGATTAGAACCAGAAGTCTGCTCCAGCAGGAAGACTGATAATTACAAGCCTGGTATGTGTATGCCTGCAGTGATCCCAGTGCACTTGAACACAGGGTCTGTGCCTATACGTGCAGTTTAGATTCCCTGCATTCAGCTTGATTTACATCATGCAAAGCTCTTGTGTGAGTTTCAGTGAGGAAAGCAGCTGTTCCTGCCAGAAGTACCCATGTATGAAGCGTTTCTACCACAAAAACAGAAGATTCTACCTTTCCTGGAACATATTTGGATTATTACACAGTCAATGTATTACAAGTCAGTTACAGTTGGTAACACTTGATTTGGTTTCTAGAATGCAAGGATGTACCTATCGGAGAATAGCTTAGCAAACTATCAGAGAGTGTTAGAGAAGTGTGCAACCTTTCTGAAAACTTGGGGATTGCTTTGAAAACACAGTGAAAACGTAACACTGCATTCTGACTAAAGTAAATCAAAAGAACAGGGAATGTGGTAACAAATTAGCACAAAAGCACAGCTATTCTTTAATATGACATCTGCTGTTAAAGATATTGTGTTGTGCTAAAGCACCTTGCCCCTTAAGGCAGATGTTTGAGGACTGTGCCAAGAAACAGAACAGAAATGATGTCTGAGGGCCCTGATTATGGTGTGCTGGTTGACTTGTTCCCCAAACAGGTATGCATGCAGAATGCTTGCTTACTCACTGGTTCTCCTGTAATGGAAAGTCCATTTGGCCCCTGGGGCCCTGGTGGGCCTTGAGGACCTGCAGGTCCAACATCTCCACGAGGTCCAGGTGGTCCCTTAAAGTAGAAAAAGAAAGAAATCTATTTGCTAGTCTTTTATGTTATCCAAAGTTCTATCTTCAAATCATACCGTGATGGATTCTTATCATATTTTATAAGAAGGTGATGATAGAATTTATGAAATTACAGTCTAAGGAGTTGAGGTTTCCACTGTGTTTGGCTTTCTAGTTGATGTTCTTTTAAGTGCAAAAATGCAGCAGTACTGGTAACCATCAGTTCGATCAAAGGAATATCTTCTGTAAATATACTTTGTAAATGGACCTCATAAAGCTGCAAAAATGCAGATGAAGGAAAGACAGTTTACATTATTTTTAAATAAAATAAAAGTGGACTGGATGGGAATGTGCGATTTGGCATTATCATTTGCATCACTGGTATCATTATTTGAGATAACTAATGATGTCCCAATTTTCTACAGATTTTGTCCATTCTTAGGTTGCGCCACAGAATCTACATCAACTATTTCCAATTTCTTGAAAAAGAACATTGCTACAGAGCTTGCATCCCCTTGGTTGTGTCTTCCCCCATATTTGTACTGGATTCTCTAATGCCAAAAATTGAAGGCAATTGGAGGAGAGGAGAGGAGAGCAGAGCAGAGGAGAGGAGAGGAGCATATATTTATTTTTCATTTGGCAAAAAAGGGCAAATTCACACATTGCAGAGAAGAAAACATGGTTTGCCAGAGTGAATCATAACTGTACTTATATGAAACAGATATTCTGAAATGTGTTTCTTGCATTCGCATTTGCATATATCTAAAGTATAATTGTGTGAAGTGACCCTAATATAAAGATTGGAATGCATAATACCAATCATGTATTTATTGTTTTGAATTTTTAATTATACTAATCTGTTGAGTTTTTACAATAAATCTAAGTCAGAATACACAATTATTACAGTACAATTCTATACATATCTGCTAAGAAGTAATCCCTATTCAGTTCAATGGAACATACTGTAGTCTTACTGTATTTTAGGCAAATACTCACAGGGGGTCCACTTAAGCCTCTTTCACCTCTTGGTCCCTTAGTACCTGGAGCTCCCTAAGCAAAACAAAAAATGTAAATAATAAATATACATTTTATGCATGGAAGTTCAGAATGTTACAAATTATTCATTCCTGCAACTAACTGTTGGGCCAAACAGGAGATTCAGCACATGGATAAGGACTGCTTATCTTGAGCACCACAAATAAGAGGTTGTGGGCAGCAGACTAGACACTGCCACTCTACTGGGACTGAAGAAGTGACCAATATAAACAGCAAGGCTAACATGAAAAACAATACAATGAAGTCCAGCTGTGCTCACAGATTATGCTTTTTGGAGTCCTGGAAGTGACGGGTGGTATAATTGCCTGCTATACAGACAAGTGCTCATTATTTCTGTCACACCAAGATCTCTGGGTATGTTCCTGTAAACTTTTAGCCAAGTAAGCAAGGCCAAATTGTGCTCCTCTCAGCACAACCAACGCAGCCGCAACACACATGTGTAGCAATATGACTGTAGGACCTATTGAGTAGCGACATCATCACTGTTGGTAAGGAATGCCGCAACCGCACACTGAAAGCCCAGGACCTTTAAATACATGCTACTTTAGTACAATTAAGTATGGTGTATGTTTATACAGATGTGAACATATCTACTATGGTCATGTATCTTTTACAAAAAATAGCGTAAGCGTTTCCATTGCTACAGATCAATGTCCCACCATTTCAAGAACACCTTACTTTTTAAAAGCCACTTTTCCTTTAACCTCCCATTTGCCAGCCTATTAATGAACATGTTCTCTTTTTCCTTCTTTAAGTGAGCTCTTAGAAGTGAGAGTGACCCAAACAGAGGTGTGTTTAACTGATCTAGTCAATCTTCCCACTTCCTTAAATGGCATGGGGGTTGGGGATGTCACTGCAGTTGGGAATTTCAAAAAAGTTTTCCCTTTTAACAAATCTCTCTACTCCATGCCAGCCTGTACTTTCATTACATCTGTACAGCTCCCAACCAATATTTGCTAGAATTAGGGTAGTTCTATGAAGATGGTATTGAAGGAAGTTGCTCTATTCAAACAGAAATCTTTTGCCATTATACACTCTGTTACACATAAAAATGTATATTGATTCATGTCAGTAATATTGGCCCATGCTGTCTGTTCTGTCAGTCTCATTCCCAGCCCGCTGTGCACAGATTAGTAACAAAGTATATGAATTGTTATACAAGACCAAGAAGAAGGGCTGTAGCATCCCTAACAGTTGCTGCCGCTACACCAAAGATGGGGCCAGTGCTCAAATGGCGTCACATGGCAAGGCAACAGTAAAGTCTGTTGTCTTTCGATGGAATTGGCTTCGGTGCCGGAATCCATCAAGCTTATGAGATCAGTTTGCAAATGTGAAGTGCTCCACATGGCAGACGACGAAGATTTTGTGCTTACGGCTGGTCCTGGAGGCCCCGGAGGTCCCACGCTGTCCTGAGTGCACGTGCAAGCATTTGTCAGTGGTGGGCATTTGGCTTCGTCCCTCTGAAAATTAACACACAATCTTTCATCATTTCTTTTTCCACAAGGAAAGATGATGCTCACAATGGTGTTTATGTCATACAGCAATAACTGCAGGAATAAATCTGATTCTGAAGTCCCACAGAATTCAGCAACAATGCAGTCATTTTTAAAAAAAAATATGGCTGGGCAATGCTTAACTTCTGAAAGAGGGACAGAAATTCAGGGCTCAGGTCCCAGAACCATAATGCCATGGGAGCCTTGATGCTTAAACAAGTAAAAACAGTATGGAATTGCTCATCTGAGGGGAGGTATATTCAGCACACACTTTGTGCCACTTTTTATTACTCCACATATTCTAGGCATCTTAGAAAACAGTGAAACTTATTCAGCTTGAAATCAGATGACCCAATCAGGCTGATGCTGCGCCATTCAGATATTAACAAGTCCAATTGCTTTCCTGGCATCAGCTACTGAAGAGCAGGAGGCAGAGCCCACATCATATCTGGGGTCTGTTACTGTTTGTGCCCGATTTCTTGTCACAAAGAGATATTAAACAAAATCAAGCTTTTGTGCAGCAGGCCTTAGCAGAAGCCAAAAAGACTACCACCACCAATATTTACAAAAACCCCAAAATGTCAATAAAAGAGCAAATTATCCAATGTGTTTTGGAAGAAACCTTCCTCAGGAGCACAAAAGTTAAATCTGCTGCGTTATTCTAGTAAAACAACTTCTTTTCTCTTTTTCTATTTTCTTTGGACAGAATTTTCACATTATCCTCTACCTGGCCAATCTCCACATCATTTCTTCCTTTCTGTCCCCTCTTTACAAATTTGACTTACACTTTACGTTACAAATAAGCACAAATTTGGTGTATTGATTTACGTTTGCTAATTTACACTAGCAGTAGCTAAAACCTGGTTATTTCACAATTCCAAAGCCCAGCTAGTTTATTATTCCACCTCATAGTCCCCGCACACACACTATTTTAAAAAAAAGTAAGTTGAATTTATGAGGAAGCAAATTTAGCTTGTAAAAGCAAAACAGATCTCTTGATCCTGCAAAGATGAGGGCATTTAAATTTATTTAAAATATAGTTGAAAGAGATCAAACCAGGATTAACTATGACAAGACAACTGATCTGTTTGTACCTAAGTTCAAGGCAGCAAACATCAGAATATGGTTCTGCTAAAGTGTCTGCATTCCTTTCCTTAAAGTTGCAAGATGATTCATCTGGTGGCACACGTCATTTGTTATTCCCAATGGAGACACTGAAACCTAATATTCCACACTGTCCTTTTGGCAGGACTGGCTCAGAATGCTGATATAAGGCATTAGGATTGTAAAAATGTTTCTTTTTATATTTACCCTAGAAGGAATGTCACAGCATCTATCTCTGCTTGTCCAAACTGAATTGCAGACAATGTCAAAGTTCTGGATCTCAAACTGTGAAATAAAAACACATGTATCTGTATGAAATTGCAAAAAGAGAGTTCTTTTTATTGCATTTTAAAACTCTCCACACACGCGCGTGCACGTGCACACACACGTTGAAATGCACACACACACACATGCAAATGTGTGTGCACATTTACACACACATACACAGAGCTGTGAGAGCAAGTTGCTTCAAATAATAGAAAGTATTTTCCCAGCCAAACAGCATGTGACTCAGTCCCTCTTAGGACTGAGTCACGCTGCTGTTGACTCAGACGTCCGTGCTTCTGTGACAGACACTCAGATTCTATTCCAGAACTAATGTTATGGGAATATCTTGATATCTTGATGACAGACATCAAGAACATTGGGAAATTTTGATGGGAGGTCAACAATCTATCCATAGTCTGTTAATATGACTTCATATTTTTGTTCTGAGAATAGTCCAACCAACTTCTCAGAGGAACAGCTCTTGGCTGGGTTCAGACAACATGAAAAGCCATGGTGGTTTTTACTGTTGTTGGTCTGTTGTGCTGTCTGAACTTGGTTGTGTATTTCTTCATGGTGAGTTTGGTCCTTAGAAACCACAATCAGAAACTTTCTCTGTACCATCATGGCTTGTCATGCTGTCTGAATCCAGGTTCGTGATTTCTATGGCCCTGGTATGCAACTAGCACAGAGTCCTGTGGGATCAGTGGCAACTGCAGGAGCCACTTCAGCCACCCAGTTTCTATGCGTGGACCAATGAGGAAAAGGCAGCTCAGAGAAGCAAGGAGTTATGCACATTGGGATTGAGTTTCAGGCCCAGCGGCTGATGGGATGTGCGCCAGCAGGAAGAGAACTAAGTAGGGAGGATGGAAGCCATGATAAAATCAAAGCTACTTGAATATCTGTCATGTTGGTCATGGTAAACAAACAAACAAACAAACTGCAAAGCATTGTTATTGTGTTGTGTGACTGCAACCTTTGGGTCATATAGTACCTGTGACCAGTACTGGGATGGTGAAAAAGAACAAACTTATCCACCATAGATTGAACATATGTCCTAATTTAGTCAAGACTGATCTGGTTCCATGCCATAAAGTTGGTCCAGAACCACTCAAAACATACAGTCAATTTGAAGATATTATAATATGTGTGAGAGAAATAGCAATAGTAGCAACTGATTGTCATTATTTTAATGCATCAGGTGAAGTAGGGTTTCACAATGAAAATCAATGCCACAATATATTTCTCTTTATGATGCCACAATTACAATCAAGTGAACTTATTATAGTTCATGGCAACAACAGCTTATCACCATATATATAATATTTCATGTAGCTATGTTTGTTTCCAAAAATGTAAAGACATATATTTATCATTCATGCAAAATATTATGCAGTGGGCTTTCAATATTTACTCTGGGCATGCTTTGAACTAATAAATGAATACAATTACTTACTGTTGCTGTTTTCCTTTCCCCTTTTTGTAGTTTACCAAGTATTTCATAACCATCAGTTGTGATATTTCCACTCTCCTTAATTGGTTTTTCCATGATTTCAACACAGTCAATGTAGATCTTAGCACTTGTGGGTGTTATGACAATATGGATCTGTGACAAAAATATTTAGACACTGCATAACTAAGAACACACAAATCTTTTTTATATATTTTAGGAAGAATTTTCACTTTAAAATGCAGTTAAGCACATACTGAAGTTGTGGAACTGATATGCCCATGAGTCCTTCACATGCAGGAGTTTCTTTCTTGAAATAGGTAACACTTCAATACACAAAGTTGTTTCCTGCACTGAAATGCGTTGCTCAAATACTGAAGCACTGCATTTCTTTTTTACAGAGCATACTTGGGTATGGTTAAGGGTGTGTAGCTGTCCTTACAAATGGATGATGCTGGCCCATACCAGCTATGCCTTTATTAATAAAACAACCACCAAAGATAAAGCCAGAAGGACTCGACGGGATTTTTGTAATTGCCACTTGTTGAAAAACTTGATTTTTCCATGTTCTTTTTCACATACCATTTTGTTGGATTTTGCTATACTCTGCAGAAGTTCATAAGAGCAACATACCTCTTCCATTCATTAAAAAAAAAACTAGGCAGAAGAGATTGGGTGAGCTGGATAGTATAAAATTTCTCATGTTTACAATTTTGGTCTCAAAATCAGAAATAATAGATTCACTAATCATAAGGTTTGGAAGCATCTGCTACTGACAAAGACTAGCAAGAGATCTCTTTCCAAAGAGTTCAGGTCTGCTGCTTAAGAAAGACAGAAAACATAAATCCCAGTGATTTAAATAACTGCAATTATGCAGAATAATTATCTCTGTTATTCAGTATAAATTTTAAAAAATAACTGTATGGGTAACAGCATATTTTGGGAAGTTTGGAAGTCCAACAGTCTTGCTTTATATACTCTTGAGCAAAAGCCCTGTTTGGGTAAAAGGAATAAACTTCTCTTATATTATATATATATATATAACAAAATTTTATGGGACATGCATCAAAAGTTGAATAATACAGTTAAACCACCAATCTATGAGAAATAGGAAACCATTCTAATCTTGTGTTCAGCTTCCAAACAGAAGTTCCTTGCCATTTTTCAATTTCAAGATCTGAAATCATATTTCTGTGCACTTTTTTAGTTTACATGTAATTACACTTTGCATAGTTGAATCTGCAGGAAAGTAAACTGCACTTCAACAGATGTTTGCATTCAAGATTTATCTAACTAAAACTTTCCTCATAATTTCAGAGAGTCAGCATATTTTTTTTTCCCCGGAAGTAGGTCCTACTGAAATTAGTGGGGCTTAGTGAATCATGCTTTAAAAAGTATGTGTTGTAATATCTAGCATCCAAATGTTGAAAGCAATATCATGCCCCATATTTTGCCTATTTATTTGGGGTTTTTTCCCATTTTGAGGCTTGCTGCATTCATAAAGTGGCTTGAAAGATTACAGAATGCCTGAAAATATAAATCCAAGGACACACAGCGGTGGCGGCAGCAGCAGCAGCTGCAGCTCTATAAAGTACCTAATGCAGACTGCAATGAGCACGGCTTCAGTTTTTTCTTTTAATGACAGTGGTGTTGCAACTATGTGTATCCATTGCAAAGGGGTTTCCATTCAGCAGTCCCTCTCCCTAGTACCCACCATCCTAGAGCCAGTGGGTACACGAAGCCTATAGCATGGGCCAGAGAGCAGGACCTCAGATGCTGATCTTAATGCTTTAATGATTTTAATGCTTTGGTAGGAAACAGATACACTTTCAGATAATGTGGTCCCAAAGCAAGTAGGGATTTAAAAGTCAAAACTAGGACCTTGAACTGGGGCTAAAAATAAATGGGCAGCCAAAGTAAGTAACTAAAATGGATGGGCTAAGATCGAAGCACCTAGCTTCTAAAAGCTTTCCAGCTGCTATATTCTGTACCAGGTATAGTTCCAAACAGTCTTCAAGGACAGCCCCACAGAACGTACATTACAGCAAAATAACCCAGGCACAATTAAGGCGGTCATCTCACTATGATAAGGCTGCACATGCTGAACCAGGCTGAGTTGGCCAGAGCACTCTTGATAACTCATATCCCCTGCACAGACAACTCTGCTATATTTGCATTAACAGCAGTGGGCCTTTTCAGTTCCTTGCCTGGCCATTCACTTTTAGTATCATTTAGTAAGCGAGCATAGCTTTGATGAAAATAGAATGCTAGGATAAAGCCTGGGAATCAAACTATATGTGGGCAGTAATTCCACAAAAAGCAGCTTTTGGGAAGCCAAGCTTTTGGGAAACTCTTAATGCCACAAAAAGCAGCTTTTGGGAAGCCAAGAAGTGGCAGAGTTGTGAAGTATTATGACCCTGTGACTTGTTGCTATTTCCTCATGCAAAGTTGACTTGCCTAAAATGGACCTCCCTTTTCTCTGAGAGAGGGCAAAATATAAGGACCTCACATCTTTTCCCCCATGGGTGGGATGTCACCTAGGAGTCAGGTTTAAGTACCGAAACAGAATAAATATGAAAAGGTTAAGGAGCACAACTCTTCCAGTCCTCACCCCCCTAAGGTAGGTTTTCATTTTTGCTTTTTTAGTTAAAAAAGTACTGCAAAAAAAAAAAAAAAATCACAGAACTTCCTTCACATGTCACTGGGCCCATAATGGCAAGACAAAGAATAAAAACCATCTGTTCCTATAAGAGTTCTTTGACGGGATTTTAATTGCTGTATTACTAAGCCAACATTTTCCCCAACAGACTTTCATCAGCTAGCACTATAGCAATGCTACTCAAAGTCCAAAAAAGGATGCCAAAGCAAATTTTCCACAAACGGCCAAGATTAAGTTAGCTATTTTTCACTTCATTCAATGTATAACCCATTGAATGAATACCACAAAAATATTTGACATTTTGGCAGGATTAGATCTAATTTTTTTAAAGTTTGGCATATTTTAACATAGAATGATTTTAAAAAACTAAATAGCATTTCAAGATCTGTTGTATTTCTCTTTTGATGCAGCAGAGCCACTTAGATTTTTCCCACAGAACATATTCATTTCTGCGTACACTGAACTTAGAGAAACAGATGTATGTACCTTGACAGGTCCACCATGAGTTTCTATGTAGCTTTACTCCTTGCTTTTGGTATCTGTTTCAATGACAGGTGCACTGATATATGCATAATACTCTGCAACCCATAAGAATATCCCTATTTATTTAAGGGTGTGTGCAAAGGGATGAAACTAACATTGCAGCACAAACAGTGCTGTGCACTGGGATGATCATAATCTCAGATGGTTGAGTAAGTACTTGTCTATACGTTACAGTGTTTCCTGTCTCCACTCACACTGTTCAATAAAACTCATCACATGAGCCACCTCTATGATGCACCGTGTTTCCTTGAGCCTTCACTGGACAGCTGCCATTGCTATGGAGATCAGACAGGGTAAGTCATTGCATCAGCCTCCCCCAACCTGATGCCTTCCAGATGTGTTATGTTACAACTCCCAGTGTCCCCAGCCAGGATTGGCCATGCTGGCAATGATGGGGGCTGTCAGCTAGTGTACCTTGCAGGGAGCTAAGTTAGGGAAGGCTGTATCACATGAAAACGCAAATATGGGCTGGGTTGCAAAACGTAATAGCTAGAAAGCAAGAAAACTACTGCAAGGATGTTGATCTATGCAGGTTGCCTATCTAGAGCAGCACTGGTGGTTCCCTCTCTTTTGCTTTCAAACATCCTTTCTAACGAAGTAGCCAGTCCATAGCCAGGGAAAGCAACATGTCATAGCAGTTTACTTATGAAATCGTAGCAGGTCCAGAGTATTTACCACCTTTTAGACACAATCCGCACAATCCTTTTAGACACAATCCGCCGCGCACGCGCCCGAAGACCGCGCGAAGACTGCGCCGCGCCGCCGACTCCGCCGCTACCTGACTGCCCTGCCACGCCCCTGCACACGTGGCAGGTGTGCCCGGACGGGGTGGGGCGTCGGGTGGCCGGCGGCTATAAAGCGCCGCAGGGGGGAGCGCCGGCGGGAGGAACAACACCTGGCAGGAGACCGCGCCCGCGCCTGGGAACCGCACCGCGCCCAAAGACCGCGCCGCGCACGCGCCCAAAGACCGCGCCGCGCACGCGCCCGAAGATCGCGCGAAGACTGCGCCACGCCGCCGACTCCGCCGCTACCTGACTGCCCTGCCACGCCCCTGCACACGTGGCAGGCGTGCCCGGACGGGGTGGGGCGTCAGGCGGCCGGCGGCTACAAAGCACCAGCAGCGGCCGGGGCCGGCGGCCAAAGGGCGTCGGCCAAAGGGCGGTTTGCCGCCGTTTGGGGGGGCTGTTCGGGGGGAGCTAGGCTGGCCAGGGGACTTGCTCTTTTGTTGTGGCAGTCCCTTCTGTTGAACGGCCAATTTTAAATGTTTTATAATTTTAAAGTGTTTTAACTTGTTTTTATGGAGTCGTCCCTGGCCATGTTGCCGCCTGCGTTTCCTGGGGAGCGCACTGGCGCCGCCATTGGTGTGGTGATGGGCAATGGACGTAATAGCGGTGGGGGCTTAACGTGTCCGCATAGAAGAAGGAGGGACAGATGGCTGACACCTGTCCCTACTTCTGGTTTTGCTCCCAGCCAGAAGGTGCCAGGGAGTCTTGTCAGTTGCCCCTCGGGCCTGACGGTGCTGTTGTGTAATGCCAGGTCGGCCAATAACAAATCTGCCCTCATCCATGACTTGATTGTGGATGAGGGGGCCGACCTGGCCTGTATAACGGAGACCTGGGCGGGAGAGGGGGGGGATGTTGCCCTCTCTCAATTGTGCCCGCCCGGGTATATGGTCCAGCACTGTTCACGGCCGGAGGGGAGGGGAGGGGGGGTCGCTTTGGTTTACCGGGCCTCCATCACTCTCACGGGACTTCCTGTCCCTTCGAGACCAGGGCTGGAGTGTCTCTACTTGGTGTTGGGCGACCGAGACAGATTGGGGATTCTGTTGGTGTACCGTGCACCCTTCTGCCCAACAGTCTCCCTGCCTGAGCTGACGGAAACGGTCTCGGACCTGGTGTTGAGGACCCCCAGGATGCTGGTCCTGGGGGACTTCAATATCCATGCCGAGGCTAGTTTGACCGGGGCGGCTCAGGACTTCATGGCTTCCATGACGGCCATGGGGCTGTCTCAACATGTCACCGGCCCGACCCATGAACGTGGACACACTCTGGACCTGGTTTTCTCGACGGGGCAGGAAGAGGGTGGTCTGAGGGTGAGGAATTTATGCTTGACTCCCCTGTCATGGTCAGATCACTTCCTAGTGAGGTTTGTGCTCGAGAGCGACATCTCCCTCTGTAAGGGTGCAGACCCGATTGTGTGGGTCCGCCCCCGGAGCCGGATGGATCCGGAAGGATTCCTGAAGGCTCTGGGGGAGTTTCCGGCTGACAAGACGGGTGCTCCTGTCGAGGCTCTGGTTGAACTGTGGAATGGGGAGATGACCAGGGCTGTAGACACGATTGCTCCTAAGCGTCCTCTCCCACCGGGCAGAGCCCGCTCTTCCCCTTGGTACACTCCAGAATTGAGGGCAATGAAGCAGGTTGGGAGACGGCTAGAGCGTAGGTGGAGGAAATCACGTGATGAATCTGACCGAACACACTTAAGAGCCCACTATCGGGCCTATGCTGTGGCGGTGAGGGCGGCGAAAAAGAGACACTTCTCCGCTTCCATTGCCTCCTCACAATGCCGTCCGGCGGAGCTCTTTCGAGTGGTGCAAGGCCTGGTTCACCCAGGGCCAAAGGAAGAGCTGATTCCACCCTCAAAGGCCCGCTGTGACGACTTTGCCGAGCATTTTAGGGAGAAAATCGCTCAGATTCGTCACGAGCTGGATTCCACTATTGATTCAGAGGTTTTAAGGGAGACACCAACGCTGCCGTCTGGTCCAGAATTATTGGATGAATTTCAGTTATTGCGGCCCGATGATGTGGACAAGGTGCTTGGACGAGTACGTCCTACCACTTGCCTTCTGGACCCTTGCCCGTCTTGGTTAATAAAGGATTCCAAGCACGGGATTGGAACCTGGATCTTGGAAGTGGTTAACGCTTCTCTGAGGGAGGGTCGGGTGCCTGCCCCTTTAAAGGAGGCGGTAGTCCGACCGGTCCTGAAGAAGGCGTCACTGGATCCAGGGATGGCCGCTAACTATAGACCAGTGGCCAACATCCCGTTTCTGGGCAAGGTGTTAGAGCGAGTGGTGGCGGGACAACTCCAAGCACTCTTGGATGAAACTGATTATCTGGACCCATTTCAGTCCGGCTTCAGACCCGGGTACGGTACTGAATCTGCCTTGGTCGCCCTGTACGATGACCTGTGCAGGGAGAAGGACAGGGGGAGTGCGTCCCTGTTGGTTCTCCTGGACCTCTCAGCGGCTTTCGATACCATCGACCATGGTATCCTTCTGGATAGGCTGGCGGGATTGGGGGTCGGAGGCACCGCTTTGCGGTGGTTCCGCTCCTATCTCAACGACCGATTCCAGAAGGTGGTGTTGGGGGACTATGGCTCTGCGCCATGGCAGCTTTGCCATGGGGTACCGCAGGGTTCCATTTTGTCCCCTTTACTGTTCAATATCTACATGAAACCGCTGGGAGAGGTCATCAGGAGGTGTGGGCTGCGGACCCATCAGTATGCTGATGATACCCAGCTCTACCTCTCGTTTTCCACCAATCCAGGTGAGGCAGTGGCTGTGCTGAACCGGTGCCTGGCCGAGGTAATGGGCTGGATGAGGGCCAATAAACTGAAGCTCAATCCAGACAAGACGGAGGTCCTGTTGGTTGGCGGTTCGGGCTTCGGAGAAGGTGACCTGAACCTTGTCCTGAATGGGGTTGCACTCCCTCCTAGGGACAAGGTCCGCAGCTTGGGAGTGCTCCTCGACCCGGAGCTTTCACTTGAAGCTCAGGTGACAACAGCGGCGAGGAGCGCTTTCCTCCAGCTTCGGCTGATTCATCAGCTGCGCCCCTACCTGGAGTACGACTGCCTTGCAACAGTGACTCATGCGCTGGTGACTTCCCGTCTTGACTTCTGTAACGCGCTCTACGTGGGGCTACCCTTGAAGACGGTCCGGATACTTCAATTGGTTCAGAATAGAGCTGCCAGGCTGCTGACGGGGACTGGACGTTATGTTCACATGACGCCAGTTCTCCGTCAGCTTCACTGGCTCCCCATTGAAGTCCGGGCCCAATTCAAGGTGTTGGTAATGACCTATAAAGCCCTAAACGGCTTGGGTCCTGGTTACCTGAAGGAGCGCTTACATCCATATTTGCCCAGTCGCCCCCTGAGATCGGCGGGAGAGGCCCTTCTCCGGGAGCCCTCCGTGAGAGAAATTAGGAGGGTGGTTACTCGGAGAAGGGCTTTCTCAGCGGTGGCGCCTAAGTTATGGAATGCGCTCCCCAGAGAGGTCCGCCTGGCGCCGTCGTTATTTGTTTTTCGGCGCCAGGCTAAGACCTTTTTATTTAAGCAACATTTTAAATGCTAAATACAATTGAATTTTATCTGGCCAGGGCGGCTTATTTTATAATGTGAGTTTTAATTAAGATTATTTTATATGGATTTTAACTTGTTTTATCTATGTTGTAAGCCGCCCCGAGGCTTCGGCGAATGGGGCGGCATAAAAATGTTTTAATAAATAAATAAATAAATAAATCCTATGCCAATGTACTTGCAAAGAAGCCCCACTGAAACTAAGAGATTCTCTTCTCTGTAAACACGCATTTTGTACTGGACATGCTCAATATGTTATAATGTCATGTTCGTACAATAGGTAGTAATGGTATGAGCCCAATAATATTTGTTTAAATTAATTTATAAATCATTATGTCTATGAATATCTACTGACCAATGGGGGTGTCTGTTTTGAGAAAAGCACTGCTATTCATAATAATTTGCACGCAATTGTTTTACCTTGTGGAAACTCCCATAAAAGAGTGTCTTTACTTCTTCCCCTTCAAATGTCACGGTCTGAAGCTCTCCCCTTGTGTCCTTGTTAAAGAATGACAATACTTTGCTGGAGGCTGTGGGGAGGGAAAGACACTGTGTTGTAGATATGAACGATACACCACAAATATTTTTGTAAGAGAATAAAATATGCTAGCATCATATAGGTTAGTATGCCATGAAATGTGTCCCAGGCAGCAAAGAATGAATTACTAAGAGAAATGTAATAATTCCTGTTATGGATACTTATAACTCATTTGACTGAGACTTAGAACTTTTCTACAAAAGACTGTTAATCGACTCTTATCTGCTTTTGCTTTCACTGAAGAACTGAGAGCTGAGCCCTACACGGAGAGTGCTCCTTTCCCTTCTTTTCCACTACATAGTTCCTATATAGTACTGTAGTATAATAAAATACTCAAGTGAAAGAAGAGGCTTCTTTTACTTTTACATTTAACACTCCATTTTCCATGATCTAAAAAACCTTACCAGAAGTCCTCATTAAACACAGAAGTAAACTTGGAAGGTCACATAATCATCTAAAAGAATCTGTGAACGACCATTCATAGGGAATAACAAGCTCCCAATTGATGTCTCATGTAGAAAACTCCTCTGTATAAGTGTCTAAGCCCAATCCTAACTCCTTTGGATGGCTGTGTGTTTACAAAAAAGCTCCATGGCTGTACCTGTACCACTGCTCTGCTCTTGCTGGCTGTTGTTTAGTCACAAGGTCGTGCCCAGCCCATCGCGACCCCATGGACAACGTTCCTCCAGGCTCTCCTGTCCTCCACCATTCCTCGGAGTTCACCCAAGCTCACACCCACTGCCCCAGTGACTCCATCCAGCCACCTCATCCTCAGCTGTCCCCTTCTGCTTTTGCTGTCAATCGCTCCCAGCATCAGGGTCTTCTCCAATGAGTTGGAGCTGGCCATTAGCTGGCCAAAATATTTGAGTTTCAGCTCTTGCTGGCAGTATACTCCAAACTGAAGTGCTCTGGCCCTCTGAATCCAAAGCCCTTTCATTCTCTTTGGAAGCTCCTGATTTGGGCTTGTGAATGGTGCCAGTGGTGGGCTTAGGAATCTACTTTGTTTTTGCATTGGAATTCTTTCCACCCTAAGAGGAAAGTTGTGGGTGGGAAGAAGGCAATATATTTTTAGAGCTAAGAAACAAGGATACCTCTGAGCATATGCTCAGATTAGGTATTTATTTTCAGTGCCAGAGCTGAACTCACAACCACTCACACAAAAATTCATTCCTGAGTTCCCCCCAAACTCTTTTCTATCTCAACATCCTAATGTGATGACTGACTGAAAACCATTCAGCTGTCATTCGCCATCTATCTTCTGCCTATCCCTGAGCTACACCACCCTGGAGCTGGCATAATTAATCAATTCAATTAATCCACATAATTAATTTCACTGGCTTCAAAGGAAGGAAATTTAAAAAAAAGAGACTACCTACTGGTCTAAAAAGCCTTCTCCCACCACAGTTCCTGCACTGGCTGGCATCAGAAATGGTGGAGGTTCTACCACGTTGTTTCTCATCTCCCCCCCACCCCCACAATTAAAGTTCCAAGGTTATACAGAACTGGGAGCAAGTCCCAGTGAACTCAGTGAGATGTAATTCTGAGTGGACCATGCAGAGGCCCAACTGTAAATCATACATATAAATGCATGCTTGTTAGAATAGGAGTCACCATTTGGTAAAGCAAATAATGTGTGCATTAGAGCTTCCTCAGAATCCCAACGTTCATGTTTCAATGAAAATATTTTTCTATCCTTCTCGATTAAAAATTAAATGTGAAAATGCCATGACAGTTAACAAAAGTTTCTTCTAAAACTTTGGATGACAACCCCAGTGCTCATGTTCATTTCATACGATAAATTATTAGAGGCCTTGGTGCCCCAATAAATGACAACTACTATCAAGCTTTAAATGGGTAAGAAATATGGCTCACTGTTATAGAATGCAAGCCATCCAGCCATCCACATTTAGTAAGAGGAAATGGAGCCTGCTCATTGCAGATGGCTGAAAGGCGAGAGGGGGTAACTTGCGATTCCCAACTTGCCAGTTCTCCCACATCTCAAAACCCAGACACCACATGCAATAGCATGATTTAGGACCATTCCAGTCTGAATGAAGATTTGCCCAGTTTAAAGATGAAAGCAAAGCACTCTGGTGTATTTACTTATGCTTTTCACATGCCACCAGAATACGATGAACTACAGTAACATCTGGTATTAATTGACTGCTCACAAATGCTGACAAATAAATAGTATTTCCACAGCTGAAATGTTTGAAACGGCTGATACAAAAGGAAAAAAATCTGAGACAACTTTCAGTTAAGCAATGCTCACTTACTTTTCTGAGCATTTTAAAAAAATTGCTAGGCCCTTTGAAACAGAATTGGGGAAGCTTTTCTTGGCCTGGTGCCAGACTCTACCCTTGCCCCCAACCAATCCTGCAGTACAGAGCTCCATGCCTCTTTCTGCACAGACGTATGCAAAAATGGGTAGGGAAAGCAGGAGAGAAGGAGAGGGGCTGAGAGAGAATAGAGGTTCATCCTGGAAACAAGTGGGGAACCTCCACAGGTGAGATTCTGCCTGTTCACACTGCTTCTTTAAAGTCTAGCTTCAGAACAAAATTACTGGAAGATCTTTCTTAAAATTGATAGTCTTCCATTCCCTGAGAACAGATACTTTAAAACGTCAGATTAAACCACTGGCTGAATCATTTCATTAAAACAAAACTAGCTCTAGCCTGGCAAACACAGAGAGTGTACAACTATCCTTTTGCGCAGATTTCAGTCGGTCTCACAGTTAGCTGCCCAGCCAATCCCGCATGCTGAACAAATTTGTGACTTTTCGTATTAAATAATAAATGCATCATTATATAAGAAAAACTTTGATTCTGAAATATTAGGAAATGCCGAATGGAAACTAAGCTGTACATTTCCATTCACAGATTCAATTAATATGATATGGTAGGAGGAAAAGGATCCTTACGGTCAAGAACAACTCCAACTTGTGGTTTGTAATCTCTGTCTGTTATTTGCCAAAGTGCAAATGGTTCGGTAGTGGTTTCCGGGACAAGACGGAATAAAAATATGATAGTATAAGCCTTTGATAATCCATATGGATGAATTTCCCTGTAAAGGAAAGCATGAAAGCACTGCTCAGTAAACATGTGTGGAAAAAAGTTCAATAACCTTTTGAAAACCCAGAAAAGACCGTAGAAAAATGTCAGTTATATGTGTTATATGTTAATTGCATTGGAAAATGTATAACCAGAAGGCAAGGGGTGCTTCCAGATGGGGTATTCTTAACATTGCCATTCAAAAGGCATTGTGCATCTCTTCCATATATTTTCCTTCATAGACTTCTTCTGGGGGGGAAAAGATGGAAGCAGCAACAGAAGAAATGACAGGGTCAAAAGTACAAGATAATAAGGCTAGTCCTCCTGTAAAATTCAGTAAATGAGACAGCATGATTGCACAATAAAAATCTTGACTGGAAGCAAGCTACAGCTCAAAGTTGCCAATCACGCAAAATGAAGAAGACACAGATTCTTGCTCAATAGATGGCCATTCATTTTCCTGAAAAGAAAGGAGGCTGGTGTGTCAAAAATGACACAAAAGAACCTTGAAGAACCTACATTGTACTTGAGAGTCAAACAAGCTCTCACAAAAAAGGAAGGTTAATTTAAACCATCTGTGTTCTTCAGTTTACCTACTTGGATTCTCCCTTTCCCAGTGTTCCCACCCTAGTTAAAAGGATTGTGTAGAAGTGTGAATAATTTGATTCCAAAGCTTCTGCTGAAATAATTAAATTGTAAAATTTCAGCAAACAAATGATATAGCTCTCCCTTCTATAGTGGGGGATTGAAAACACCGGTGAGAAGACTGGGATGACAGAAGCATACACGTTAGGGTCATAACATGATAGGACAGAGGAGAGAAAGGCACAACAGAAGTCTAATGGGCACGTGAGCAGCATGTTGAGTGAATGGAGTGCAGGAGAAGTGGCCGTCGAAGAAAAGAAACAACACAACTTACATTGTGGGCTGGCTGACAAAGGCGTTTTTATGGAGCTTGTACGCCACATGACTGGGGAAAGATCCTGTCTGCAGTGAAACGCCTGGTACTGAAGCAAAATACTTCTCTGTTAAGTTGTAAGAGTCCAGCATCCTAAAGCCTGCAGGGAAGAAAACACAGTGGAGGAATTCAGAAAAAAAAGGAAGTGAGGAATGTTTGTATATAACGTCTGGGCTATTTGTATATAACTTCTTACCAGGAGCAGTGTATCCATCCAAGTACATGAGAGGACAAGCTGAAATGGAAGAAAAAACATGTCAGATGAAAGAAAAACAGAATTGCTGTTGTAGATGTATGCAGCCTTCCCTACTGGTGCCCGCCTGGTGTGCTGGACTACCATTTTGCTGGAGGTGGGAGGAGTTGTGATCCAAGCAACTGAAGACACCGGGTTTGAGGGAGGTGCTTGGTGGTTTTCAAAGAGAGGTCTGGCAGACTTACCTGTCCGAGACACTTTGGCTAAGGTTTGAAAAGTTTCGTGCACCTGCTGCATTCACTTGGGGATTTCTATGGATCTCCTATTTTCACTGCAACTTATCATACTGCACCAGATGCCACTCTGGACACAGCCTGTCTTCCAAGAAGTGAAGGCATGAAGGAACGCAGTGGGAAGGGGGAGGCTGAAGAGAGTGCCTGTGTGCACACAGGAACACACAGCCCAGAAGGATCTCAGCCTTTGTCGCTCACGGAACTGATAAACAAATGCATAGTGTGACAGTCCAGATTCCATGCTTGTGATATCAGCATTTTTAGACCAGTTGCAAAGCCTCAAGCCTCAGGATAATTATTTATTTTATGATTACATTTGTTAGAAGGTAAATGACTGAAGGAACAAATATGAATTAGTCTATCAGGGAAGTGTAAGTAAATCCTAAGACAGGACTTACACTGTTCCACCTATCCTCATAAGTAGACTTTCCCTTGGCTCAGAAAGCTGGAAATTCACAACTGGACCACAGTTTGATAATAGTTCACATCTGAGACGGTGTTCTGCTTATAAAGAGATTTCTCTTCAAAAGCTAAAAAGGTTTGGCAGCAGTACTGATAGATTAATATAGGAATATGTATTAAATTATTCCTATATCAGATTACTAGTACATTAAATATAGTTGTTTAAGTAGGCTAGTACATTAAATATAGTTGTTTAAGTAGGCTATTTCCAATTAAAGTTTATGTCCTGTTAAAATAAGTGCTCTCAAAAGGTACTACAGAATTAAAACTTTAAACAACTTTAGCTTAATTTACAAACTGGAATAGAATAGCAGTAGAGCTGGAAGGCCAATCAAGTCCAACCCCCATTCCACTTCCACGTGTGGTCTCCCATCTGGCTGCAGGACCACACCTTTCCAGCTTAGCAAAGCAATTCAATATGCTAGCTTGATTTATAACTATGTAAGCAGAGTAAGCTGATTTTATGTATACAGATTATATTGAATAATATGCATAACGCTTGGGGTTGTTATCCAGAGAAGAATGTATGACATCAAAAATAATAGGAAGTCCTTGGTACAAGCTCAATGCTATGCTGGCTTCCATGAGCTCAAAAGATGGCCTTATGCAAGTCAGTACATCACAGCCTGAGCTCTCCTTATGCAGACAGTACTTGTATGAAATACTGATGCAGAGTAGGAAGCTTCCTTAGAGTCAGTCAGTCCATCTTGCCCAGTACTGTCAACACTGTCTGCCAGGGGCTCTCCAGGGTTTCAAGCAGGGGACTCCACAGTCCTACCTGGAGATGCCAGGGATTGCAGCTGGGACCTGCGGCATGCAAAGCATCTGTTTTGCCTTTCTCCTTTGATGATACCAGCATGTGCAAAGAGGTCAAGTAAATATCTTGTCTCCTTAATGAAATGCAACATGCAGTGTGCTTTACGTAAATATGGCCTACACTGGACTGAAACTCATTCTGGAGATAGTGCAGAGAGGATATTTACTTACTTGAGGTAGCTGTCTCACAAACAAAGGTGATGAGGTTATCCTCAATCTTTGCAAAAGCATCAAAATCATCCACTATAAAGACATGACGTTCACTGGGTTTGCTGGCAATTTTGGCTAGTTCATGGTAATCCACATCAGCCACACCAATAACAAAGACACTGAAACCTACAAATGCAATATTAATTGAGTTAATATCAGTAGAGGAACATTTCTTCAAGTTCTTCTAGGTCAAAGATAGCACTAATCCATCACTTATATTAGGATGAACCCATGAAGCAGCACAAAGCTCTTAAGAGGGACAATGTTGTGTGTACATGCACATGTGTGCATCTACAGATGCAGGACCCCTTACATTTTAAATGTCCATGATGTAAGAAAAGGAAAGCATATTACACTGAAGAGGGAAAGAAATGAAATTTGTTCTGAAGAAAAGCTTACACATACAGCATGGTTTACACTGAGAACTAACAGCTATTTTACTTCCATATTTTTTCTCGCAGTTCTCAGACTATGGGATTCTTCCACCTCTTTCTCTCTCTTTCTCTCAATCTCAGAAGACTAAAATCCCCCATCAGATTTCTCCTTGTATGCGGTTATATTTCTTCTCTTATCACATCCCTGGGCAACACATCTATTTACCCATTTGACTTGCCTACTGCTAAGTCATTAAAACTTTTATTCTAGATCTTTGTTCTGAAAACAGATGTTGGCTCTTCAGAACTATTGTGGACGCAATTCAAGCTGTAGCATTTTGAAAGTCCTTGATATTTTTAAATGCTGCTGCCCACTAACAAACCAGCTTATAGGAGTACCCTGCTAGTGAAAGACCGTTACATCAGATGGTGAAATACACAACAGAAGTGACAGCTCTCCTGTGTGCTGGGTCTCATGTCCATATGAGGCTTTGAAAAGGTTTTTACCTCACTTTGACTTTTCTGCATTTTGTTGTTGCAACCTGGAATTGTAATGGGTTTCATTTACATTGCTACCGCTTCAAGTTCCAATGGTATTCAACACTGCAAAATATTTTGTTGTGGCAAACCTGGCACATGTTGATTGAATAAGTCTTCCCTTCCTGAGTCAATATTTGGTACAAGCATGTTTGGCAGCAATCACAGTATTCTTGGGTTAAGTCTCTATGAGCATGTTCATCTGGATCCTGCAATGGTTGTCCATTCTTCCTGGCAAAACTGCTCCAGCTCTATCAGATTGGATGGGGATCGTTAGTGAATAATACCTTTCAAGTCTTGCTGCAGATTTTCAATCAGGCAGGAGTCTGGTCTGCACTAGGCCATTCAAGGACATTCTGGTTCTTGTTTGTAAACCACTCCAGCATTTCTCTGACTGTATGTGTAGGGTCACTGCCCTGCTGCAAGGTGAACCTCTACCCCAGCTCCAGGTTGCTTGCAGATTAAAAGAGCTTTTCTTGTAGAATTGTCCTATATCTGGCTCCATCAATCTTGCCCTCAGTCCTGACCAGTTTCCCAGTCCCTGCCATGGAAAAGTAACTCCACAGCATGATTCTGCCACTACCATTCTTCATCATGGAGATGGTGTTTAAGACAGTGAGCACTGATAGCTTGGCACCATACACAGCATTTTGCAACAAGGTCAAAAACATTCAGTTTTGGTCTCATCAGAACAAATAACTATTTTCCACATGTTTGCTGTGTCTCCAACATGCCTTTCTGCAGACTCTGAATGGACATAGAGAGGGGTTTGATGCAGCAATAGGATTTTCTTGCATTCTTGCATAGAGCCCATGTGGAGTGCCCAGGTGTTCAATTTGCCACGGTCAGTTTCTCCCATTTCAGCTGCAGATCTCTGTAGATCCTTTATAGTTATCATTGGCCTCTTCGTTGCTTCAAAAACCAATTCCTCTTTATCTGGTCACAAAGTTTTGGTGGATGGCCTTCCCTACGCAGAGCCATAGTTTAGCCATATTCTCTTCATTTTGTAATGATGGGTTTCATGGTCTTCCAGGGGATACACAGTTTCAGTGGGGTTTTTGTTTTGGTTTGGTTTTGGTGCGTCTTTTATCCTAGAGTTGTTTTGATAGCTCCTTAGTTTTCATGATAAAGAGATGCTCTCCAACACACTCTGGGACCTTCTAGAACCCGGTGTTTTGAGACCATGAGGCACTAGAATTGCACACAGGAAGACTCCACTCAGCAACTTACAGCAAGTGGCAATGGGTGCCAACAGAGCTTGTCCAGGCATGTTACAGAAAAGGGGATGAGTGCTTTATATAACTAACAATTGCTGGCTTGGGTTTGTTTACTTATTTTTTGTGGCACAATAAAAATACTTTGTTTCTTCACAATGCTGAGCATCTTGCATGCATCAAATGCAAATATGCCAATTAAATCCATTTCAATTCCAGATTGCAACACACAAAAGGTGGAAATGCCTAACAGGGCCTGAACATATTTGCAAGGCAATTCAGGCACTTAACAAAGATTATGGGCTTTAAAACAGCTAATGAGAGGGATTGCTTGGCTCTTCCTCATCTGACATAGCATGGCATTTCAGCTGAAGCAATGGAAAGTTGTATTTGTGTCAATTTAGGACTGTGTTGCTAATTGCTTAATAGCTCAAAAGCTTAGCAACAAACTAAAACAAAATAATTGAGGGACAGTTCTAATTTTGCTGTATCTTATGGGTGCTTATTGTGACACAGTCCCTGAAATCCCCACTATCAAACTGTTAACACAGTTAATCTCTAAAGCAAACTTTTCATTTTCAGTGCTTTTGAAAAATATAGACATTTAGAATAAAAATTTTCTTGTTCTCAAATAGTATTTCTTAAGGGTTGATCACATAGCAGATTTTACTATATATCACTTTCTATAGATCAAGTTCCTCATTTCTATTCCTTATTCTTACATACACATTTTAGTCACTACTATTACTATTTTACATTGTTGCAGAAAGTGAACCATTTTCTAGAAACAACTACTTGTTGTCTTCCACTTCATATCAATCCTCTAACTTCTCACGTATCATTTTCACCTATTCTGTGATTCCAAACCCTGCTGTTTCAGGAAATTCTCTGTATAGTCACATTTTCTCTCAATCAATCTCTGCCCTTCATGCAACCACATCCATTTTATTTGTATCTACTTTTAACATTCAGCCACACATGAAAAAATGATATAGCTATGTTAAAATTAAAGGAATTCATCCTTAAGTTATTCACAATATCTCAAGAAGGTTAAAAAGAGAGAATATAATATTACATAAGATTTTTCATATATATATTATCAGTTTGTGTGTGTATTATCAGTATATGCACACATACATTATGTATGTAAATATATGCAATATTTTATGTACACATATAAAATCAGTAATTTCTATTGCTCTTGAACATATTCCCAGGTGGCTAATTTAAAAAGTGAGAAAAATAAGTTAAAACCACAAAAAAATAAAACCCCAAACAAAACAACCAGCACAAACTCAGATTAAAATTGTATGAAAGAACCTGAGGAAAATAAAAGATCTCTACCCGGTACTGCAAGGAAAATAAAGTAGATAACTCTGAACAGAATGGTACACAATGGGAATGCCACCTCTGAGAAGTACATCTCTCTGAAAACCATTTCATATAGAGGGGACAAGTTAAAGGAATTCCTCCTGCCTTACTAAGCATTCATAAGGTAGCTTTCAAGTGTTATGTTCTTAAGACAAGCCATGCAGTAGTTCAAGCATGTCTCAGAAATACTTGCTTATGGTTATGATGTTATAACCCAGCTATCTGATCAAGGCAAAATCTGGCATTTGAAAAGGTTTGCAGAATTACAGTCCTTTTAAATCCTATCACATAAAAATTGCTTACCGGAATGCTGTATGACAGCTGCAGCTTTCATCACTTCATCTTGTGACCGACCATCTGTTACAACAACAAGTACTTTGGGAACACCTTTCCTCATGCCACTTTCCCATGTTAAGACTTTATCTTTGATAAATGTTAGTGCTTTGCCTGTGAATTATGAAACAAAGTCCATTTTAAGTTACCCATTCCAATTATTATTTTAGAAGCATTGCCTTGGACATTAACAGTGGAATCAAATACAATTAAAATAAATGGAATAATAAAAGACAGTGAGTGCTTTTGATGATCACTTGGAATTAATATGTAGTAATCCACCCAAATTTACCTGTTCTTGTGTTTCCCCCCCTGTATTGAACATTCTGAAGTGCTCCCAGTGCCTGAGCCTTCTCATCATACGTATTTAGATGAAACTCAGACTTTGGATCATCGCTGTATTGAACAAAGGAAACCTGAAAAGGAGAATGGAAACGTAAATCTAATACTACTGGAAAGAATGCACTCCAACAATGAGGGCTTTATCAATCATTTTCAGTAACAAAATAATGGAGAGAAATGGATCATCAGGGAAAGACTTGGTATTACATAAGCATGTAAAGAAAAAGGTAGCTGATGATCTGCAGAACCTGGTGCGTGATGGGGATAACATAATCCCAAAAACAGTTTTGAAAAATATATTCATCATACACAGATTTATTGGCAATTAAGAGATCTGTATGTGACACAAGTGATCTATCTAGATTGTTACCATATATGATAGGGTTCTTTTAAACAGTTGCTCCTTCATGGATCACTGCCTTGTCGTGGTGAAGGGGCTTGCGTAGCTCAATGAAGCTATGAGCTATGCCGTGCAGGGCCACCCAAGACGGACAGGTCATAGCAGAGAGCTCTGACAAAACGTGATCCACTGGAGAAGGAAATGGCAACCCACTCCAGTATCTTTGCCATGAAAACCCCACGGACAGTATCAACAGGCAAAAAGATATGACGCCTGACGATGAGCCCCTCAGGTCGGAAGGTGTCCAATATGCTACTGGGGAAGAGCAGAGAGCTAGTACTAGTAGTGCCAGAAAGAATGAAGTGACTAGATCAAAGCCGAAAGGACACTCCGTTGCAGATGTATCTGGTGGTGAAAGGAGAGTCCGATGCTGTAAAGATTTATACTCCATAGGAACCTGGAATGTAAGATCCATGAATCAAGGCAAGCTGGATGTGGTCAAACAACAGATGACAAGACTGAACATCGACATCTTAGGAATCAGTGAACTAAAATGGACAGGAATGGGTGAATTTAATTCAGATGACCATCAGGTACACTACTGCATGCAAGAATCCCTCAGAAGAAATGGAGTAGCCTTCATAGTCAATAAAAGAGTAGGAAAAGCAATACTGGGATACAACCTCCAAAATGACAGAATGATCTCAGTTCGAATCCAAGGAAAACCATTCAACATCACAATAGTCCAAGTCTATGCCCCAACCACTGGTGCTGAAGAGGCTGAAGTTGACCAGTTCTATGAAGGCCTACAACACCTTCTAGAATTAACACCAAAAAATGATGTCCTTATCATCATGGGGGATTGGAATGCTAAAGTAGGAAGCCAAAAGATAACTGGAATAACAGGTAAATTTGGCCTTGGAGTACAAAATGAAGCAGGGCACAGGCTGGAAGAATTTTGTCAAGAGAATACGATGGTCATAGCAAACACTCTTTTCCAACAACCCAAGAGATGACTCTACACATGGACTTCACCAGACGGTCAACACAGAAATCAGATTGACTATGTGCTCTATACAATCAGTAAAAACTAGACCAGGAGCTGACTGTGGCTCAGATCATGAGCTTCTGGTTGCGAAATTTAGGCTTAAATGGAAGAAAGTAGGGAAAAGCACTAGGGCACTCAGGTATGACCTAAATCATATCCCTGATGAATATACAGTAGAGGTGACAAATAGATTTAAGGAATTAGATCTGATAGACAGAGTGCCTGAAGAACTATGGACTGAAGTTCGCAACATTGTACCAGAGGTAGCGACTAAAACCATCCCAAAGAAAAAGAAATGCAAGAAAGCAAAATGGCTGTCTGAGGACGCTTTACAAATAGCTGAGGAAAGAAAGGAAGCGAAAGGCAAGGGAGAAAGAGAAAGATACACCCAATTGAATGCAGAATTCCAGAGAATAGGTAGAAGAGATAAGAATGCCTTCTTAAATGAACAGTGTAAAGAAATAGAAGAAAACAATAGAATAGGGAGGACCAGAGATCTCTTCAAGAAAATTGGAGATATGAAGGGAATGTTTCATGCAAAGATGGGCATGATAAACGACCAAAATGGCAGGGACCTAACAAAGGCAGAAGAGATTAAGAAGAGGTGGCAAGATTACACAGAAGAATTATACAAGAAAGAGCTTGACATCCCTGATAACCACGATGGGGTGGTCACTGATCTCGAGCCAGACATCCTGGAATCTGAAGTCAAATGGGCCTTAGGAAGTATGAGCAACAACAAAGCTAGTGGAGGTGACAGTATTCCAGCTGAGCTATTCAAAATCCTAAAAGACGATGCAGTAAAAGTGCTACACTCAATATGCCAGCAAATTTGGAAAACTCAGCAGTGGCTACAGGATTGGAAAAGGTCAGTTTACATTCCGATTCCAAAGAAGGGCAATGCCAAAGATTGTTCAAACTACCGCACCATTGCACTCATTTCACATGCTAGCAAAGTGATGCTCAAAATCCTACAAGCTAGGCTCCAGCAGTATGTGGACTGAGAACTACCAGAAGTGCAGTCAGGATTTTGAAGAGGGAGAGGAATTTGAGATCAAATTGCCAACATATATTGGATCATGGAGAAAGCTAGGGAGTTCCAGAAAAACATCTACTTCTGCTTCATTGACTATGCTAAAAGCCTTTGATTGTGTGGATCACAACAAATTGTGGCAAGTCCTTAAAGAGATGGGAGTCCCAGACCATCTTATTTGTCTCTTGAGAAACCTATATGTGGGTCAAGAAGCAACAGTGAGAACTGGACACGGAGCCACTGATTGGTTCAAAAATGAGGAAGGAGTTCGGCAAGGCTGTATATTGTCACCCTGCCTATTTAACTTATATGCAGAGCACATCATAAGAAAGGCGGGACTAGATGAATCTCCAGTTGGAATTAATATTTCTGGGAGAAATATCAACAACCTCAGATATGCAGATGATACCACTCTATCATCTTGGCAGAAAGTGAAGAGCAACTAAAGAGCCTCTTGATGCGGGTGAAGGAGCAGAGTGCAAAAGTTGGCTTCAAACTCAACATTAAGAAAACTAAGATCATGGCATCCAGTCACCTCACTTCCTGACAAATAGATGGGGAAGAAATGGAGGTAGTGACAGATTTTATTTTCCTGGGCTCCAAGATCACTGCAGACGGGGACTGCAGCCCAGAAATTAAAAGACGCTTGCTCCTGGGGAGGAAAGCTATGGCAAATCTAGACAGCATACTAAAAAGCAGAGACATCACCCTGCCAACGAAAGTGCGTATAGTCAAGGCTATGGTTTTCCCAGTTGCAATATATGGCTGTGAAAGCTGGACCATAAGGACGGCTGAGCGCCGAAGGATTGAGGCCTTTTAATTGTGGTGCTGGAGGAGACTCCTGTGAGTCCCTTGGACCGCAAGATGATCAAACCAGTCAGTCCTAGGGGAGATCAACCCTGACTGCTCTTTAGAAGGCCAGATACTGAAGATGAAACTCAAATACTTTGGCCACCTAATGAGAAGGAAGGACTCCCTGGAGAAGAGCCTAATGCTGGGAACAATAGATGGCAAAAGAAGAAGGGGACGGCAGAGGATGAGGTGGCTGGATGGAGTCACTGAAGCAGTTGGTATGAGCTGAAGTGGACTCCGGGGGATGGTGGAGGACAGGAAGGCCTGGAGGAATGTGGTCCATGGGGTTGCGATGGGTCGGACACGACTTCGCGACTAACAACAACAAAACAGTTGCGCTGTCGTATTATTTATATATTTGTTTGCTTGTAGTATTTATATACCACTAAATATAATAAAATCCCTCTGCCTTCACTAAGGCCATTCCATCCTGCAAACGTTAAAATCATACTCTTGTTTTTAGCTGGCCAGTTTTTCTATTTTTGGGCAGAATGAATGATAAGACTTTTCTAACAAACTGTATAATAATGTCTTGCACTCCCAGAATCAGCAAACTGTCCAATGACCTGGATCCTTTCCCACTAACTATGGCAACAGGAATACACATAAAACATAGAGCAAAGAGAAGCATCTGTCTAAGATACCCAGTTAGCTTCAGCCAACATTGAATCTAGTGGCTTCTTTTAAGAATCTTTAAGTCTCAGTTTTTCATACTTAACAGAATAACCAAACCTGAATTCCAGCAGGGTTGATTAGGTCAAAGGCTCCAACCGTATTGAAAACAAATTTCACAACTTTGTTGAAATTGTCATCCCCGATACTCCAGGAAGCATCCGTCAAGAAGACGATATCTGCTTTGGCTCCCTTGCATACTGAAAGATACATTGAAGTCAGAGGTCATTTAACAGATCACACTGCAGGAGATATTCTAATGAAAATGTGTATGAAACATTTCATTTCAACCTTCAGAATACATCTAACAAGCAATTATGGAAAATATATTTATTCACTCAAATGGACCAAACATAGGTATAGAATTACCAACACAAAAGCCAAAATTATCTGAAGGCTTTAAAAGAGGGGTGCACACAAATGTTTTTTTAAAAACAGATAAAGGATCAAATACACCTTTGAACAGAACTTAAGTCACCGCTCAGGAGAAATGAGTGCTCTTTTAATTAATCAATTAATTGGAATATTTTTACTCTGTCTTTCAGTCAGGGCTCTCAAAATGGCGTAGACTATAACATTGTAAGTATTATAACAAATATAATACTTCCTTGTTAAATGTATTTAGTAATATATGAGAGCAAAATCAATGACCAGCATTTAGACATTCAGCACCTAGCAGAGCAAGAATATTTTCCTTGCTCACCAAATGGCAAATGCTGAAAGAGCTAGTCTAATCTGCCTGACAGGGGAGTTCTAAAATGAAAATGCCATGACGGGAAGTCCCTCTCATGTGTTTCCAGCTAATAGTCGTTCCAATGCCCTGTTTTCATAGATATGCCAGAAATAAGACAAAATCATCAACCAGATTTACCTTCTCGAGCAGGTGGGATTGTTGGAGGTGGAGGAGGAGTTGGTGGCGGTGTTGGTGGTTCTGTTGGCTTGATTACTAAAATTAAAATAATCAATTTAAATGTTTTGCATCTTAAATATTTTTAACTTTGTTGGTTTAATTATTCACATCTTATAGAAGAGCAATCCAACTAATAGATGTTCATTTGGCAAGTTGGTTTATTGGAACTTTGCCAACATTACTTGTATTCATGATATGCTTTCAGAAAGAAAATAAATTATTGTTTAAAAATATTTATCACAATCCAATTATAAGTATTAAGTTTCTAATCGTTCTACTTGGGTCTGCAAAACTAGATTGGGGACAGCTGAGAAGTTACATGACTCTGACTGGCTAGAATATATGATTGGTGGCTGCATTCTAGTTCAGTGGGTTACAAACTGTTCATTTCTCTAGTAAAACAAGGTGGCATTCCTTAGCAAGAGACTGCTGATTCCAAACAGATGAACCCCAATCTTGTAAAGGTTCAGTCAGAGGTACGTCTCATTAAGTGAGAGTTATACCCAAGGAAATATGCAAAGAACTTGCATCCAACTTTTCAAGAGCAGTAATTGCATTATACTCTTCTAGCAAAAGATTGAGCCATTGTGTCTGATAAACAGAATGGGCAGAATGGGATTAAAACATTTTCTGAAATCCTTTCAGTATGATTACCACGTCCCCCATATGTTACCTAATTCCCAGAGATCTCAGAAATGGAGAGCAGAGGAAAACAAGATTCCATAAAAAGTATTACAGAAGTGTTTACAAGGTCAAGAATTATAATAGCATTGGGTTTAACCACATTGGGTTGGGACCAGTGTTAAGTCTAATTTAAGTCAATTCATTCCAATGGATCTATGCTAGGTAAGACTAATGTTGCATACAACCATTCTTTTCACGTGCTTTACTAGTCATCACCCCCACCAGTCACTTACATGTCCGCTCCCTGGTAGATACTGGAGGCCCTTCTAGGTTTGGTGTTTGAACAAAGACAGTAGCATCGTAAGTGGTATCTGGCGAGAGGCCAGTAAAACAGTGACTTGTTTCTGTTCCACGCACTGTAATTTCTTGGCCCCTAGATCCTGTAGGTGGATAAAACATTGAAAAGAGGGCTTAATAAATACTTTCATGTATAGGGCAGGATACAACAGTTTTAAATAAATAAATAAATGAAATATAGAACATTATGGGTACTTGTCTGATGTCTGCAAGTAGAAAGCAAAAGTAAATACAGAAAAGAAGGGGATGGTTGTACAAAGGATTGCTAGCAACTTCGCTGTATGTTGCTTCTAATTTCTAAAACTCTTGGAAAAGGCTTGGGAGCATCTGAGCCACAGAGTGGTAAACAGCACTGGTAGGGTATGGAAGGGGAAAAATAGGTAGCAGTTTATTGACATAACTGTAGAGGGGAAGGACTGCGTAGCAGGCAACATGCTTGCTTGTGATACAGAAAATTTGGGTCTTGGTCCTTTCTTTGATCTGCCTTACAGTGTCATAATGTCAATAGGCGCCATAGTTACCAAAAAACTTACAAAAGGGAATAAAAGCACTTTCTAGCATTGCAGCAGAGATAATGTAGGATTAACTGTTTTACGCATTTATTTATTCATACCCTGCAATGGATAGGAGGAGATGTATATGCAATAATGAGGAAAAGACATTATCTATAACTTTTAGCTCCTTGAACTGTAATGTGAGGGACCAAAAAAAAAAAAAAATCCCTCCTGACTGAAGGGAAATGGGGGAGGGGGGAACAGCTGGAAAAGGGACCCAAAGAACATAAAAGCTCCCATAAGCACTGAAACAACAGCACTATTTTATGGAGAGCTGTGGGTGAATAAGATATGCAGTGTCTCTGGAATAAATGGGATTTGTCATGTCCTCTGCCCTTCCCAGTCCAGGCAAATCTAAAGTCTTATCTCCAACCACATAAATTTAAGAAGAAGAAAATAGTACAGAGGAAATCCAGAAAATATAAGGAGGAAGTAAAAGGATCTTAAAGTTTCAGAGCACTAGGCTTGTTTTGTTTCTTAGAGGCAGAGGATCTGATCAGAACTCTTGGCCAGAGAGAGACACATGTTGTTCATGCTCTTCCCAGCCTTTCCCAGCTCCAGTAAATGCATAATCCATATCCTCAGTCAAGACTACAACCCTTTGGCTAAGCCTGTCCATTTCAGTTACAGCTATCTGTTGGCTAAGGCTCTCTGACTTGAAGGGAGGAAGAAAAGGGATTTGTCAAGTAGAAAGTCCTTCCAAGTTATACAGTGAGGAAGATTCTAAAACATTATGTATTTCTTAAAAGTGTGTACTCCCCAGAAAGGCAGGCTGAGATATCTACAGGGGTTTTACTCTCAGTTTGTTGGGTACCTCTAAGGTCCTTAGTATATTTGAGATATGAGCCATAAGAATGAAATCAGGGAAGGATACTTGCAAATATACTGGTGCCTGCAGGCTCATTGCCTAACGTTTTCCATTTAGACCCCTCAACAGAACTGAAAGTCACAGAATCCTTGCCCTCCAGATTCTAATTCCCTCCCTGCACTTCACCAGCAACAACCTGGGAATAAGTTATGAATAAGCATGGAAAGTTTGTCACTAGGGCTTTAAAGGAGACCTTGCTGTTCAAGTGTTGCAAGACCTAGATGGAAACACCAGTCTCTCATGATACAGTCCCCGTATTCATTTTGGCACAACTCAATCATCTCATACTACTGTATTAGTATAAATAAGATTTACCATCAGCAGGATTTAGCTTCAGTCTGTAAGAAGAGGCCGATCGATGAGCTGCCCATCTGATGCAGAAAGTGTCCCATCCCACGTTATAACTTTTTAGATCAGTTACATTCAAGTACACTATAAAGTTTAAAAGGAAAAAAGCTCAATTAATTACATGGGGAAAACAAGGAAAACTATGAAAATATGGTAAATAATTATAGGAAGTCAACTCTAATCATGAAATACCGACTGTGAACTTTGTACGATACTACAGAAAGTGTGAGGAAGGACTATTCAGGTACACACTTGTACATTTCCCTTCACTATAACTTAAAAGTTAGAAATGCTGTAAGTACCTCCAAGTGAAGTGCAGATGCAATGACAGCTTTAATGGTGTCAGACTGCACAAGACATGAATCGGAGATGATCCAGACAGGAATAATGAGATACACACTCCCTAAGTATTTGCTCAAAATTTGAACATGTGAAAATGGCAGCAGCAGCACCATCCACCCAATAATTTAACATGACTTTAAAATCTTTACACACATGAAAAGAAAATAAAACAAGCCAGGAAACTAGGAATTGTGGCAAAAGCTATCTGAGAAAGAAGAAAAATTAAACAAAAGCAGGATCTACAAAAGTTATTCTAAAAAAACACTATATGAAGTTTCTCTGAAATGTTGCTACATTCAAATCACATAATGGGCCATTCCAAAGCAGGCAAGCAAGATAGCAGAGAATTAACTCTTGAGGCCAAACTATATTTTACAATGCAGCCACATGTAATGCTAGCTCAATGGCTGCTTGTCCACTGTAAAGTGTCCTTAGCAGAGACAATTTCCAATGGAAAAATAGGAGGTACTTTATAATATTTCTGCTCAAAAGCCCTCCTCTAAAACTTCCCAAAGCAGTCTGCCTTTTACTCCATGGTTTCTCCATGGGAGGTAAACACAAGCTTGCAATCACATAGTGCAGTCTTCTCAACCCACTCTTCCAGATGTTGTGGACGTCAACCCCCATCTACCTCGCCTAGCACAGCCAATGGTAAGGAAAGATGGAATGTAATACATCTGGAAGGAAACTAGGTTGGGGAAGACTGCTGGAGAAGAAAGCAGCTTCTAGGGAGTTTCATGGAGAAGTTACATCACACAGAATATAATGTACTAGATAACAGAATTTTGTCTGATTTCCCACCTAGTAACTATGGACAGCATATTTCCTGGCACAATAACATGCTTGGCTGAAAGTCCAGTATAATAGTACTTCTCCAAAACTAGAGCAGACAGATTCTGACAGATGAAGACTCCTTGTTGGAATAACTTATTTTTCTCACTTCTCACTAGTCCAAAGTTGGCCCATGTAAAAAAAGGTTTTTTTCATTATTCATACTTGAAAAATGACTTTGACTTACATGTAGTGCCTTGATCAACCAGAGGTGCGCTGAGTCCAGAATCATATTGAGCATAAACACTTACATCATAGGAAGTACTAGGAGAAAGGTTGTGCAATGTATATGCAGTCACCTCTCCTACAAACACTTCCATTGTCTCATCAGTACCTTAAAAGAAAAGGAATGAAACAAGGAGTTCTAATTTGCAAGGGCTACAAAGAAACGCTTTATAGTGAGTTAGACCATTATCTCAGCCCACTCTTAACTGGCAGCAGCCTCTAGGAGGACACTGGCAAAATTACTTTCACATACATTTATTGTCCGTATTTATGGTAACATCTATATCCCACCATTTCTTCCTCCAAAAAGCCCAAGATGGCTTACATGATCCTCCTCTTATCCCCTCAGCAACCATGCAAGGCACTTTAGGCTGAGAGGCAGTGCTGGCCCTAAAAAGTTACTCAGAGAGCTCCATGGGCAAGAATGACCAAGGCCCAGTCTGGGGTTCAAAATAGGGGTGCTAACAGCAGACCCACAAGATTTATTTGGTGGGCTGAGATCCCCAGCATTGTTCTGCAGCTGTAGTAAAGAAAGTTGGGAAAGGGAAAAATACTCTTTGAACAAGCTCTGCAGTTACAGACACAGGAGCTGTGTTTGTGGAATGTTCCTGCAGCATCCAAGGAATAGTCCTTAAAGGTTCCTGCCTGCTTGCTAGGATGTTCTACAGATGTTCTAGGAATGGGAATCTACAGCAGGAACCACAGGCTCTATTCCTAGGACATCTTTTTTCCCCGCATGGAGGTCAGCTTAGAATGATAGTGGGGGTTTTCCATTCATGCTGTGATATGAAACAGATGCTGTTGCTACAAGACTTTGAACTGTTGCTGCTGGGGTGCATGAGATGTATGTTAATGGTTTGAGGGTGTGTGTGTATGTGTGCATTTTGTATGTGAGGGGGTGCATGTGTGCTCATGCTTGCACACACATGTGTAATCCCTGCTATCCCAGCAGACTCCTGGTGACGTCCTCAAGGCTGAAAAAGTTGTGCATCCCTGAAACATATACATAAAGTTATAACTTCTGATCTTACCCACAGGCTTATACACAATTTTGTACCCAAGAACAGGAGATGGTGCAGGATCCCAGGAAACTCTAAATCGTGTGTACCATTCATCTGAAATGTGTATGTTCTGAGGAGCAAGCAGCCCAACTGAAAACAAAAATATTAACAGTATTAAGTTGCAGCATGTTGTTGTTGTTCAAGTCATCTCCAATTTATGCTGACCCTATGAATGAACACCCCCCCCCCGGAATGTCCTGTCCGTGGCATCCCTGTTCCACGTTCAAGGCTGTGGCTTCCTTGGTGGAGTCAGCCCATCTCTTATTTAGTCCTCCTTTTCTTCTACCTAGAATGATTGTCTTTCCAGTGAATCTGGCCTTCTTGTGAGGTGGAACTTGCAGCACAGAACCATGTAATGTGGGGGTGAGGGGAGGCTGTATGCACCAATGTAACTGACAGGAGCTCCTGGACCAAGGTGAGTGACTCGATAGCCGAAAAGGGTTTCCACATTTCCTATGCCCAAGAGGAACTCAGGATACACAAGCAATCTCTAAATTGTGTGCTGCGAGAAAATGAAGAAATAAAGGTTCCTGGGAGCTCAAAACAGGGGGATGCTTAATGCAACCCTTGATGGTTCATTATTGCAGTCTTGCCTCTGATGAAGGGTAAGTAATTCTGCTCTGGGTCATTCAATCATTCCCAATCAGACAGCACTTCCAGAAGCGGCCACCCACTATAACTTATGCATCTTACAGTAAAAGTATTTGCCTAATACCACCTTGCATTATAGAAAAAAATGCATTTCCTGGTTGTTTGGAGCTTCATCTGAGATATGGAAATATGTGAAACCTTGCATCCTATCCAATGAATGCTTTCCAGAAAAATGGAAAGATTCTTAAATTCCACTGATTTCAATAGGACTTAAAAGTCACTCACTTCTTCAACTGACAAAGAATAGCAACCAAATGCCAGTTCCTTCAAAGTATCCTTAAATGTCTGAAAAGTGTCACACTATCTTCTCACCCCAATCATCTTTATTCTAAGAAGAATATAAGTTTTTCTCACTGCACAGAACATGGATACTTCAGAGTAATTTTAATGAACTTATCCAATAACATTAAAAACAGAGTAAGAGAGTACTATATTTAATATTATTTCAAATGTACCTGTTTTTCCATTTCCTGTCAACTGTCCACCATCACCATCTTCATAAACTGCCACAACTGTAATTTTATAGGGTGTATCTGGCTGCAAAGGTTGTAGCAATACATTGTTCCTTCTACCAGGGACTGTTGTCTAGAACATAAGTGGAGTTCCATGAATGCCAGATTATTGTAAATTGCTCAAATGGCAGTAGTAAGACATTGATAAATACACCTCTTGCACTACAGTGAATACAACATATCCTATGACTTGGATTCAAAGATTCTATAAGCAGGGGCCAGTTCATGAGGTACTTCTGCTAGTAGAAAGTACTTAAAACAGCATTTAAAAAAATAAGTGGCTAGACTCTTGCCATAAGGAGAATTATTCAGACATTTGGAAACAGAAGAACAGTTACTTCCCTGATACAAAATGGTATTAAAATCAGAAGAACTCATATATATGCATAATTTAACCTAAAATAGCTTAACAGTGTGAAGGCAAAGCCATCAGAAAGAACTAGAAAGGTTAATGGTTGCAAAATCTTTACAAATAAAGATACTTAATGTGTTAACTATTCATCTGAATCATTCATATTTAATATCCTCATCCTTCTGAAAAAGGTTTGCCATTAATTTGGCTTCTCCAAAATGAGTTAAATTCCCTCAGTAAAATGGAGAGAACCATTTCATACCATATGAATACCATTCTCAGTACAATATTTGTCCAGTACAATGCCAAAGTGCAGCAAGATATATTATCATTCAGTACTAAGTGACTATCATGAACAATTATGGGCACTTTTATGGGCTGTGCAATGTTTCCGCAGAACTCAATAGAAGTCATGCCATTAACTTCCCTATGGAAAAATAACTTGGCTGTGCTATGCACTTTGCAAGCTGAGCTGCCAAATTAGGAAAAGGAAGTTACTGTGAGTGCAAATTACAAAAATTCTGGCAGAACTCTTTCCTCCACCAGCGAAAAAAGAAATCAGAGCCAAAATCCACGAATACCACTCATGCTTATATTAAAGAGGTACATGATAAGATCGAGCATGTGCTACCCATCTCTGCATCTGGATAATATAGGTTCACAGAAATCTATACAGATGCACAGGATTGTGTGGTACTGCAAACATTTCAAATTACAAAAGCAAACCTGGATTATATTTAGCAACTGTCATGCAGACAATATGCACTAATGCATACTTAAGCTCCTTGATTTCAGTGAGCTCAAACAGATAAAATTAGCTAAGTGTTCCTAACTGTGCTGGATTGGGACCAAAAAACTCTGTGCAACTGAGGATAAAATTACTCTATATTGCCATAGCAGCATTAGTTCCGGTTCAGTTGCTTGACAATTATACAAAAATTAACAGTGCAAACAACTCCTTCCTGAAACATAGGAAGCCTGTAAATTTATTTTTCTACTGTTTACACCGGTGCTACAGACTGAAGTACACTCTGTCTGGAGAAGAAAAGATATTGGGATACGGGGGAATAATATATTATTCTTAAAATGGTAGTGGTTTGCTAGCAGTAAGCAGGTAGCCTTATCTTTCTTTTTTAAAAAGCTTTGTGTTTGCTATGTGAATTCAAATCACAGTTTTTAAGAGCTACCTTTAAAAAGTTACAAAATTTCCCCCAATGGATGCCTTTCACTCATGATGGGTACTATCTAGTAGGTGCCCACATAACCAACAAACTAAAATATAAAAAATATTTGGTTGGATCCACATCTATTCACGCTTAAAGTAAACTTGCAAAGTAATCAGTCACATAAATAAGCATCGCTAACTTAAGCCCCAGTTATTCTAATAAGCCTGCTTTAATTGTGACTAATTCTGGATCCATTCCAATTATTGCAGGAGTAATAAATATATCGCTGGGGATAGTGTTTGCCTTTTCTGGGAAATAGTCTGAAGCTCTTCTATAGCCTTTGAACAAACACAATGGCAGAACATTTTTTAAAAAGAGCGACAGCAGCAGAGCCTCCAGGACTCCAAAAAGCTAATGTCTGTACACAGCCTGCAGGGCAGGCTGGGTGGTTATACATACCCATCTTTTAAATATGCCCTTGGCAAGTGGGCGAGGTGGTTTCATTCAGAACACCACCTCCTGAGAGCTGGGAGAAAGCAAACTGGGAAATAAGCACAACTGTTATAGAAGAAACTGAATATGCCATAACTTTGGCATTATAGCCAAAATAAATCAGCTGTAATACATTTCCAAAACATCCCAACAGCACTTACATATTCATCTATTGGGTCTCCAACAGTAGGAGAATATATTATTCTGTACTGCTGCACAGGCCCGTCGGCATGGTCCCACTGAACAGAAAGGCTGTTTGTAGAAGGATCAAAGACTCTGATGTTCCTGGGCCCACTGCGAGGCACTGAAATAGGAAAAGACACAGAATGAAGCGCCATACCAACAGACGTAATCCAAAATTTAGCCCCTCACCTCACCAGCACACACACAGTGAGGTGCCTGCTGTATCCACCATTAAGTGTTGCAATATCCTACTTCCATAAAATGCTCACATATAGTTGCACCCTTAGGTATACTTAGAGTAAACCCATTGGGCTCAATAGGGTTTACATTAGCCATGACTGAGTTATGTCCTTGCAACTCTCATTGAGACCCATTAGGTGATTCTAGTACAGTTATTTTCATAAGCAACCAATTGAATTGATGCCTGGTGGTATCACTTTTGTAGTATGGTGTATCTAGCATTACTGAGTATAGTAGAACCAAAATTTAGCTTCCTGTCTTCACTTGTCTGAGAGCTTAGAACAAAGGTGATAAATTACAGAATGTATCCAATGGGTGAGTAAATGAAAAAAGGAGACTAGCCATTGGTTTCATGCATGTATTTCAAGCTGATGATCCTTTTTTGTCTACAGAATTATGTGTGAACCTTTCTGATTTGCTGAATGCCAGACAAAATTGGGGACTTTACCATATCCACTTAGAGAGTCCTTGGACTAATTTAATGTAGAATATAAATTAAATAAATAAATAATATAGCTCCTAGGTAGAACTTGCTAGACATAATTTCTGTTCTATGTTCTCTGGGAAAACTCTGAGATTTTAATTGCAGCTAAGTCTTGTGATAACTTTACATCAAAGAAAAGTTGATTCCATCATATACACATTAATACTGATAATCCAGTATAAATTCATTTATGCCCAATTTTGAAACACCCAGAACTGAATGTCAAAAATCCCACTTAGGTTTCGGTTATCATTCACCAGATTTTGGACATTCATTGTAACACATATATACAAAAACAAATATGTACAATCTAAATAAAATTGCATTAGCAAATTTTGCACATTCTAATCTATTCTATGAGAAAAGTCAGATAAAGAATTAGAAAACAAAACAATTTCAGAAGTAGGAGAGATCTATGTAGATGGGGTTAACCAATTTAACTTGGAATAACCTTCCATGCATCTGTAGAATTACAGCTTCAGGTGTTGCGCAGACTTAAACCATGAAGGCGACCAATTTTATGGAGTCAGTATAGTCATTAGTATGAGCCTGTTTTGCCTATCTTCTCTGAGCATTTTTGTCATGAGCCCTTTTCAGATGTTCAAAGAGTGAATAATGAACATGTAAAAGAGGGTAGCATGACCCTGTTAGGCTCCTCCCCTCTAGACATCTTTTGCTAGAATACTCTGCCTTTCTCACTGCTGTGCCCTCCAGATGTTTTGGACGCCCACCAGCCACGGCCAACATGGCCAATGATCAGGGAACCAAAATATCTCAATAGCACCAGGTTAGAGAAGTCTGGAACCCTTGGAGGACTCGCTTCATGCAAGCTGCCACTCCTCGCTCACGTGCATTCATGATGTCATTCTGAAAGCCTGAAAAGGTGTTGTGGACCAGGAGCATGAACTCCTAGAGGATCCTGATCTTTCACCCACAAAAGAAGCTTACAGAAAGATACCATGAGGCTTCCACCTCCTCAGGACCCAGTATTTCAGGAAGACCCGCAGTGCATGTTTCCCTGCATCTAGAGCAGGTCCCATTGTCATCATCAGAATTCAGCCATGAAAACTTCAGCATGACACAGCCACCTCCATGCTGTTGCAGCAGACCAGGGGCCTTCAAGAGAAAGGTCTTAGTCAGTGTAGAAGCAAGACTAACGAGCCTAAAGGAACCCAAACATTTACTTAAGGCTTAGTCGTGATCTGCTGCTTGCTGAAGCAACATGCAAAGTAGTTCGTCCGGCTTCCAGCTCCAGCACCACTTATCCCTATCCAGCCCATATGCCCAGTTCACAGGGGCTCCTTGTTACCCAGGCTCCACCAGCACCAAAGCTGTCATCACCACAGGGGCAACACAGAACAGGAAAGCAATAGCACTCCGTGATCCTCAGGCAATGTCTAATGCTGAAGAGAGTACTTAAAAGTACCGATGGAGCTAAGATGGAGAAATTCACAACACTCAACTATGGCTTGGCAAGAAAACGCTTTCCGCTTACTTGTTCTTCCCTGTCCAACGCTGGGATCACCTTCTCCATCAGCATACAAAGCAACAACATTTACCGAATAGGGAGTATCAGGAGCCAGGCGTTCTAGTAAAACATTCCGGGTGTTGGCAGGTACCACAACCTAAGGAGAAAGCAACACAGAAGTTTAAACTGGCAGTTTTTAAAGGAAGACAGCTGATCTTGATCTCATAATAAGAAAGCTTATTCACAAACATCCCTCCTCTTTTGACTCACTTTCACTGAACCCAAAATTTATTTCTGCTTTTTTCTGAAAATAACTGGGAGAACAGATTTTATTCCCTTCTCTGTACTCTGTCATTTCTCTATCTGAATGAAACAAGCTCAGGTTTGAGGGGGGGCTTGCAGCAAAGTGGACTTTGCGGAACCCCCTGAGAGCTTCCGCCAGTCAGTGTTGACAGCACTAAGCTGGATGGATTTATGTTCTGGCTCAGTGTCAGTCAGCTTCCCATCTTCTTCCATTCCATGTATGTTCATATAGTGTGATGTGGTGGTGAGAGTGTTGGATTGGAGACTTGGGAGATCTGAGTTCTAGTCTCCACTTGGCCATGAAGCTATTTGGGCTGCCTTAGGTATCTTGCAAATATTAAAAAGGAAAAAGGAAAGATGTAGATGTAGATGTAATCAAGGAGGAGGGAGAGAGAGATGCAATGACGGTATATCAGACACATTGTGGACAATTAAAATGGCAAGTTGCTTGCAGATGAGCTACTTGCTGCAGGGAATGTGGTCTGGTCTGGTCAGTATCAACATTCCTAGGATGCAGTGCTAATGCCAGCCCTGAAAGTAACTCTTCTGAAAAATTTGGGACCTAGAATGTCAATGAAAGGTATTTTAGCATCCATCCCTAGGTCATTGCTTGAGATTCTTCCATATTACACTTGATCTTAAGTGGTCAAAAGACTTGGTCAAAGTGGTCTTAAGTGGTCAAAAGACTTGGTCAAAAGACCAAGAAGCAGCCTGTACTGCTTACAATTTATTTTATCTTTTATTTTTTCTCACCTTCTGGTAAGATACATGGAACCCACCTGACCTGTGAGAAAATTCTTCAGAATTCTCCCTTCCCAGCCTCTTTCACTGGAATATTCATTCGGTCCTCAGCCTCTCCTTCACAAATTGCCAAAAATGACAGGCTTGAACTTTTTGGCACAGCAGTCGTCTGCACACAAGTGCTATACATTCTTGGAGCCAGTGACACAGACTAAAAGGCTCTGGTCGAGCTACAGCCCACGTGGGAAGCTGCGTATGCACATTACAGCTGTTGCCTGAAGCAACTGCCGTGAACAAGCCTTTCTCACCAAGCTTCATCTGGCTGCCATACTAAGTGAAGTTTTCCAACCTTTGGACACACTGAATCTCCCAACCGCTGCACAGAGACTGCAGAATACTGTGTATCTTGGCATGGATGTTTTAAGAGTGAGATGATGGGAATCCATGAAGCTGCCTTATTTTATTTATTTATTTATTTATTGTTCGATTTATATCCTTTTCCCTACAAAGGGCTCAAGGCAACTTACATCTCCTCCTCCATCATACCATTATACAGGTCACAGATCCCTCTAGTTCAGTTCTGCTGACCCAGACTGACAGGTGAGAGCTCTTCACTAGCCCTACCTGGAGAACTTCGGAGTAGAGCATACAAAGCATACCCTCTAGCCCATCGAGCTACAGTCCTTCCCCTAGTATGTGGCATTAAAGACCTACAAAATTTTAAATGCAAAACTGTGCTCTTTAATGACCAGCTCAGATGAGAAGAAATTGTCTCAGGCCACGTGGCATGTTCAACCGGTTGGTGCTTAGACAAGCAGGCATCTGAGTGAGCTGTCTGGTGGCGATAAATTCACTTTCTCCCCAGAGTTCCTCCAAGCTGGAACCAAGCAGGTTGCTTTTAGCCACTCTTTATTTTTCTAACAAATAATCTTGGTCTTGTATTTAACAATGTCCTTCTTTAATTTTGTTTTACTGATGTTTACTATCCATTTTAAACATGTGGAGCATATATATAATGACATTCAGAACTTTAAGATGGAATAGAGCACTTTATTTTATTTTCACCATCCAGGAATAATTGTGGGATGCATTCTCCTTAGCATTTATATAAGGAAAGAGCCCAAGAGGTAAAATTACTTACAGATTCTGATGGCCTTGTGCCAAGCAATGAAGAATAGACTACTCTGTATTGCTGTACTGGCCCTGGTGCAGGTTCCCACTGGACATTAAGGCTGTTTGTTGTAGGGTTATAAACTTGGATGCTTCTTGGTGTTCCTCTCATCACTGAATCAACAATAATGTATGGTAGTTAAAGAATAACTCCTTAGTTACGAAGTCAAATATCAGCAAAAACTGGCTGTAAAACAGGTGGTTGAAGCAAAGGTTCAATGCAAGTGATCTGTACAGGGCAGGATCCGAGTATGCTAAGTGTGACCTGGCTACAATAGATTTTCTCCCTATTGCAAAAATGTTCTATGCACACTTGTTTGGAAGCAAGTTCATCCTTACTTCCAAGGGAACATAGTTACGGTTGGGATATAAAGATGACTGCCCCCTTATCACTGAAAAGGATCAAGAACTATGAATTCAGCATGAAAGAATGAGAAATTGCCTTTGCATCCTTGCCAGCAACATCTGCAAAAGAGCCTGATGGGGTGATCTCAATTATTTGTAAAATGACCATAGTCTTACATTACACAGAAACTCAGTGAAAGCAGGAGGCTTCTGCGCACCTAGGTCTACACTAAATTGTGGCCAACAATTCCGCTGTTTTGTGAAGCAGAGAAAAATCCTTCCAGTTTTACTTACAAGTTTTCCCATTATCGGACTTCCGGCCTCCATCACCTTCTGGATAAGAAGGAACCACAGTTACTTTATATTGTGTGTCGTGCTGCAGATTCCTTAGGACAGCATAATTTGTGTTTCCTGGGACAGTTGCCTGTTGAGTTTTTAATTAAAAAAAGGTAAAGGGGAACATGTCATTTTGGCAACTGAATGAGTTATTTTGGAATATTTGCACTATAGCCTTCATAGTCAATAATTATTCCATTTCAGCATGTGGCTCAGGGCATACTGAATGTTTACTTTTCAGCTTGCAAAGTATTTCCTAGACAGAGAAAACTACCATGCTGACAAGAAGGACCCAACCCTAGCCTTTCCTCTGACTTGCCAGTTTTCTATTTGTTTATATACTGATCAGCATGCTGCTTTTAGGACAAACTCCTATCAAGGCAGTTTTCATTGCAAAAGACTCAAAAATATACTACAATTTAAATCCAAACAGCCAAACAAATTACAGCCAAATAAAATTACTTTAAAAGGGTTACTTACATGCAGAACACAATTAACTTAAAATGCTAGTTAAAATTTAATAACATAGCACTCAGCAAAGCTAAAGCCTTCAGGTTAACCCTTTTAACCTTGCAACAGTTAAAGAGAAAGGCATTTGGAGTAAATTCTATTTACACCACAGATGGTGCTGAGACTAGGATAACTGCTAAGCCATGGACTTCCTCTTCCAGGGGAAGGACAACCTCATCTAAGACACGCCATTCTCATCCATTCAAATCAGGCTTGTCTACCCAGGCTTGTCTGAAGAGCAATATTCAAACACAAAATCCTACACCTGTATTCTCAAGCAGACAGCTCCAAGAAGGACACAGCATGTGTTTTTTCTGAAAGGCCAGATCAGCTATAAGTGGCATCCCAAACCCATCCCAAAAGTGAAATAAAATATATCAAAACAAAATAAACCTAGCAAAACCAGGAGCAGGTTTTGGACAGGTATGATGTAAAGAGCAATCTAAAAATCAGTACCAGTTCTTCTGCACCACCCGACACTGGTGCATAAAACAATTTGTACTGCCGTGGGTTCCCTTCAGCATGATCCCATCGAACATTCAGTGTGCTGGTGGTTGGATCATAAACTCTGAGATTCTTGACTGTGTTGAGAGGTTCTGAAATAAATCACAGCATTGTCAGAGTTCTTGTTTGTTAATCGTGGTGTCCTATTATACAAAGTGGCTGTATCTGCTACAGTTAAATGACACGATAGAGCAAACGCATAACATGCTGAAATTTATCTCCCACACTGTCATGTGGAAGCTGCCCAGCAACTCCAGATGCATGTCATCATCCATGCTGACACTGCTGGTCTTGCGGGACCAAGGGTCTGATTAAGTATGAATCAGTTTCCTATGCTCCACTTGTATTTATGTAATCTAATGGAAGCTGTGCATTCCAGCACTAAACGGGTAGCACACAGCTTTGAAAGAGCTAAATGGAAATGAAGTAGAGGGAATAAAGATGAAAGTTTCATAGAAGTATTAAGCATGACTAGTCGAAACAACTAGCTTTGCTGGTCTTTGTCATAACTTCAAACTGAAAAAAAATATCCTTGATTGGTCAAAACAGCATCTTCTCAATAAAAAAATTGCAGTATTTATTCTGTTACAGGGCCATATTCCAGAAGCCTTCCCTTGGGGAAAGAAGTATGGATGCCCCACAAGAGCTGAGTAAGAACTGTGCATTTGTCATCTAGTAAAACAAATATCTGGAAAAATCAGATGAGTCCCCCCACTCCCTTCCCTGCAGACACACACTTAAAAGGAAGTGAAATGCACACAAATAATTATATATCTAAAAAGACATTTTGACATTTAATGTAAGTATCTTTTTTAACAATTGGGAATGGGAAAAAGAAAGAAATGCATGTGTGGACAGAGGAAACCCAAAACCCGCTGACTTTCTAAATGAGTTCACATTACTTGTTCGTAACAGTTCACAAATGAAAAAAAAACACCACTCAACAGTGTTGTACTTACTGGTTTTGCCCCTGCCTGTCATCTGCCCTCCTTCACCATCTGCATATATGGATGAAACTGTAACACTATAAGGGGTATCAGGCTGCAGTTTCTGGAGCACAACACTGCTCTGCCTCCCTCCCACTGTGGTCTGGAAAACAGTAGAACGACACATAAATGGAGGGAGCAGAGCACTAAATGCTAGAGATGCTGAAAAAAGACATCTTATGCATATTACCCTATGTACCCTCTTCTGCTTTCCAACTCTGGGCTGGGTATTATGTGCCTAGGGCAGCTGCAATCCTACACACACTTACCTGGTAGTCCCAGAGAACACTCTGGACCTTACTGCTGAGCAGGCATGTAGAGGCCTGTGCCATCAGTCAAGTATTTTGCCTTATTCCTTCTGTGATTTTTAAATTATCAGAACAACTTTAATCATGTATCGCACAGAAGAGAATCAAGTATTAGGCTCTGTGTGGTTTTTAAAAAAACATCTGCTGTTTAGACTGTCTTACCTATTCTATGTATCAGTTGTACAAATCTCCTGATCTCCAACGTATACTTGAAGGGCATATTGGGCCATTATTGCTTTTAAAATAAACCAGTGTTGACATTTATTAAAACAGAAAAATAAGGTGATGCCAACCATGGTTTAGATAGAAATGCTGTGATCTTTCCCCAAACCCATTGTTTGACCTCTCTGGTGGACAACTGGACAGGTAATATAGAATGGAGTGCACAAAAGCTCAGGCCTTCCAGCCAATCCAACTCAGTGGAGTTCCAGTCCAGCTGTATGGACCATATTGCCTTTCTTCTGGCCATACCTCCTTTCCCCAAAGCACTGGTTGACTGGTGGTTTCCCACCTTCTGAGCAGTTTCTTTGTCATTCTCAAAGAATGTAAGGCCTTTACTAAGATGAATTACAAGCAACAAGAGCTTTAAACTACAACAAGCTGGAATTTTCTGTACCATGTGAAATTTTGCCCTTGTTTTGTTTTTGGCCTCTCAAAAATTGAATTTGGTCCTGGGGTTGAAAGAGGTTCCCCACCCCTACATGAAAAGCACTTCCAGCAAGAAAAGAGCATACAAACCATTGCAGAAGATCACTTATGATATGATTTGTTTATTTCATGAACATAGATTGCATACCTATTAAGAACCTCTACCAAATTCTCCTCTGAGCACACAGCAAAATGAATTGTTTGCAACTGTAACACATGGCAATCTATGCAGTCTGCATGCTTTTTCCTCCTTATGAGGTTAGCACATAAGAAATATGCACTGTTTGGAGATCTTAGATAGCCTATCCTGAAAAAAGAGTTGTTTGACAACTTTTTGCCTCCCCACAGCCCCAAAGAATGTTCTGCAAGTTTTGTATCTAGGACTATATTTCGATGAAGTGACATTTTCCAGATGACATCTGAAAGATTAATGAGTCATCCTGTGATATAGGAAACCAATCCATTTGATTTTATATAATATCTATATAGCTTCCTCCAGAATGCCAAAGATTACAGTGCTCCAATGCAGTAGTTCCCAGCCTTTTCTACGCCCTAGAATATGTCTGATTTGTGTCCACACCCCTTACAAAAGTAATATCACATTTGAAGATGAAGTCAAATTTCTAGTTTTTGAACCACAAATTAAACCACATATGGTACTGCAGGTAAACAAACTGAACTCAAATTCAAAAATAAATTGAGCAAATACCAAAAAATGTAAACAGTCAAATCATTCTTGGAACTTTCTTGCTGATTGTGATTCACAAGTCTGCCTGTGGATTCAGGCAATTCCTAGATTTTGTCTTGATTGACAAAAGAGAGTTGAATCCAAATGCCAACAAAATAATAATAAATAATTTTATTATTGGAATTTTTTTGGTGAAAAACATCAACATTCACCAGTTTTGGCAATGTAGCCTTCCTCTTTGTTGTGCCCCCTGAAATGTCATTTTGTACCCCCTGGGGGTGTGGGCACCTGAGGTTGGGAACCCCTGCTCTTAGATCTTAGAATTGATCTTAGAAAGTTATTTAGGAAGGTATGCTTTCCCCTAGATAAGAATTCTAATTTTCCCGAATAACTTACCGATTGTTCAACACCATCAGCAGCTGCAGGTCGATAAACAATCCTGTACCGTTGCACACGTCCAGTGGCAGGGTCCCATTTGACGGTCAAGCTGCTGGACGAGGCATTGTACACCTGGAGGTTCCGTGGACCACTCTTTGGCACTGACATGGAAGTATTAAGCAGTTGAAACAAGAACAACAGAGTCTTGCAGCACTATAAGAGCTAAAAAATTTATTCTGGCATAAACTTTTATTGACTACAATCCACTTCATCAAAGATATGGAGTGTTACTGAAGATTTTAAGTGTATGTGCAGCACATATAGTAATGGAGCCAAGGGTGGGAACTGTAAACAGTGAAGTCAGAAAAAAATGGAATTCAGAGAGTAGTGACAGTGACAATCACATTATTAACAGTAACCATTCACAAAATGTAAGAACTGAAGTGCAACAATAAATGTATAATAGAATCATTCTATATTATGATGTAAAACCTATGCTAAGTCTGTTATTGTTTGCCACTGAGAAAGTTCATTTTTAAAGTTTTTTATAATAATGAATAATTAAAACTGGGAATAGCAATATGCGTATGTATTTGGGAACCTGACTAGAACCTTAAAATGCAGCCTACTGTAGAATTTGGACTATAGCATAATATATAATGAGAACCAAGGAGAACTGAATAGGAGTGTGGAAGGACACTAAGCATGAGCAACGGGGAGCATCACCACATGCATTAATTCACAGAACTGCACTTCTTTTAGAAATATATCCAAAGCAATACCACCCCACTCCATTCATTACATGCATGTGTGAAATGTACTTCTATGCACAAAATGGGGTGTGGAACTCTTACTTAACTATTGCAAAGTAAGTCTTGCTGATCTAGGCAGAATGTGTATCTAAGTTGATATGCTTAAGATAAAAGGATCAATGAGCAGATTTACCTAAACAACAGTGTGGAATAGGCAACACATTGTGCTCTTCTCTTGTCTCCTAACTCAGAAAAAAGATGTAGAGGAATTTGTTCCCACAGAACTACTAGAGATCTGCATGAATCTCTGTCTTTCCACTGTGTATACCACAGAAGGTTTTAGGACTAGACCCACACTCTTTATGGCCTTAACAGTTTATAGCAAGTGGTCTTTAGGGCACTACTGCACTGCACTGCTTTATGGAAGCCAAAAACAAAAACTGTTGGTATGGTCCTCTCTTCAGGACCTGAACTTTAGAAATTTAGGCAACAGATGCTGGGGGCCCAGTTAATGCACAGCATTGCACATTGGCACTGGGGCTCACCAGCTCTATCCCATGCCCTCTGAACAGCCTGCAGAAATTCAGGAGAAATTCCAAGAAGCAGTCTCCAAAATGCAATTTGGTTAACCCAGTGTATGCACATGTGTGTGTATGCGCCTTTCCTGCATCCTGGCTTGACCACACACAATGTCCTCTATTACAGCCTGGCATAAAAAATGCTATTCAAGAATTCAGGATCTTACCTGGTGTTGTTATAGGTACAATAGGCACTGTAAAAAATACAAACAAAGTGTGTATGAAAAGCATGCCCTTTACTTGTTACACATTGTAAACAATACATTAGCACATTGCAGAATTGCTTACATGTGCGTTCACTGCCAATCAATTCATCGCTCTCCGACTCATCAGGATAAACTGCAGTCACTGCGATATCATACAATGTGTCTGGTGTCAGATCATGAAAAACCAATGTGTTTTCATCTCCATTTAGAATCATCTTTGGAATTGCAGAAAAAGGCAAGAAAGAAAGTAACAAAGTTACCCAGCAACATAATCCATGTAACTATTAGCCATGTTTTTAACAGCAGATATTACAAGATTTTTACATGCAAAGTTCTATCTACAGACAATAGAACTAATACAGATTTCCATATTGTATGCTAGGACACAATAGAAGGGTATTGTGAGAAGGGGCTGCAGAATGCACAAAAATTGGTCCCACTACCTTAGACACATCTGCTGCTCTATGCCCTCCTCCCCATGCAACATTGGTCTCTACCAATCTTTGAACGGTAGTGCCATCTTGAAAGAGATTGTAAGGACAAGCTCTGACTCCATGACCAGCCTACAATACAGACTATAAGGATGAGGGAAATCGCAGAATTTTCACCATTGCCCAGAAAACACAGTTCTGTCCCAGAACTCTCTTACTGGGTAAAAGAGATAAGTAGTGAATGCTGTATTAACTGGGATATTAGCCATATTACAATAAAGACCCTGCCTTTTGTTCTGGGAGACAACTGAGAGAACATGAACACACACACACACACCCTCCGAGTATAAAGGTGACTTATCCCTCCAATTTTCATCAAGAAGAAAACTGCTTCTCTGAATATCAAATGTTTGGGAAATATTAGACTAACATTTCAGACAGACAAAAGCTTTTGCATGTACTCATTTGTGAGCAACCAAAAATTCTTACCTCCTTTTTTTCAGGTGCACCATAAAGCCCCCACATTACTCTATAGAGAGCTACATCAGGTGCTCCATGGTCCCAAGTGGCTCTGAAAGAAGTCTTGGTTACCTGATCAGTTCTTAAATTGAGTGGTGCTGGTACAGGTACTGCCAGAGGGAAAAAAGAGAGAAAAACTTGCTTTCAAGGGAAAAAAAACTTGTAACTAGAAGCATACAGTTACACATGTAGATGATACGCTGCCGCATGCCAAAACAGAATGTTTCCCATTCCGTTTTGGGATGCAACCACATGGGAAATGCATTAAGTAATTTACAAGCCATAGATCTGTAGGGTAAGTCCTCCATTTTTCTGAAGCAGTACAGCTTTTTTTTTTTAATTACCACTGCAGACCTGTCAGCTCCAGGGGCAGCACACACAGAAAGCCACTGCACATGCCACAGATGGCATCTGCTCATGGCAAAGTCCAGCAGCTGCCTTGGGTTCATGAATGACTGACCAAACTGTAACTCAAGACCATCAATCTCTGTGTCTATTACTCTAGGGTGAACCTTTGCTTTATAGGCATCCTCCTGCTTTTCGGCTTCCTTTAGGGGCTTCTAGTTGGCCCCAACAGAAAATAAGAAGCTGGACTAGACAGACTTTTGGTTTCATTCACCAAGGTTCTTCTTAAGTTCATAATCTCCAAGAGCAGTGACTACATCTTACTGCCAACTTGATAGCTGGCTCTTTTGCACATTGAACAGTCCACCCAAGGTGTCTAGTTCCTTGAGCCATACACCATGCAAAGAAGAATCTCGCACAATACCAAAAGCAGCAGTTTCCATTTTCCCACAATTCTTGCTCACAGCTGTTGCTGCTGTCATACTGCTCAACTCATTTTTTCATGTTTTACTGTTCACATGAGTAGAGCACGCATGTGCGCTTGCTGTTAAATATGCAAAAGACGGCCAAATGTAATGAATCAACCCTGAATTAATTTCATGTCGGCTGAAATCTGTTTGAAGCATGGCAAGAGCACTTGCCAAAGCCAAAAACCTTGTCAATACTATGAGAAAAGGCAGACACCCTGACACCAAAACCCTGAGCTCTGCCTCTGCTCATATAACTAAGTCACTCTTTCTTTTAAACCCCAAAGGAAAAGAGAGAGGGATTAATCTCACATGTAGCCAAAACCAGATTGCTACTTTGCAATACACAATTGTACTCATTCCCAGACTAGGCCAAATGCTCCATCCCTTTCCCCACATGTATTTTCCTTTCACGGAAAGAAAAGGTCTATTCTTTTCTGAGAAGACAATGGCTCCCCAATGCTGCAGTGAGGGAACATTTTACCATTTGCTTTGCTCAAATCCCACCTGCTCCCTCAATCTCTTGTCTATTATCTGAAAAACACTCTTACGAACATGAGGACAACAGCGTATCTGTGGCTTGTTTGGGAGGTTTGGTTTGGTTTTGGACAAACAGCAGACATGGGTGGAATGAGTATTTTCATTGGGACTCTGTGACAGGGAGGTATGGTTTAATGAAGCCCTGTTATTAGCTGCATGGGTGCCGGTGCAGCTTTCTTTCTGGGGTTAATAGCAACCATGTCAAGAGATGGCAGGACTCTTTTCCTTGAAATAGAGGTAAAAAGAGAGAGACTTAAACCCTCCCCTTCATGCCACAGCCCCAGTAGTCTAGCACAGCCTACCTAGCCATTTTACTTTTTACACTGCGTATGGCTTGTGCTCATTTTATCCTGATAATCGCTATGGCACATTTTATCTACTAGTAGGACACAACTCCAAGTCTGGTTCTGGTAGAAAGACCTGCCCTATATGGAGTTTCACTCTGTCCTGAAGGCACTGCACATGTTACACCACAGCTGGTTTTAGAAAGATTTCTCTTCTAAATCCCTCCTTTGAAGGACTATTTTTGCATGATTATTAGAGGGGGATTTTAATTTGCTTTTAAAAATGTAAATAGGCTGGGCAGGAGAGTCATGCATCTGCAGAGTTTCTCTTTTTCAAAAGATAATGTATTTTGTGCTGCATGTCTTTTTCTGTCATTGCTTTTTAATGTTTAATTTGATTTCTGTTTGTTAAATTGTATGTTGATTCTACTTATTACTTAATGTTTTGTCCTTGTTTAAATGGTGTATTGTATTTTGTTTAAATTGTATTTGAAATGCCTGTATTTTAAAATTACCTCCAGCATCAATCCCTGTTTTTGTACTGCTACCAAATACTGCAGAAAATTTCTATTTTATATTGTTATTACAATGCTTATCAGACCTTTGATCACTAGTTCAGAGAGTAAATTGGTTTTTAAAATGGCAGATGCAAATTGCCAAGGGGAGAAATTGAGGACTTCCATTTTATATCTGGTTTCATTTTATAGTGCTGCAGCCCCTGAGGAACATGGAGAAATGATCAGCAATCCAGCATACAGGGAGTTAGAAGAAGAGGCTGCTAATCTGTAAGTTAAAGTTCTTTTTAAAAAGAAAACGAGAAAAGACAGGGTATAAATCAAATAAATAATCATCTCATAATTAATACAGAGTTTTAAAAACAGCCTATTCAATGTATATAAGGGCTTCAATTTCAGTGGAATGCATGCACTGAACAGTTAGGAAAACTAAACTGGTTGGAGGATTCTCTCATTTGATTTATATAGAGTCCCCCTAACCTTTTGGAACCAATGGGCATATTTAAAATTTTGAAAGGCTGTTACAGGTACACTCATTAATCTTTGTCATGATCCTAGTGACAAGAATCATTGTGAAGGCAAAAGAAAGAATCTGGATGCTGGACCCATGCATAAATGCCAGTCCAGACTCAATGTCAAGGAAGGGCACGGAGAGCTCAACAAGCTAACCTTCCTAGTTTTCTGACAACTTCAGAAAGTTCTTGTGTTTATACCTGTGAGTCCTTATCAGGGGACGGTGGCTGGTAATGTAAAGAATCGTGTAAGACCTGCAGACTACCCTGAAGAAAGTCAATAGTACAAAAGGATACCAAGTCAATGGTGTTGGTAGCCCTTGAGAGGTTAAGGAATACAACCAAGGTTAGTTCAGAGGGTGCTCCTTCAGGAATTTTGAAGTTCATCACCTATAATTCCAATCATATATTGGCCCTACTTTTAGGGTATGGCAGCTCTCCATTTTCAAGCACAATGACAGCAGCACTCTTTTCAGTGGTTCTTAGAATCACCAAAGACCATCAGAGGAGAAATGCATTATTCCCTCTAAATAAATGGTCCCAGATGACCAAGAGCACCATTTGCCTCCTCTGGTGCATTCATCTCAGGTTCCACAAGAAGACATCAGTTTTGTGTCACAGAGATTGAAATGACCGTGACCTCCACATATAATTTCAAAATAGGAAGGAGACTTGCAGATCAAGTTATAACAGTGCAAAATTGAAATATATCAAAATATTCCACTTCTGGTATATGTTTGGTTTTAAGTGCAGATTCACTTCTACATTTTCCTAACATGTGGGGGGTGGGGGGAGAAAAATGGAAGTGCAGAAAGGATGAGGGGAGGAACAAGCAATGCAGACAGCGAGTCAGCAAAGTACGCTGCAACCTCATGTAGCTTCAATATAGTGGGAGTTGGGGCAATGGTGGCGGCAGCAGCAACAGCAGCAGCAGCAACAACAACTCCTTGTAACAAAAAAAATGGGAATGTCATCTACTGAACCACATAAGAAAGATCCTACCTTGATTCAGCCATAGATGATTACAGAAATTTGTATCTGGATAAATTCTACCTCAAAATCACACTTCCTTAATACTCATAGCAATATGCTAATGGAAGAACATGAGGATAATTCCAGTCCAACAAAGATAAATATGCAAGGGCTTGCTAGAACTAGTCTGAGGTAGCCCCCAACATTAGCAACCCTGGCCCAGCGGTTGTGGACTCAGTCTTGTGCAGTCTCCTTTGCTCCATTTTCTTGCCTTTATGTAATGTCTTGAGCCACTATGTTCTCACCAAGATTTCTATTGCATTTTCCTCATGTCATACAGCATACTTAGTATCTTCGTTCCCCTGTTCTTTGTAAATTCTACAGGCAACCGCCAAGAGACACGGGGCGCAAAGGCCGTGACCTGGTTGCGTCCTATGAAATGTTGTTTTGTCTGTCCCTGAGTCAGCCATTGGTGTGCATAGTGGAATGCATTGGCCAATAAAGAGATTGATGCTTCCTGGGGCCAATGACTCCTCTGCTATCCAAAGCACTATTTCTAACAATATATCTAAGAGAAGCTGTGCCAGAGACACCCCTTGGTCATTGCAATGGGCATTTCACCATACTTGATAGTATGTTGTGCATCCAGTGTCATGATGCTACTCCTGGAACTGTGTTATTATTATTACATTGCATTTATATCCCTCATTTTTTCTTCTTTGGGGGAACCCGAGTGGTTTACATAGCCCCATTTTATCCTCACAACAACCCTGTGAGGGAGGCTGGGCTGAGAGTCTGTGACTGGCCCAAAGCTACCCAGTAAGCTTTGTGGCCAAGTGGGTTTTACAACTCAAACTCCCAAATCCTCAGCCCAGCAGTCTTGCCACCAAACTGCACTGATTCTATACAATATCTGTGGGTACTGGCTGTTGTCCTGATTTTGTGATTGCTAAAAAAGCTATGTTGTTTTATTTCATTATTTTATTTTTGGCTTATCTGGCATCTCTTTACCTATCACGGCAACCAGAATCTCCTGGAGTGTTATCTGGGCCTGATCATATGATTAGAAAGAAGTGTTTCTTTAAAAAGTACAGAAATGCTGACCCAATGCCTCAGTCTCTCCCTAGAAATATTTTCAGAACTCATAGATATAAACCACTTAAGCTCTTCCGGCATTAGTACTTACAGACCTTCACACTGCAAACCATACATTTGTGTAAGAATCTACAGAAACCATTAAGCAATTGAGTTAACGTACAAGTGGTAGCATCTGCAGTTATGGGCACAGATACTCCTTCATCATATACTGCAACGAGCTCAATATTGTAGCGTGTTCTTGACGAAAGTCCAGGGAGATCTATGCTTGTCTGAGATGAATCCACTTCCACCTAAACATAAACAACAAAACCACTTTTTTAAGCACCACTTTTCTTCCTGAAGTTCAAGTTTCACATTCCGCCCCTGGCCTCCCCACACACATGCACACAGTTCAGGACATTATTTCTGCTGAATGAAAGAACACTACCTCCATCCGCGCCACCCGGACCCTGTGCCGCCCAGACCCTGCCGCTGCTCCGCCACCCGCTGCTGCCTGCTGCTGCCGCTGCCCTGCTGCAGAGGCCAGGACCACCGGCCCAGGACCCTGCTCCAGCCTGCTTCCCCCGGCGTGTGTGAGAGACACGCCGGGAAGGGGTGGGGCACTAGCAGCGGCCAGGGCTGGCAGCCGAAGGGCGACGGCCTAAGGGCCGTCGCCGTCTGGGGGGCCGTTCGAGGGGCTGGGCTGGCCAGGGGCTCTGGCCGTGGATTGGTTTTATTTATTTGTGGGCTAGTGGCGGTCTAGGTGGAGGACAGTAGGATGTTTTGTTGGTTTTAGATTGGTTTTAATTGGTGCATCTCGTGCTTATTATGATGTTCCCTAGGGAGCACGGGGCTGCCACCATTGGGGTGGTGATGGGCAATGGGCATTATGGCGTTGGGGGTCTAATGGGTCAGCCTAGAAGAAGGAGGGACAGATGGTTAACACCTGTCCCTCTTTCTGGTTATTCCTCCAGCCGGCGGGTTCCAGGTAGACTTGTCAACTGCCCTCCGGGCCTGTCGGTGCTGCTGCTTAATGCCAGGTCGGTCCAAAATAAGGCAACACTCATCCATGATTTGATCATGGATGAGAGGGCCGACCTGGCGTGCATTACAGAGACCTGGGCGGGTGAGGGGGGGGATGTTTCCCTCTCACAATTGTGCCCGCCCAGGTACCTGGTCCAGCACTGACCACGCCTGGAGGGGAGGGGAGGGGGGGTCGCAGTTATGCCATGGAGTTCCGCAGAGGTCCATTTTGTCCCCTTTGCTATTTAACATCTACATGAAACCGCTGGGAGAGGTCATCAGGAGGTGTGGGCTGAGGAATCATCAGTACGCTGATGATACCCAGCTCTACCTCTCATTTTCCACCAATCCAGGTGAGGCAGTGGCTGTGCTGAACCAGTGCCTGGCCGAGGTAATGGGCTGGATGAGGGCCAATAAACTGAAGCTCAATCCAGACAAGACAGAGGTTCTGTTGGTGGGTGGCTCGGGCCTTGGGATGGGGGACTTGGGCCTTGTCCTAAATGGGGTTGCACTCCCTTTGAGGGACAGGGTTCGCAGCTTGGGAGTGCTCCTCGACCCTGAGCTGTCTCTAGAAGCTCAGGTGATGGCGGTGGCGAGGAGCGTCTTCCTTCAGCTTTGGCTGATACATCAGCTGCGTCCCTTCCTGGAGAACGACTGCCTGGCGACAGTGACACACGTGCTGGTAACTTTCCGATTAGATTTCTATAACGCGCTCTACGTGGGGCTACCCTTGAAGACGGTCTGGATACTTCAATTGGTGCAGAATAGAGCTGCCAGGTTGCTGATGGGGACTGGGCATTGTTCCCATATAACCCCAGTTCTCCGTCAGCTCCACAGGCTCCTGATTGAAGTCCGGGCCCAATTCAAGGTGTTGGTTATGACCTAAACAGCCCTAAACGGCTTGGGACCTGGATATCTAAAGGAACGCTTGCGCCCATATATGCCCTCCCACCCCCCGAGATCAGCAATGGATGCCCTTCTCCGGGAACCCTCTGTGAATGATATTAGGAGGGTGAGTACCCGCAGGAGGGCTTTCTCTGCAGTGGCACCCCATCTATGGAATGTGCTCCCCAGAGAGGTCCGCCTGGTGCCGTCATTATTTGCTTTTTGGCGCCAGGCTAAGACCTTTTTATTTAAAACTTATTTTAATTGCTAAATTATTGTATTTATTAGGATTTTAAATTAGCCGAGAATGCACCGGGGGTTTTAAATGTTTTTTTTTCTTTTAAATTGTTAAATTGTTATTGCTTATGTATGCTTTTTTGTATTTTTTGTGAGCCACCCCGAGGCTTTGTTGAGATGGGGGCAGCATAGAAATGTTTTAAATAAATAATAAATAAATAAATAAATTTTGTTTTACACTGAATATTTGCAAATTAACTGCACAATGATATATTCAGATGGAGGTATTTTCCAAGATACTTTCCAAAAAACCTTTGCAGTTTTCCCAGTTACCAATTTAAAGAATGCTTGTGCTGCTTCCCGCACCTCAGACAATTTGCTGTGATCTACTATTCACTATAGTTCAAACTCGTATCTTCATTGTGCTCCATCTTGCATCCCATTGCCTTTACTCCCTGGTTCTTATTTCATTTTGTATAAATGAGTATTCCATTTTCTCTAACAGTCCACATACCAGCTGTTATCAATTTCTTATAGCTTGTAGTCATGCGGCAGAGATTCTCCAGTGCAGCAATGCTAGCTGCTAAAGCTCATTCAGTATATACTGCCTTATTACCACTGAAGGAGAAGGAACTTTGTTTAAGGGGAGCTCAGATTTACAGATCACCCACTGGGGCTCCTGATTGCTCTTTAGTAACAGTCCTGTAGGTGGTCACATTTTAATGGTGATGTGCACAACCACAAAACGTGGTTGGGTCCCCAGTCTGGTGTTTCAGAATGCAGCCTAATTCGGCTTGGGCCAACTCAGTGGCCACTCACTTTAATGAATCCAACTCTTTATACTTGTCATTATCACAGGAAATCAAGAAGGAGCTGTAACTTTCTCCTGTTGTCATAACTGGATGACATCTACAAGTATGGTAGTTCCTTACAAGGGAATCATGCCCGCCAAATTTAAGACAAATATGTCTAGGCATTTTTCTGCTATGTCTCATTAAATTTGCTTTTAGAAACAAAAGGGAACTGCCAGTAACTCCTTCAGTTCTTGGCAGACTGGACAACATCTGCAGAGACAGGTGCCTCTTCTGAAGGGATCAAGCCTGCTGAGTTTCAGGTGAATAGGTGCATGGAGCTATGTGCAACAGCAGTCTTTGGATGTTTCCAAAAGTGGATGTGGTTGTTCCCCAACAGTTTCTGAGGGTAGCATATTTTCTGGAAGCAGAGTGGGGTATTACTGATATACGTCCCTTAATTCTCCTCTATGGTTCTCGACCCTGAAAACTGGTCTGAAAATGGTATGCAGCACAGAGGCATCTAGGTGCAGAGTGCATCAACAGATGATCGACTGTACGATTTTGGTTTTCTGTTCAGTTGACCCCAATGCCACAGAAAGTGTAATAGAACAGGGGCTGATGGTGGATGGGGGCCATACGGTGGCAGAGGCCATTGTAACAGTCAGGTTTTTGCAGGCAAGCAGCCCATACTACACTCTCCCAGGTCTCAAAGACTCGACCAATGTTCTTTACTGGCCCTGCTCCTGGGAACAAGCACTAGCAAAGATCAGAGAACACTGGGTCTGTCCTGCAATGTTTTACTGCAACTTCACTCACAAAATGGGCTGTCCATTCCCAAAATGATCCCTGTGAATAAAAATAGAGCTTCCAGTCAAAAGACTGGAACACATTTTCTCTCCTGTCTACTCTGGTGTTTTCCTTATATGAAAAGTTTGCAGAGTAATGTATTTATTTCTTGGAGATACACTTCTCTGTTAATCTTCAGGAATGTTCAGATTTGATTTGGTCTACTTCAGAAAAGCCCTACTTCAGTCTGGACATCTCCCAATATGCCAAATCAGCCCTATTCAGTTTGGGAATAGATCTAATCTAAAGAACATCCACACTTAATATTACATTTAAGCCACCTTTGCATAGTCACTAAAATCCTCTTACCTCTTTTATTTCATCTTCAGGTGCTTTGTACCTCAGTATGTATTTACGAACTTTTCCTGGAGCATGTTCCCAATTGACTCTCATGCTGCTGTGAGTGATATCTCTTATCCTTAGGCTTTTCGCTCCACTTAAAGGTACTGTCAAAGGATCACAAAAGAATGTTAAATGACATTCCTCAAAAGAAAGAATATCATCTTCTGGACTATGTAGCACTTGCATTCATATTAAAAATGATGTGACAGAAGAATCATGTGTGTCAGAAATACCTTCCAGGAGCTGAGATTGCAAATAGTAGGTTTTAAGAGATGTATAGACATATATTTGTTTTCCCACACTGTCAGCTCTCAAACTGCTTTTGAAATAACACTAAAAGGTTGCAAGGGTACAGAAAATGGACAATGATTCCTCTTTTAAACAAGATGCCCCATGTATCTGGAGCATGGGGAAAATGTTTCTAGTAAACCTGTGCTGTCCAAGAACCGTGACAGCAAGAAGTGGTTGCCCCTTGAAAACTGCATGATGTGAGCGTTCTTCAGAACACATTTAGAAAAGGTGCGGCCTTTTGTGGTCGAGGTTTAAGCAGTGCATGGGTGCTCTCACAATGTTTTATATTTTAGTAGGTTATTTAGTGACAAGTAATTCACTAATGCTGAAGTTGCATAAACACTTAGGTTAAACACATCATAGCTAAGCCATTCCCTTACTTAATCATGAGAAAAAGTTGTAGAATGAAAATGGAACTATGCATACATGTGACTTCCTGAGTAGTGAGTGGATCACTAGTGAGGTCATCAAAGAGTGAATGAATCGTTAAGGTGTATTCGGTGTTTGGCAGCAGGTCAACCAGCTGTACGTCATTCACTGATCCTCCAACACGCATCTATAAAAAGAAAAAGAAAACAAGAAAGTTAAAAAAAAAAAGAAATGGAAAGAACACAAAATGGTTGGGCAGTTGTATTTTAAAATTGTACATATATTTCAAAATTATACTTCCATGTCTTAGAATCTATCTAATGCTTCCTGACTAATTATGTATATAATTCTCCAGTCAATGAGCTTGATTTAATAGCCTATAACCAAAAAAAGTCTCACAGCATAGGTGTATGGAAGGAAGTTCAAATGCGTTCTCTCTCTCTCTCTCTCTCTCTCTCTCTCTCTCTCTCCCTCCCTCCCTCCCTCCCTCCCTCCCTCCCTCCCTCATTCTCTCTCTCAGGTTTTACCTCCTTTTCCACTGCTGGTACTGTAGCATTGACTGGGTCATATAACAACATATAGCCAGTAGCTCCATTGACAGGTTCCCATCGTACTCGCATTGTGGTTGAGGTAACATCATACGCATTCAAGTTTCTAACTGAAGGGATGGGCACTGTAAAATTATACATGTTATTCACTTCAGCTGTTCATATCCATACACTTATCTCATTCTTCATCCCATAGAGCCCCTTGTGCACATTCAATTTTTTGGAGCAGGTCATTTTAGAGGGGTGGGAAAGCCTTTAGCTATTATGGAAATGAGGCCTGCACAACCAGGGACCTCCCAGTCTGAACTCAGCATGCCCATACATGTTGCTTGATAAACCTCCTATTTTCTCCACCTGCCCAGATTTGCAAGCACAGAGGAGATGTTAAGTGCATTCAGCTTGGCAAGTACAATTGTACAGGCCCGCAGTAAGCAAGCAGTGTTGCACTGCCTTGAGAGTGCTATCAATAACTAATGCCTGTCATCTGGACTGGACCTATATTGTCATAATCCTACTCTGCTAAGCCTACATTGAGAGCATCCAGCATGACTGGCCCTTATCTCTTACATACCATCTCAGGGCACCCTCTTTTTTCAGTTCTGATCAACAAGTCTCTTCTCATTCTGCCGACTGTAGCACAGAATATTAACCCCCCCACCCCCCTTTTCTTTTTATCCCCTGAATTCTATGGTTTCTCACTAAATCATATTAGGGGATTACAAATATTATTATTTAAAACTATGAAGGCTTTTAAATGCTTGGAGTTCATCCCACCCTCCTCCAAGACCAAGCCATTTGCTTTAGGCAGAATGCTGGGTAGTACCCACTGGTGTCCCTGCACAGCAAAATTGTCAATGCAATAGCACATACCAACACTTATGTAACATAATTACCACGATGGGGAAAAGTGAGGATTTGCTGCAGAAATTTGGTGGGAACATGATAATGTAGCGCCACATCATTGCTTCAATCCTTTGGACTACTTACACCGGACAACCGTTGGTTATGCCAGTGGAACATCATCAACTCTAGTGCTGGAATATCCTTGGGTACTACCCTTTGTTATGCATTTACTTTGGATATTATCCACTTTAAGAATTATTAAATAATATTGGAATTGGCACTTACATGTTGTTTCAGTGCCCTTCAGAGGTTCACTGTTAGTACCTTCTACCACAGAAAATACATTCACAACATACTCTGTTTCAGGCTTGAGACCAGTCAGAACAGTAGAAGTTTCTGAACGACTTACATAGACCTGCACAAAATAAGAAAATGATAAGTACCGTCTATATATGTCAATGTTCGCTCTGTCTTTGCCTTTACTAAAAATAATGTTACTTCTAGTTTTAACAAAGTAATGCAAATCATATTACAGATTTTACTTTTTCTCCAGCTTTTGTTGCAGGACTAGCAGAGTATATTTTATTTATTTATTTAGAATTTTTGCATGCCGTCCCATTTGCATGAGCCTCGGGACGGCTTCCATACAATAAATAAACAACCATACAAATAGTGCACATAAAATCCAGATTCACCCTGGCTGCAAATTAAAACCTATAGATAATATTAAAAATTGTTAAAATACCGTTTAAATAAAAAGGTCTTGAACTGGTGCCGAAAAACAAATAACGACGGTGCCAGGCAGACCTCTCTGGGGAGTGCATTCCATAGGTGGGGCACCACCGCAGAGAAAGCCCTAACAAGGGATATTGTTAGGGCTATTGTTAGAAATATTGTTATATAACAAGGGATATTGCTCAAGAGGTCAGTTAAGAGTCTTTTAATACCTTAAGTATTTTGTAGGCATCCAGTAGGGACTATTTAGCCTAACAGTCAAATTCTAAACTGAGAAAGATCTTGGGTGGGTGCCAAAGTCAAATTGAGCAAGGCCAAAGTGGGATTATTATTAATTTTAAGCCTACTCAGAAGTAAAGAGGACTAATTTGTGCAACAGTAATTTCAGCTAACATTCTCGTTTTTCTTTTTCATTCCCAGAACGTTTTACTTAGCACAGTGAACTTAGCTAATCACTATGAAATGACCAGGGCTGCTCTGCGCATGCACACACATTTCTCTGTATTACACGTCTTTCCATCACTCTAAAGCAGGGGTCTCAAGCTCGCGGCCCGCGGGCCAATTGCCGGGATGGGCGGGGCACGGGGGAGGGGCCCTGCGGCCTTCAAAGCGCCGGCGGCACCTGGGCCGGCCTCTGGGAGCGACACGGGATGAGCGGCCCACCACCACTGTGGTGCTGGAATACTGAGGCCCAGCCTCACCCAGACTCTACTTCCAGCGGCCCCCGGGTAAGTTGAGTTTGAGATCCCTGCTCTAAAGCCTCCAAGGCTAGCCACACTTCCTGATCTGAAACACCATACAGGAGGGCTTAGCTCTTGATAGCTTCACCCAGGGTTAAAAGGAAGTGTGGGCTCCCTGAGACAAAATTACACTATGAAAGACAGGCCATCCAACTGCTCCTTGATGACCTCCTAATTAAAACAAGCCCCCATCTACTGCTGCTAAGACAACTGCTCTTAGCCATGCTGAACACAAAAGTTTTATTCTCCTTCCATTCATTCTTTCTGGAGTACATTTGACTCCATCTGTTAAGCAATTACATATAACACATAGTTATACATATATAGGATGCTGTGTGTAATCCATCTGTGTTTTATCTCTGTATCCAAGCATCTAAGAGCTTATTCAAATATACCTGTTTATTATTTGGTATATCTTAATCAAATCAATCGGATCAGTTTCCATAGACAGAATAGAACAGAACAGAACAGAAACTGTATTTGTTTCAGTTGTATTTGAGCTGACATGGAAGTTCTGTCTATTCATTCATCTGAAAATCCTGTTTTACACATTGGATTCAACAAGTGGACCACTTGGGTAGTGAGTGAGTGGGTAATGAACATGCTTTATGAAGACATTCTAACATGTATGAAGCTCAAGCATGCAAAATAAACATGCATAAATCAAAGAGGGCCTCCAATTCTGACCTCCTTTGGTGTGCCACCACTGACAGGATAATATTCAACCCGGTATCTATCAACACTCTCGGAAGGTGGAGTCCAAGACACTCTAAAGGAACGAGGGGTCACCTCGGAGGTAACAAGATTGGTGGGTGGCAGGGCCAAATCTCCTGTGATGTGAGAACATGCAAAAGGAAGACACAGTTAGAACGCCTTCATAATATTTTCCAGAAACAGAGAACAAAAGTATACATGAACTACATTTATTTTAATTGCTGTAGGAAGACCCTCTTCCCTATAATGCATTGCTTATTTTTACACAGATACTGATACTATTTATCTAGCAAACGGAAATGTATATGGTCCACAGATAATACATTTTATGTAGTAAAATATACGGTGGATAATATAGCAAAATGAAGCTCTATTTTGTATGCAAGAAACGACAAAGACAAATTGAAGTGGTTACAAATATCTGATCCAGCCTGTTCTGCCACTTCATATGCGAGACAACTTCTTTATGGAAGGTGTTTCTTTGTGAGGATGAATGTGCAACCTGTATGCATTTTGTTCTCTGTAGTGAACACATCTGGGGTTGTCACTGTATATACCAGATCTGCACACTGAAAAGCCACAGCCAGTTCCAACTTGCAAATAAAAGACATGTGTGTGCAATTATCACAAGTGATAATCTGAATGCTGAAGGCATGATGTGTGTTCTTCGAACTTGCCAGTGCCAATAGGGGTTTATTAGAATAGTATCATTTCTAATTCTGCCATGGACCTTTCTTCCTAAGCTTCTTTCTAATATTACTTTGTGGCACAGAAGCCTGTGGAAAGACTGCCTTCCCTACCAGAGACAAGAGCAATCCAGATGTCCTGCACAGCTGTATCTATATCCAGCAGCTGTGCCTGACAAATTTCCAAGTGAGTAATTTAACCAAACTTAGCAGACAATATATACAAGTTATTTCTATTAAAAGTTCGGACATAAAAAACTAAAGGTGACACGTACCTGGACCTTTTACACTGTTGCACAAATTTATAGTGAGGTCATCGACAATAGTAACAAGAAGGGTGAAATCAGCAACATTGTAAACATGGGTTTCATCTGGATCTGTTGCAATCTGCTTCAGCTCATTTTCATCTGCATTTTTGATACCTTAAAAATATAATGGAGTAAAGCGTGTTTTTAAAAATAGCCTATGAGCATTTGCTACATTGTTTTATAATTTGTATCAAGGAGATGTTTCCGTCTTTCAGCTCATTGCTCCTTGTACGATACTCACCAACCGCATAAATCTCCACTCCCATATCTCTCAGTTTCTGTGACGGAGCAATGATGTCATCTTGCGACTTGCCATCAGTGATGAGGACAGCAATTTTGCGAGCTCCGGGCCTCATACCAACTTCTGGTTTAAAGTTGTTTCTTAAGATGAAGTTCAAAGCCATTCCTGAAATCACATAGGAAAGAGTAGCAGGGAGAGGACAGTATTATTTATTAAGTTTTTTTGTCCAACCTGGGCTTCCTGAAGTAACACAGTCATATTCACAGAACACTGTCCTACCAAAGTAATACTTTCTAGGTTACCAGCCACGATGGAAGCTTTTACCAGGAATTTATACTTCCTTGTGGAATTACAGGCCAAAGTACACATTGCATGAGAGATCTGCAGTTGCTGACACTTTTTACAAAAATGCAGTAAAGGATCTGCCAATTTGTGCCGAGCTCTTTCTGAGAGTGTTTAACATCCTTCTCAAGTGATTTCCCCAGTCAAAATGACACAAATATGCTGGTATTTGACTCATGGCAAAAAGTAATTTAAAGTACTGGTATCTAGGGCAGATTAGGACGACAATAAAAACAAGACAACTCTTTCACCAGTTCTGCCTTCATCCACATTCTATATTGTTCCTTTCTAGTGCAATTCATAGCTTCCATGTCTCTTAACACAATACTTTTTCCCTCTCGACCTTCCATCCATGAAGGATACAAGTATATTAAGTATTTAACAATAAGGTCTACAATGTTTTTCATCTTGTCCACAACATACTAGCTACACACCTATTACTGAACAAATGCAAACTGTTTGGTCTGCCATATAAAGGACAGTATAATCCTGTTCTGGGCCGTATAATATTGCACAAGTCATTTTTTCCTATGTGGAAATCAGGCACAAATTGCCTACCTGTTAAGGTGTTGCCTCCTTTATATGGCAAGTTGGCCACAGCATCCAATAAACTCTGTTTGGTTTTATGTGCATTGAGATGCCATTCTGTTCTCGGATCTCCACTATATTGTGCAAGGGCTAAAGTGGGAGAAATACCATGTATTATCAAAATGCCTTGAAGCAGCAACACTCAATACATTCCAGCATCTTCAAGACTTACCAATCTGTACTTTGTCTGGACCAATATCAAATACTTCAACAATGCGAGCAATGAAGCTCCGGACTGTTTTAAAATTTGGTCGACCAATGCTCCATGAGCCGTCCACCAGCAACACAATATCTGCTTCTGCTCTGGTTATGCATTCCAGGCCTGTCACAGCAATCAGAATAAAATCTTGTTAGTTGCACCAAACTACTGTTTTCTCATTTCTTCTTCTACTCTATCTACAATACAGCCTTTCACTTAACTACCTGAAGTTCTTCTGCATACACTGCAACTTTAATGTCATTATGAATATTCCTACTAGTAGTAGTTCTACCAGTAAACTGAAAGGATTTCCGTGGTTACATATATACATTATGCAGCTGTGATGCCTAAGTACATATACACTGTCTTTGCTTCATAAGCTAACATAACCCTGTGACTATGGGGAGCCGCACAAATGTGATAAACAAGCAAATAAATAAATAAGTTCTTCTCTAATGGCTTCATCTAGCTTGGCCCTAAGTATGATAAGAATATAACATTAATAAACTTAAATTAAGTAGACATAAGCTACTTCACTATTATTTTCTTAAGGAGTTACATATCAAGATATTTAAACACTAAGAAAATATTTGCTGATGTGTGTTAAACTAGTACCTTGAGAAATTAGTGCATATGCTTCATACACAGAGATAAATGACATCATTACATTTATACTGGAATATAGTCAATTAATGTAGATGGTGCAGAAATGTGCACAGGTTAAATTACAAGAGAAAGAGCATGACATAAATAAGACAGAAACACACATAAACACACAAAAGAACTGGAAGTGACACAAACAAACATATATACAAAGTTTTAAATGCTTCAGAAAGAAAGCAAATAATGTTGGGGACCTTCCATCTATGGGACAAAATAAGAATTGCATGATTTTCCATATGCTGAAAATCAGAGTGTGTTTATACAAAGCAGAAAAACACAAGTGTTTAAATAATCCTTTTATGAGCCATTCAAATGTTAAAAATGTACTCGTCCTCCTTTTTTCCTTGGGAGATCATGTTACCAGCTGCAAAATTTTCTGGCTTCATGCCATCACAGCTTCTGGTCTTTACATGGAAGAAATCCCACTGAGTAAAGTCAGGCATACTCATCAGAGTTGAAATAAAGAATGATTTCATCTATGTTCCACATAACTGATCCAATACTGTAGATTCATGAATAGAACTACTCCAGGTACCTGAGGATTTAAAAGCATGATCCTCTGCTGCATAGAAAATACAATACTGATCTTTAATTAACACAGTTATCAATCATGAAGTAGGGTAAACTTTATACAGAAGTTCATGCATTTGCTATCCCTGCCTGGGATCAAATACGTGAGGAAATTATTTTCCCATGCATTCCAAGGGGTTGGTGTTCAGTATTTCCCCCTCCCACCCCCCACCCCACCCCATCTTATGCTTCATCCCTCAGAAGTGGCTGGTGGAGTGGCAGGAACAAGAGTTTGCAGTAGGACGGGGACCCAGAAAAGACACGGTGCATATGGTGAACAATGCATGTAGTCCTTGGCCTCCAGTCACTCATAGAATAATCAGTGACATCAATTCTTGCATTTTTTTTAACATTCTTTAGTCCCCTCCTAAAAATCCTTGCACAAATAGCTACATATTTTTAAATACAGAGAGAAACTGTATTCACACAGCATAGCCTGTTTTTTTCTAGCATAATTTTTCCATAAAGGAAACCACCTTACCTCTTTATTTTTAATAAAAGATAAATTAAGTTGCAGGACATAGCGCTACAGAAATACACAGAGATCATGATAATATAAACATGAGGTATGATCTGGCAAACCACATACTTTTAAAGTCCTATTGATCTCAATGGGAGAGAGAGAAGTCCATGTGTGACTCTCTCCAGCTGATGTAAGCAGGATATTAAAAGTATTTAGAATTGTTTGGGACTTAGAAAAAGTAGTTTAGAATCCATGGAGCTTCAAGTTATTTTTAGCCAGATTGTTTCCACAGGGTTAGATCTAAGGGTTTCTCTTCCAGTGGAAGGTGCTTTCCATCAGCAGCAGGAATACTTCCACCATTAGGAGAAAGGCCAATATAAATAATATATTTGGTGGCATGATTTTTAGAGGTATAAGCTACCCACTGTGCTGCTGTCTCATATTCTGTAACACCCGGTAGTGTTTCCACTAGAACAGTGAATTCTCATGCAGTGTAGTCCTATGTATGTTTGATCAGAAGTTACCTTGTGCCCAGCATTCCTTATTCCCTAGTAAATGGGATTAGTATTGGCATCTCAAGAATTCAAGTGTAGTTGTAGGCACGGATCCAAAAATCAACACAAAGAATTCTAGGTGCCCCTGTTTATTTTGGCTTTTTAAAGCATACATACATACATCCCATATCTGGCAAATCTATTAAAATGTAGGGGAAGTTCAAAAACAGGTTTAATCTGCCATGAGATTCTACCATGCAAAGGAAAAAAAATCAAACATTTCACTAGGTATGCTGAAGTCCTTGGGTATGTTAAGAGTAGCTGTTTGGATCCTGGCCATTTCCCCTCCTAAATTCTCTCTGGGAAACAGTTCTCGATTTCTAGCAAGCACACTTACACTGTGAAATTCTTGCAGTTGCTCCACAATTCAAACTTAAATATAAATTCTTTAAAAGAAATATAATTTCTAAGTCCTTGCTACAGGCAAGGAAACTAAACTAAACTAAATTAAACTAAAACTAAAACTAAACTCAACTAAATTCTAATATTCAGAAACTAAGTATTTTCTAGTTTCTATAGAAAAGCACTGTAGTGGTGCCAGATGTGCTCTTTAGGGATTCCACATATGGAAATACATGCTGAGGAAAACATTTGGAACACAACTACTCAGAAGGTTTTCTCTGTTCTGGATTTTAAAATGTATAAGCACTTCATAATTATCAACTCGAATTTAATGTATAAGTAACTCATACTATGTAAATACCACTTTAAATTGGCCAATAATTAATTAATTAAAAGTTTTCCCCCGCAAAAGGTAGAGCTTTTTCCTAAATGTGGATACCAACTATAGGGGGGATAGTTGCCCAGAGATGCCATGGGCTCTCCCACACTAGAGACCTTCAAGAACAAACTGGACAGCCACTGAGTGGAATGGTGTAAACTGGTGACCTCCAACAGCAGGGGTTGGATCTGGTGGCCCTCTAAGCTCCTTCCAACTCTGCTATTCTATCATTCTAAGACAGTCAACCACCCATAGAGCCTTGACTATTGGGCAGAAGATAAATAAATAAATAAATAAATAGGAAATTTTAAACATGATAATTAAAAGACCAAAGAGTGACCCGTCAATTGACCCCTGCAAGCCAATAATTGGATCGATTAATTTTGCTGAATCAGTTCACTTTACCACTTTTGTAAAAAGAACACCTACATCTAAAATGTCCAGCTAAGAAAACTTGACTGTTTTTTCTTACTAAAACTATATTTACCTCTAGCTAAAAATGGCACCACAGTAGCATCTGAAAGGGTAGTTGCTTCTTCTCCAATCACTGGCGCACTTTCGCCTCCTTCAAACACTCCAAAAACATTGACTTTATAGGAAGTGCCTGCCCTGCACAATTAAAATGCATATATGAATCAAATTAGCAGAGTTTGTCATCTGTACAAACTAATTCCATTTTTACCCTGAATTTCCTACAAGAACCTCAAGGCAGCATCCATGATTGGGTTGTGATCAGCTAAGATGCACCCAGAGACTTTTGAGAATAAATGGGGATTTGAACCAGGAACTCCCTGGATATAACTGAGCCATTGTAACAAGTCCACTGTACTGTTTTGGCCTTACATGGATAAGTAATATACTCAACAACTCTAGTTTTGATAGAAGAGTACTATTGGGGAAAGGCCCTGATTATTTCAACTGATTACTATTTGATTCAAGATGTCCTACTATATATGCACACAATCCATCGAATGTTAAGGACTTCTAAGACCCTTTTAATATATTTTTCTTTCTAACCCACATTTCTGTCCACCTAGATTATCTAGGAAGCTAATAACTTAAACCATTACATCACCAAACCAAAACTTCAGCAGATTTTCACAGGGCTTCTAGAATTTCCTGTAAATTGGTTTCATTTCAGATATTTCTATACTATCTTTCTGCATTTGGTATCTAAGGTGGCTAATAAAACAGATTTGAAACAACTGAAACAGTATTCTATTATTGGCATTAATAATGACAGAGAAAGTGTTTCAGTCATGCACAAAGGCTTAGGTTTGGCTGAATAATGCCAAAAATACTGAAATGGAAGAAAATGATCAGCAGTACCTGAGCTCCTCCAGTACTACTGTGTTGTCGTAAGGACCAACTAGCAATTCTCCAAGTTGTCTGTTTTCTCCGATTGGATGGAAGGTTACTTTGTATCCCCTCACTTCTCCAGGGGATGGCTCCCAGGTTACTCGGAAGCTTGACATCGTAGAATCAGAAGTCTTCAGATTTTGGGGAGATTTAAATGGGGATGCTGCAACAGTGAATCAATACCCAAGAAATGAAATGTGGTTTAGTGTTTTTTTCTCCCCGCTGTAGCGTGAAAGAAGCAAAGCAAAACTTGGAAAATTGTGTTATAACCAGTAGTGCTGGATTGATCGATCACTGTGCATATCTTGTATACATTTTAGCTTCACAAAGAAACATATTTCCATGTGCATGTGTATGTGGGTGTGTCTGGAAACCGAGGATAACAATGCATGCATCTGATGAAGTCAGCCCTCTCATCCCAGAAAACTGAAGCCACCTGCACCTCTAAACAAAGTTGCTTGTTCTCCCTTTTGAAACATTTCAAAATCCACCCACTCATCATAGCCATGACAAGATAACAAGGAACTGCTAAACAGTAAAGTGTCAAGAGCACACGGAAAGGTATGCTACTGGTTTAGCAAGCAGTATATTCACTCCTTAGCCAACTTTTGTTTCTGGTTTGAATGCTATCCCATGTGCAGTTTGTGTGTGTGTGTGTGTGTGTGTGTGTGTGTGTGTGTGTGTTTGAGCTAAAAAGGCAGCAGTCTAATCTTAAACTGCAAAGCCAAGAATTTTGGGGGGGATGAAACAAACATTCTTGCCTTTTAAAATCTTCAGACAGTGCTTTTAGGGTGCCAAGACTATACTTAGGTTCTTAAAGAAGAAGGAACTCTGAGCCCACTTCATAGACTGCTAATAACAAGCATAGTTATAACATCCTGTCAGACCACTATTCCTGCATCATGATCACTCTATCAATGCTTCTCATGACCATTCATAGATGCAACATCTGAAAAAAAGAACATCTAATCTAGTTCACTAGAATAGAGAGCTTGTGCTAAACTTGCAATACTGCTTATTTTCAAAGGTCACTTATTTTCCAAGTGTCACTATGGAATCTGCACCCTTTAATCAGAGTGAAATACTTTCCCCTAAAGCTCAGATGTGTGTTAAGCACAGGTTATCAGAACTAACTGCTCAAAAGTACTTCGTTCTTTATTAATAATTTCAACATGTTTCTTGGCTGAGCCCTGAAATGAAAAACATTTGCTGAGATTAAGTGCTGTTTTGTTCTGGCTCAGATTAAAACTTGAGCATCACTAAAATCCCACATAAAACAGAGGCAATCCAAACCTAATGTTTCACTGCCACTGATAGCAGCTTTTATTTACTATTGGCCCTGTAAGCTGATGTTAAGTGATATGTGTAGAAAGCAGAACTTTAAAGGGAGGTACAAAGCTGCATGGGAATATGCCAGAAGAATCCCGTATCAATTCCTTGTTTGTTCTGGGTGATCTGTGCCAACTTGCTAACTCCCCATTCTGTCTTTAGGATTAAGGGAAGATTAGCACAAAGATCAGCATTACTTTATGTGGCTTACGCATGACAGGTGGTTTACACCACAATTGACAAGGTTGGAGAAATGCCACCTCGGGCAGCAGAAAGGGGGCATATTTAAAAGCAGCTGAAATAATAAGCAGCTTTTGAAAAGAAACATGTATAAAATAGTACTGGCTCAAACTAGCGATTGATTTTGGTATGTTGTAAACCTACTTTTTTTCATCTACAGACATCCTATATAAAGCAACATATACCTGTTGTTCCTTCCCCTTGTCTGTGTTTTCCTTCTCCGGTTTTATACATTGGAATGACAGAGATATCATAAGTGGTCAGAGGCTGAAGACGTTTTAATACTGTGGTGGTGCTGGTAGGTGGCACTTTGGTGACCATCTGTCGACCTCCCCTGCGGGGACGGTAAACTACACGATAGCTGACAACTTTTCCAGGTGCTGGCTGCCAGGTAACTCTCATTGTGGTCTCTTTCTCATTATCCACTCTCACAGTCCTGGAACTCGGTGACACTTTTCAATGTAAAGCAAAGGGGAAACGAACACATGAGGAGAAGTTTTAAAGCATCATTTATCATAAAATATGCAGCCAAACTTGATTCCAATCTATAGAGCATGGGTCCTCAAACTACGGCCCGCGGGCTGGATCTGGCCTGCCATGCCCATTTATCTGGCTCGCCTCAGAGGTTTTGGACTTGCCAAGAGGTGGCAGCTTGCTTGTGCAGAGATCATTTTGGACTTGCTTGGAGAAAACGATTTCCATGTGCACCTGCACCGGCCTGCACCTGCCCCCTGCCCCGCTGGCACCACCTTGCTGGCCCATGCCCACCACCGGCACCTTTCAACTGGCCCCCTGTTGAAAAAGTTTGAGGACCCCTGCTAATTTTTAATGGGATTTTTGATGGATGAGTACCCCACAAATTTTGGGAGGGAAATCCACATGTTGTCGTAGATTTGTTTATTGTTCTTTTGGTAAACAAATGTTGTTTCAAAAATAAACAAAAAATCTATTTCACAAGATTTGGGAAATGTGCCCTTGACATTTATGACACATTCCCTCTATATTTGAACTTGGTTCTGGAAAAACAATGCCTTAGTTTCTCATGATCACAGAACCCTCCTTCACATATAATTAAAATGCTGCAACAATGGTTCTATCAATATTTTGAATCCATATCAGATATCAGGTTCATGCAGGATACACACCATTGCTCTGTGAAGCCTACGCTTTCACAGAAGACTGCTTCCTGTTTCCTGATGGCTCATCCAAAACAATATATTTAAAGCTAATCTATTTAATTGCCTCAGCACAGCCGGGCCAGTCAACCTCTGCAGTTGGATCCTCAAACATCAAAGCCATGCAGGAAAGTTGGCATACTCCTGAACTTTCCAGCCTTTAGCTTCTGGTACACCAGGAACAGAGGGAAGAGGAAATTGCTGTCTACTGTTAGGCATGTAGAAACAAGCCCATGAAAGAAAGCAATTGCTCACCAAAGTCCCATCGCCTCACCTCACTGATCTGTGCCAGTGACTGAACCAGCCTTTCCGCTCAGTGAGAGAATAAATCAAAAATATATGGGATCTTCTCTGAAACACTCCAGTAATTTTGCCCCAGTAGAGCTCAACTACTTGTTTCATCAAAGTGGGGTGGGGGAGGGGGGGTATTGCCAGGATCACGTACCCTCATGGGCTATCTTTTGCAGTGGGCAGAGCCAGAGGCAAAAGCAGGTGGCATTTTATCCCTTTAGTTTCTTTTTTCTGCCATCTCCTTTTCTCCTCCTCCCTCTTTTCTGACCTACCCATCAGGTTGTCAGGAAAGGGGCAGACTGTTTTGTCCAAAGGTCTGAACTGATCCTACATAGATGGCTTTTGAAATAAGGCTGCAGCTATATTAAATTAAGCCAAGGCACTCAGCCATAAATCTATGCAAGTCATCCATCATCTATCTAAAGGAACCACTTCTTCCTTAGTCCAATTTTTACCTGACTTTCCTACGTTCCCCCTATTATCCCTGACTTTCCCTACTATCTCGAATGAACTGGATTGTGGTCCCCTCCTCCAGTCCAAATTATCTGCTTCTTCTTTGACAACTGAGCCAAATGGCATCCCATTTCTTAAAAGCTCTGATAGGCAGTGTTTTTTTTGTCATAGAACGCACCAGAACAGAGTTCCGGCACCTATTTTTTGACAGATTTTCCAAGTTTTAAAAGTAACTTTGAAAATGTGATGTTTGGTCTATGTGGCATACATACTTCACACTGGTTGTGATGGCGCTACTCGGCTTGTGGTGCTGCTCGGCTTGTGATTGGTTGTGTGGTCGCGCGCTGAGTGCTTACTGCGGGCGGCAACTGTTATGTTTCGTTACACAATTGACGTGTGTGGGTGCATGCACAGTGATTGACTACATGCAAAAGGTAAATAATTTCATGAGTTCCGGCACCTTTTTTCTTACAAAAAAAGCACTGCTGATCGGTGTCCTCTTTTCTTCAGATGCACACATGGATCAATCAAGTGGCAAAAAATATTCCGCTAAGCTGAGCTAAATTTTGTCTCTAGTTTTAGAAGGAGCAGCAGAATCAGTTCCAATTAAAGTGTTGTCATTCAGGAAGCCACAAATGAATTGCCAAAAAAGAGGAAATGCCTCACACACACACCCCAAAAAAAGTGAAAGGGAGATGAGGGGATGAAAGAGCATAATGATTTTCATAAGAAAATTTATCTGAGCCAATGCAAAACTGTAAATATTATGCAGAAACTTAGTACATCTCATTGTCATGCAGCTGGCTGTGGCCAGGTGGCCCATGTACTTGTCTGTTTGGTCTGCTGTATGTGCGCTAACTGTGGGTGGACAACAGGTTTTATTGTTCTTTAACTTTAAACCAGAGTTAGGTTCAGGCAGAAGATTCCATTGAGAGAACAGTCCTCTGGGAACCCTTTAAACAGAGAACTGTTCTCTATAAAAGAGAATATGTGGCCAGCCTAAAAATCTTTCCCTTCATTCTGAATAGTGCATGTCTCTTTCCATTCTCCCCTCTCCTTCTTTCATGATTTGCAATTTTCATATTATAAACCTCAGCAGTGAAATGAGATAAAAGGCAAGTCTATAGTGCTGGTACACAGTGATGCAGTTACAGTCACTCAAATCCGCAAGGACCAGCTATACATACACTATGCAGCATATGGGGCCATTGTCAGGAAGAGAAAGCCCACGTTTGAGTAACTTGTACTGAGCAACGGTGGAGGAATGATTGTTATGAGCATTACATTGTTATGAGCTGTCCTTTGAATGCTTCAGTGAAAGTTGGGATACAGATGTTATAAACAGATGATAAACAAATATTAGATTCTCTTCTTCCAATAGTTATGTATCTACCTTCAGTTGTAGCTTGTCCCTCCAAAGGAGCTCCTTCACCACTTCTGTAAGAAGCCAAGACTGAAATCTTATATTTGGTCTCAGGCTGCAGGTTTCCCAGTACAGTATTTATAACATTTCCAGGAACTGTTTCCTCTCCAGACAGATCATCATAAAGTGATTTCCATATAATTCTGTAATGATCAACCGATCCCGGAGCTGCTGTCCATGACACTCCAATGCTAGTATCAGTTATGTCTCTAGTAACCAAGTCACGAGGAGAGCCGCGTTCTGCCAGAGAGGAAGGAAAATGAATGTTGCACATTAAGATGCAGCCAATGAATGTGGCAATAAAACAAGAACAAATGAAGCCAATCTCCTGAAAAAACCACAGCAAAATAATCAAGAATTTAATTCTTCTAAGTATGAATCAAAACTATATTCTAGCCTAAAAACTGAGAATATATTTACATATCCCGAATACACATGCATAGCATAGCTTATCCCTTTATTGTTCCAAAGTCCATTTTAACTGATTTCTTAAAACTGCTGTGGAAACGTCTTTGTTGAACATACAATATGTAAAATCCAGTGACTGCCACGGAAATGCCCACACCAGCTAGCTGCTCTGGAGTAAGCAATGTGAAGAAGTCCCTGTTTAAATTGATAAAACGTTTACACAAGGGTTTCAGAAGTAAGATATACTGTCAATGTGCTTTGCATAGCTATGTATCTCTGTATCCCATTTTCTCCGTAAGTTTCTCACATGCACATGTAAAAGATTATGAGTCAGTACTGGTAGCACAAACAGGGATTTAAAGATGTAACTTTATAGTAAGCTTGATGTGTTATATACTCACAAGGGGTATACTCAACTTCACAGCAATATACAATATTGCTTTGCCCTAACACAGATGAAAGTTCAAGATTTTGCCTGATTTCCACCCTTAAAATCCCACTGAATTCATTTAGTTCAGTGGAGCTTTAGGCCTGAAATTGAACCCCAGGAGAACAATTTTCCTGGAAGACTGAAAGCGGCTGGAAGTAACTTACACCACATTTTTTTTCATTCCTCTGTAAAGTTTCTGCTCTCAAAACGTGGCTTTTTCATTCAAGTAAAGAATATGAACGCAATCCAAATGGAAAGAAAATATGGAAAACTGTCTTAATATAATGTGCAGATGTCTCATAATAAAAGGCTTTACTTTCCATATTTTAATATAATATAAACACAGAGACCACTTTACATTGGCTACTTCACTTCTAGTCTCTGCCACAGCATGACTTCAGTATTAAAGTATCTGCAGATACAGTACATTTTCAGCAATTAACTCTGGAAGGCTATACCTAACAGTATGTATTGGAAACACTGCAAAATAATTGTACGTTTGAAATAATTATCAACTAAACGAGAATATACACTAGATAGTGGAATAAAGTAATTTATTTGTAATAAAGTATAATCTATGCCAATTACTAAAATATGTGAATTGAGGAAGCCAAAGATATTCTGAGCTATTAAACATACTATGTTTGTATTGAATAAAATAGCACTTTGGGTTTCCAAGGAAGCCACAAAGACTAAGTGGAAAATGTTGGCCTCAAGTTGCTGGGAAATGCTGACAAGACATCTTTGCTACTAAGAAAGAAAATGTGACTTTCATATATTCTCCTCCAGGAGAGAAAATGTATAATGTATTCACAGTGAATAACACCCTGATTCTAAATACATTTTGAATGTAAATGTCCCCTAAGTGCTAAGTAAATATTACGACACACAAGGTTTAACTTCAGTGTGCAAAGAGCAAATTAACAAATAAATGTATAACTACATCTATTACTGTGTATTTTTTTTCTTCACAAGAATTCTTCGAGACAACCAAAAAGAGATTATTTCTAAGAGTTACAGGCCAAATGTTTCCATTACTGATATTAGAGCTCCAAGGAAATGTGAGATGCACTATGGGACCGAATAAAACTTGTCCTGGAATTTGGTCCAGAATGAAACAACCCAGCTTACAGACAGGTGCCAACCACTGGAAGCATATTACTCTGATTCTGAAACAGTTCCAATGGCTTTCAGTTAGTTTCCCATCTGGGTAGATCATCAGATGAGTCTCTATTCTCAGTGCTCCTTCCTTCAGACGTAAAGAGGGCAATTATGAAAGGCACTGCAGTTTCATGCTTCCAAACAGTCTTTCCTGACCAGGACTCCTCCAGATGTGCTCGACTGCAACTCAGGAAACCGTAAGAACATGAGAAAAGCCATGCTGGATCAGACCAAAGGTCCATCTAGTCCAGTACTCCAGATACATGGTGACAGACCAGCTGCCCACAGGATCCCTCCAGCAGGGTGGGTGCAAGGCCTCCATCCACCCAAGCTCCTCAGCAACTGGTGTAAGCAGGCAGCCAGCACAAAGGCAGCAAGTAGTCTCCTCCTTCATAAATCTGTCCAGTCCCTCGCCACCCAAATCACCACTTCCCATGACTGCAAATTCATAGTTTAACTATACATTGTGTGGAGTACTCCTTTACTTTGTCCTAAACCTCCCACCAGTCAGTTTCATAGGATGACTCTGGATTGGAGTGTTAGGGGAGAGGAAGAAAAATCTCTCCCTCTCCCCTATCTCCACACCATACATTATTTTAAACATCTCCATCATGTCTTCTCTTCCTTGCCTTTTTTCTAAACTAAACAGTCCCATTTGCTGTAGCCACTTCTCACAGGGAAGTTGCTCCAGCCTCTTGATCATTTTTGTCACCCTCTCTGCATTTTTTCCAACTCAATAATGCCCATCCTTAGGAAAAGTGTCAAGAAATGAACGTAACATTCTAAGTGTGGTTGCACCAAAGAGAATAAGGGAGTAGAAGGGGAGTATGATCTTGGCAGTTCTATTCCATTCCTAATTATGCCTAGCATGGGGCTTGCCTTTTTTACAGCAGCTGCACAACGGGATGACATTTTCATCAAGCTGTCCACTACCACCCCAATACACTTCCTTGTTCAGTCACTGCTAGTTCAGATCTCATCATCCTGTCTTTGAAGGCGGGACTTCTTGCCCCAGCATGCATTTCACCCAGACCACAAGATGGGAGTTGCAATATAGCACATCTGGAGAGCACCAGATCAGGCATCCTGCGCGCCTGGATGATTACCAAAACGGTAAAAGGCTTTTCTGCTTCAGAGGACTTTTGGTCCAACTGGCTGATATTACTTTTACCTGTTTTGACACTGACATTGCTGCTTTGACATCCTTGTTGTTTGGCGTTTTCTAGCTGCTGTTTTGCTTACTTTGTTGCTGATGTTCAGTTTTTATTTATTTTAATTATAAATTGTCTTAACAGCCTATTTTGCTCAGAACATCAGCAGGTATAAAAGAGCATTCACTGGTGTTATCAACATGATAAGCAATTCCTTTGTCTGCAGCATACCACAATAAACAATTTATGTTGAATGACAGTGTTCAAGCTCTCCAGAAGCAACTGAAACTCCACCTTTCATGTACTGGAAATCATTAGTGTTTAATCTCTGCCAGAGCATAATGCACACTAGAATATGGAAACCATTTGGGGAGCTTTATAAAGGCCTAACTCCATCTAGATGTGAATGTTCCAAAATTCTATTTCCATGTCTACTGTTTCCATTATACTGAGCCACACACAATAACTTCATTTAAGTAGTTTTCCTATAATTCCTGGCTCTCGTCTTATTACTAGGAGACTCAAGGCTGATCCTAAAACATCAGACTATGAACAAGTTTAGCTACAAATGTTCCCTAGAATTAAATCCCTGTAAAGATCCCTTGAGGCACAAGCATAGATTTCCTTCACCGTGTCAGCAGAAATTCTGTAAGTTCGTTTGATTCAGCTAATTTCAAAGGATGGTTTAATAAATTAATTTCAAAGTATTAAGCAATAACTGCAAGCTAACCACAGCAATTGACCCTGATAAAGTCATTAACCTACTAATCACCTTAGATGTGTAACAAATAGTGCACGTTGTGCCAGCCAACAGTTTCCTACATTAAATGGGCTAAGTCAAAGCCAGTACTAACCTTTGCCCATTATTAGGATCACGACAGCCAGCAACTAATTAAATATACACAGGGTTTTGGCCATTCCTGTGCATCAAGACTACCATCTTTGGAAAAATACAGTACCTTTGAGAATTTCCACTGTGTTTTCTGGAGGCAGAAGAAAGAAAATAAACGTGGTGGCAATATCTCTGGAGAGTGCAAAACCTCCAGAAAGAGGAAGTCCATATAAAGCCACCAACCAGGCTACTTCTGCTTCCTTAATAGCTCCTTGTCTCTTTATTAATTCTGTTTTAATACTATAGAACCCAAATTAACCAAGTCCAAAGCCAGCACTTTAACCCCTGCACCTCAACAGCTCTTTCCCCACTGCTCTTCATCACACTGTCCTTTACAGTCCTACCTATGTTACTCTTCCCCTTCTTTCAAGTGCAACCCAAAGCATAATTACCTGAGAATAAGCCCCATTAAATATACTAGGAACTTCAGAAAAATAAACATGCATAGGAGTACATCTGCAATCTCTTTATACCTGTTTTCTCCTGCTCTGCCAATTATGGCAAAACATGGATATAGTGATGACTTAGGCAAATTAATGTATCAATCTGTCCTCACTCTGTGTCATAGTGCACCTGCAAATCACAAAAACTATGGCAAAGGCATCTCCTTGACATAACTAAAACAAAACAAGAAACTCATTTCCTGACATTACTTACTACTGTCCACAGGCTAGGAACATGGATTTCAAAAGAGAAAGGGGGAGACTAACACCCCTAAGAAGCTTACAGGGAAGAATAGATCATTACACCAATGATTCCCTGTGCAGACAATGAACTAAAAGGCCTCTAGGCTGATTAGCACCTTGTCCCATTAACTAATCAAGGCACATTCTGGAAAGGTGCCAGGAAGTATATTCTCTGGAAACAAGATGCACCTCTCACTGCTGGTGCCAACATTTATTTAAAAAGCACTCACAGAATTAAGACAGAAATTGGCAGGTCCAGTGCCTGAATTTAGACGTTACTCTTATGCTAGTTGTTAACGCCATTTATGTTATGTGGAAATTCTACTCTGCACAAAGCTTAAGATCGACTTATATCCAACAAAAGCTGTAAATATGCATAATGTCGGACATCATGCAGATCAGGCCACAGCATCCAGACTCCATTTGTTTCCGGTTTGTGCCAGTTCTCACCTCTCCAGTCTTGCACTGCTTATTTATTCATTTGATTTACATCTCACCTATTTTTCTTTCAA